TTGGGCCAAACTTCCTACACAGAACCCCCATGACCAAAAGAAAATGCTGTGTTTGGAAAAGTATATTATTGGGACCCCAGGGGTCCCAATCCCCAGGCTGAGAAACACCAATATAATATATTGTATTTACGTATTACTTGTAAGCCACTCTGAGTCCCCTTTAGGGAGAGAAGGGCAGCATATAAATGTTGTAAATAATTAGATAAACAAATAATAGACTTCAGGTGCATCTGCACTCTAGAATTAATTCAGTTTGATAGCACTTTGACTGTGATGGCTCAAGACTGTGGAAACCTGGGATGTGTAGTTTGGTGAGGCACCAGCCCTCTTGGTCAGGGAAGGTTAAAGACCATATAAAACTACAACTCCCATGATTCCATAGCATTGAGCCATGACAGTCAAAGTGCTGTCAAATTGCATTAATTCTACAGTATACATACATCCAGAGTACACAATGTGCTTAATTCTACAGTGTCACTGCACCCTTAATCTACTTCCTTGGTAAGCTTCGGTTGGTGAAGCAGATATGTTCTTTCCTGGGCATTACTTCTTTTATCAGAAAATTTAGTATCCTGGCCAAGCGCTCCTGGAAGTTGCAGTCCAAGGACTGGTGTCCCATGCCAATACTGCTGTATACATTGGAACGTTTTGCCAAAATCCAATAAATGCTTACTTAGGAGAAGCTCCTCTGGGGTCGATTGTGTTCATTTTGGAGCAAGGGAACCTAGGGATACTGAGAGATGTCGTTCCGAGCAAGTCGCTTTTCCAAAGCTCTATCTACACCGTGATTGTAGTATTCCATCTTGAGGGTTCCTTTTGCCCTGGCAGCAGTTGGGGCCTGGGCCTGGTAGCGTGAAGGTGAAGTCGGAGCCCGAGGAGCTTATGGCTTCGCCCAAGGTCACCGCAAACCTGCTGGCAACTGGCAGCTTAGCCAGGGATATTTAAAACCTTCCCCTCCTAAGCTGCCGGCTCCGGTGCCTTGAGCTGACGTCAGCTCAAGAGGGATCATATCCAAAGTCAGGCAAGATCCAGAGGTGGGAAGGTATGTGTGAGACAAAGAGAAAGACAGGGAGAGGCAGAGAAAGAGAGATGCTCTAGTTTGGAAGAGAGCGAAGAAGTGAAGACCCAACCAGCAGGGGGCGCCCTCCCTCAATGAAAATGTGGTAGTCTATTCTGCACACTCAGATTCTTCCAGATTACTCTAAAGAACTTTGGGCTCTCATCATATACTTTTCCAGATTTTGATATTTGTTATCCCATCTGTGTCTACTTATTTCATTTCTCCCTATTTGTAGCTATTTCTTGGGTCTGTATCAGAGGCTGAGGCCCCTTCCACACATCTGAATAAAATCCCATATTTTCTGCTTTGAATTGGGATATATGGCAGTGTGGACTCAGATAACCCAGTTCAAAGCAGATATTGTGGGATTTGCTGCCTTAATATTCTGGCTGTGTGGAAGGGCCCTGAGTATCCTGTTCAGGATTTTTCCCCCATGAATTTTGCAATACCTGTAGTTACCTATATGTATATAATGAGACGAATGTATATAAACAGATAGAATGAGATATCTGTGCATATATACAAATACAGATACAGATATCTCATTCTGTGCATATATACAAATACAGATATTCAAAAAAAATGTTTCTAAAAATCCAAAATTGTGTTTATATTTGGGTCCCATCTCAAAGGTCATCTCATTATATACATTATAGGTAACTACAGGTACTGCAAAATCCGGGGGGGGGGGGGGAATCCTGAACAGGATACTCAGGGCCCTTCCACACAGCCATATAACCCAGAATATCAAGGCAGCAAATCCCACAATATCTGCTTTGAACTGGGTTATCTGAGTCCACACTGCCATATATCCCCGTTCAAAGCAGATAATGTGGGATTCCTCACTTATTGAGGGGGTTACGTTCCAGGACCTCCCGCAATAAGTGAAAAACCGTGATGTAGGGACGCTATATTTATTTTAATATTTATACATTATTTAAGTAGTTATACACTATTTTAAGTCTTTATAAACTTAAAATAAAGTGAAGGAAAGGAAAGGAAAAGCCTTTCAAGGCTGGAGGGATGGAGGGAGGCAAAGTGCCTCGAAGAGTGGCAGCAGCAAAAACCTGTGAAACAATGAAAATACCGCAATATATATTTTAAATTAATATTTTTTGAAAACCGTGAAACAGTGAGTCCGCTAAAAGTGAACTGCGAAGTAGTAAGGGTATGATACACTGCATTCCAAAAAGTTATTTGTTTCATATGCAGTCAGCCCTCGTATACATTTTCTACAAATCGAAAAACTGCAAATAAGCACACTGCTTTTTTAAACATGCTCTCTAGGAATCTCTTGGTCCTTCAGCACCAGTCTGTTATCAATTTCTTCCAGAGGTTGATCATCTGCCCTTGCGCTTTGCTACTCTGCTGCTGAGTACGCATGCCCAGTGTAGAACACATCTCACCATGCTAAAACAGTGGATGTGGATCTTAATGAGGCATGCCACAATATCATGGGATGTCTACATACAACATAGCTGCAGAAATTTTACTATTTAGCTGGTATTTCACCACCTGACGTCCTCCAGGAAGTAGCTTCCAATAATGAAAGGACCAAGGCAGTGATATCTCCAGCCCATCCTCTGTTCGGATATCAGCCAATGCCTTAAATCAAGAAACAGCTTCCTAAGATCTACAAATACTTGCAGGAACACTTCAGCAAGCAAGAGTCCAAAAGTGGCAGGTTAAAACCCAGAACCTCAATAAATGGATGATACCAAATGAGGGACTCCCTCCTGGGCACACAGAAGACTGTGCGACTTGGAAGGCACTGAACAGACTGAGCTTTGGCAACACGAAATGCAGAGCCAACCTTAAGAAATGGAGCCACAAAGTGAGTCCACGACATGCGCATGTGGAGAAGAGCAAACCACAGACCACCTACAACAATGCAGTCTGAGCCCTGCCACATGCACAATGGAGGACCTTGTTATAGCAACACCAGAGGCACTCCAAGTAGCCAGCTACTGGTCAAAGGACATTTAGTATAATGCCAAGTTTATTAAAATTTGTGTTTTTTAAATACATTACAACTATTCCCTCGGTTTGATTCTGATATGATAAATAAAGCAAATCATAAAATTATATTGAAGGACCTACAAATGTCTAGAGAGGTGTTATCTCTATGAATCTCTAGATCATCCATTACATCTATTTCACAGAAGATGATCATAGAACCATGTTGGAGGACTGAGACATTCCTCAAGAGAGAAAATATTAATCAAATCAGTAAATAATAAAATATGCATGGGTGACATCAAAATCCATAATTTTGGTCGCGATTTATACACAGGTCGAGCTTATGCATGAGTATATACACAGTACTAACATATTATTATTAGTCTCCACCAGGTGAATCTGATGCGCAAGTCATAGAAGGTGTGGCAGGAGAGCAGGCACCATAGCAGAATGGACAGGAAGAAAAATAGAAGGAAAGGAAAGCGTGTATGAATGGGTGGGTTTTCAAAGGGGTCTCTGGAAGACGGGCCTTTTGTCTCCGTTGCTAAGGGGGATAGAGAGAGGAGGAGGAGGAGTTCTTAGGCCTGGTGCCGACATTTTGCTCACAACCCATCTGTGCCAGCTCTGATGGGAACAGCTTCTGCGTGGGCACCTGCTGTCTCCCCACCGGTGTATAAGAGCAGGAAGGGGGCGGTGATGGATGAGGACTTGGGGGTGCTCCAAACCCTTCTAGACTGCCTTCTTCATTCCTCATATTCCCCCACCCCAGTTTCAGGTCACCAAGACCTGCTTCCTTGCATCGAGGCAGAGGCACATTCTGCTGTTCAAGAAAGTATCACCCCCAAAGAAGCCCAACACTGCTATTATAAAGGCCACATAGGTTTTCCTCTTAACTTCTCCTCTGGTTTCCACAATAGGGATCCCAGGGCCCTCTTCACCAGTATTCAGGGCAAGGGGGAGGCATCTCACTGCAGGAGTACCACCTTGAATGTTTGTCTGTTTCTCATTTGTTAGCTGGGTGAATGGTGTACTCTTTGCAACTGTGTGGTGCCCATTGGTTGTTGCTTGATATTTTCTTTTATATTTTGTTATAATGTTGTTTTATTTTGTTTTATGTCGTTGTTTAAGTATTTTAATGTGTTATATTTTAACTACGGTATGTTGATCAGGGTTGTCCCCATGTAAGCCACCCTGAATCCCTTCAGGGAGATGGAGGCGGGGTACAAAAATAAAGTAATAATAATAATAATAAGAAGAAGAAGAAGAAACACAACAAGATGAGTCCACAGTGGACACTGCTGGCTGTTTAATGAATCACATGTCAGACACTTCTTAATTGTCTAGGACTGTGTGATGTATCGGCAAATAATGCGTGCAGATCCCAGTAAGGTGGCCTTCTGCAGCTGGTAGATGATAATTTTGTCAGCACCGATTGTGTTTAAGTGCAGGCCAAGGCCTTTAGGCACTGCACCCAGTGTACCGATCACCACTGGGACCACTTTTACTGGCTTGTGCACTTTTACCGATCACCACTGGGACCACTTTTACTGTCTTTGCAGTTCGATTTCTAAATCCTCATATCATGTAAACTTTTTCAGTTGTTTTTCTTCAATCCTGCTGTTACCTGGGATGGCAACATGAATAATCCATACTTTGTTTTTTAACACGATTGTGAGGTCAGGAATATTGTGTTCCAGAACTCTGTCTGTATGAATTCGGAAGTCCCAGAGTAGTTTAATGTGTTCATTTTCTGTTATTATTATTATTATTATTATTATTATTATTATTATTATCCAAGTATTATTTTATTGTTTTGTTTTAACACTTTAACAAAGTTATAGCTTGGCACAGAACAAATCAAGAACAGAACACGAGGGATTCCGATCATCCCTGGTATCAGGACAGGACAGCCATTTCTGTGCAAGTATCAAGCCTGACTATTCTGACCCTTCCTTCTTGATGTGATCTTGTCTCTTGCTAGGATCCTTGAACGGAAACAGCCAGGAAGTGAAACCCTTGAGCTGACAGAAGAGGGAAGACCTGTTGAGGTGGTCGAGAAGCACCAGCCGGTTGTCGACTGCACTTGCTTTGGCCTCCCTCGCCGATATATCATTGCCATCCTCTGTGGTCTAGGCTTCTGTATCAGCTTTGGCATCCGGTGCAACCTGGGAGTGGCCATTGTCAGCATGGTCAACAACAACACCGTCTATGAAGGGGACAAACTCGTCATGAAGGTGAAGCTGTCCTCCCACCATTAAGGGGTGCTGGCTTTGCTTTTCTCCCAGAGAGGATACTGGTTCAGCTCTAAGAAAGGGTTGGGTGAGAAATTCTGCAGCTGTCCGTCAAATGTTAAATTGCTCTTCCCAGCAGCTTTAGCTAGCATAGCCAAGAATGAAGGATGCTGGAAGCTGTCACCTACCATCACACTGAGGGCCACACATTATATGGAGGGCCGGTTGCAAGGGGAGGTTTTCAGGTGCCAGTTGCTTTGTACAGTTGAAGGAAGAGTGGGAAGACATCACAGAGAGCCAGTATCATACATGCAGTCCCTAAGTTTCAAACAAGATAGCTTCAGTAGGTTTGTTCTTTGTATTTGTTTGTAAGACGGAACAGCTACTTTTAAAGTGTAACTTCAGCCAAAAATGTAAATCACTTCTAACGCAAAACTTCTCTCACTTCTCACCCCTGTATTTATTTATGGTATCAGGAGTGAACCAAGGGTACAGTTGTGATGTGTTTGAGAAAATGCAAAGTTTAAACTTGGCATTCTATTAATTGTCCTTTAACCAGTATCTGGCCACTTGGAGTGCCCTTGGTGTTGCTATAAGAAGGTCCTTCATTGTTCATGTGGCAAGGCTCAGGCTGCATTGTAATAGGTGGTCTGTGGTTTGTTCTTCTCCACACTCGCATGTCATGGTCTCCACTTTGTGGCCCCATTTCTTAAGGTTGGCTCTGCATCTCATGGTGCCAGAGCGTAGTCTGTTCTGCATCTTCGAAGTCGTCCAGTGTTCTGTGTGACCAGAAGGGAATTTCTCATCTGCTATCAGCCACTGATTGAGGTTTCAGGTTTTGGCCTGCCATCTTTGGACTCTTGCTTACTGATGTGTTCCTGCAAGTATCTCTGTAGATCTCAGGAAGCTATTTCTTGATTTAAGGTGTTGGCTCACTGGCTGATATCTGAAGAGAGGATGGGCCGAAGATGTCAATGCCTTCTGTGTGCCCAGGAGGGAGTCTCTTATTTGGTATCAGCCGTGGATTGAGGTTCCAGGTTTTAGATATCAGCCAGCATGCCAACGCCTTAAATCAAGAAATAGTTTAGAAATAGACATGGCCATACAGCCCAGAGAACTCACAGCAACTCAGTGATTCCGGCCATGAAAGCCTTTGACCACACACAGGAGATAATTTATTTTCCCCATTTTATTTCCCCCATCAAAACTGTCAAGAGTGGGACAGTGTATAATGGGACTTGAAGCTCTATGGATTTTAACATCAATAGGGGGGCCTGGAACCAAACTATCACTGCCCTCTATGGAAGTAATAATTTCCTGGCACACAACACATACATCCACACACATATATAGATTAGTTAACATCCCAGCTTCGTGAGGACTGCCTTGGTCAGTTTATTATATCTCTGTTCTGTTTTCCAGCCAGCATCACACTACATTCCAATAAATTCCCCGACTCTTCATATGGTTGCCTACTGACCTTGGCTTTCCTCCTGCCTTGGTCCCTCAAAGACTATTGTTAAAACCGAACATGTCACCCTATCACTATGTCCAAAAGGTTTGCATTTATGTTGCTATTTACCCAATAAAAGTCTCTTCCTGGTACTTCATTCATCTCAGGAGGTAGACTTATTCATTAATTGATTTACAGAATTTATATTCTGCCCTGAGTCACCCTGAAGGGGACTCAGGGCAGATCACGGAACACATACATGGCAAACATCCAGTACCGTTAAACAGACAGGTCCAACAACAGATAGAGGTGTATGTCGGCCTTTTCCCAACTTCGGCATCTTGGAGGTTGAGTTTGATTCCAGCCACAGGCGGTGCTGTGGCTCCATCCTCTATGATGAAGTGCCCTTGATCACAGACTTCCTCCTTCCTTTGATCACCAGCATTTTCTGGTATTTCATTTTTTATGGTGCCGTAAAATACCTCCCTGCTTAAGCAGTGCCTAATTTCTCTACTCACAGCTCACACCTGTTTTCGGAATGCTTAGGTGGACAGTGAGCTGGGCTGAAGGTCGGGTGCTCACCCTGACCCGGGCTTTGAACTGCCAACCTTTCGATTAGTATGATCTATTGCTGCTGGTGATTAACCAGCTGTGCTCAAGCCCAGTTTATAAAAAAATTATGCTTCCAACTTCTTTCTCTCAGTTCATCCCAAAGGTGCAACAAGATCCCTTTACATACTGATATTCCAATTTAACACAGCTGTGTCTTTGAATTCTACTCTATTCTATTTTAAACTGTAACTGAAACGATCCAAGCTATTTGTCTGTTCTCCTCCTCTCTACAGAAAGCAGAATTCAACTGGGATCCAGAGACGGTGGGCATGATTCATGGGTCGTTCTTCTGGGGTTACATAGTCACCCAGATTCCAGGGGGCTTCATATCACAGAAATTTGCTGCAAATAGGTAAATGCTAAGTTGTGTGTTGTTTGCTTTGTGAATGAGAAGGAGAGAATCTGTGGCCTTTAAATCAGATTAGACAATTGCAGAGTGCACTGCTCTGCCTTTGGACCTTTGGGGGTTGGGGGCTATGTAAACTGCCCCAAATGCCAACAACATGAAGGCAAAAGCCTTTGAAAGTAAATGGAAGTCCACTTTCATTTTGAAATACCAGTAAGGTTTGATGTTAATGAGTACAGGGGGAGCTTCAACACATATAAAACATGAGTTCATATTCTTATGGTCAGAAAAGAGCAAGTCTAGAGAGTCTAGAAGAGTCCCAAAGGCCACAAAAGCAGCTTCTGAGAGTCACATGCAGCCCACCATCTCCTTTTTTGACCGCCTTTTTAGAAGTGGCTAGACTCCAACTCTGAGCACATGCACCTCAGACACATAAAACACAACTGGAGATATAATGTGTATTTATAACTTCATGGCAGAGCAGATAGGTGGATCAAGTTGGTTCTGGTAATGCAGAAGTCTTTGACCATCAACAGTACCAGCCCTACCATAAGGCAGCTTGAGCTTGTCACCATAGAAACAGAAGCTGATTTGCACAAAATCTGAATGGACCCTATGGCTCAGAGTTACAGGTATGGAGGAGAAATTGGGGCATTCCCTTTCCAATAAGAATTGTGCTCTTTCCCAATGAATTGCTCCTTTAGTCCCCACATTTATATCATTATATTAGCTTAAAAACGCAAGTACAGATTTAGAAATACAGTTTAGACCAGTGTTTCGCAACCCAGGGGTTGGGACCTCTGGGGGAGGGGGTCACAAGGGGGTTTCAGAGGGGTTGCCAAAGACCAAGAGAAAATACAGCATTTTCCATTAGTCATGGGAGTTCTGTGTGGGACGTTTGGCCCAATTCTATCTTTGATGGGGTTCAAAGTGCTCTTTGGTTGTAGAACTATAAATCCCAGCCGCTACAACTTCTAAATGTCAAGGTCTATTTTTCCCCAATGCCACCAGTGTTCACATTTGGCCATATTGAGTATCCGTGCCAAGTTTGGTCCAAATCTATCATTGTTTGAGTCCACAGTACTCTCTGGATGTAGGTGAACTACAGCTCCAAAACTCAAGGTCAATGCCCATCAAACCCTTCCAGTATTTTCTGTTGGTCATGGGAGTTCTGTGTGCCAAGTTTGGTACAGCTCCATTGTGGGCTGGGTTCAGAGTGCTCTCTGATTGTAGGTTAACTATAAATCCCAGCAACGACAACTCCCAAATGACAACATCATTCACCTCCCCTCAATCCCATCAGTATTGGGCATATCGCACATTTGAGTCAAATTTGGTCCAATGAATGAAAATACATCCTACATATCAAATATTTACATTACGATTCATAACAGTAGCAAAATTCCAGTTATGAAGTAGCAACAAAAATAATTTTATGTTTGGGTGTTACCACAACATGAGGAACTGCATTAAGGGGTCACGGCATTAGGAAGGCTGAGAACCACTGCTATAGTGGGAGACAAATTAAATAAATAATAACAGCCTAGGAAGCAGGCAATGGCAAATCTACAGTGAGCAAAGCTTGCCAAGAAAACCCTGTGATAGGGATGTCTTAAGGTTGGAAGCAACTTGAAGGCAAACAACATCAAGCCAATACTTGCCAAAATGACACCATCAGAAAACACAAGGAAGATCCCATCAGGTTTGACAAAGGGCCAGAGTAAAGCAATGATTACTGAGTACCAAACTGTTTAGTGAAAATATCCCTTGGGCTGACAAAATTCCTAACATAGTCCAATGAGGACTGCATGCATGCCCCATGGTCACACAAAGTGAACCAAAGAACGACTGGGCGAAGAGTAATGGAATGGAGTGTTGTCAAAGAGGAAATGGGTGGAAGATTGTAATATGGTAATACTCCACACTACAAAAACATTGTGGTTACTTAAGTACTGGCAGAATTTAAAAGCAAGGCCTTTTTAACCATGACTCCTAGATTTCCTCTCAAAGACTCATGGAATTACAGTTCAAAACAAAACTTTCTTAAAGTTTGATTAAGATGAACACAACAAAGTATTCGTATCAACACCACTATTTGTATTAATGCCACAATTTTGGGTCCTAGGGTTTTTGGCTTTGCCATTGTGGCAACGTCCACTCTCAACATGCTCATTCCATCGGCTGCTCGTATCCACTTTGGCTGTGTCATCTTTGTACGGATCCTACAAGGGCTTGTGGAGGTAAGACATGTGCGCTCTCTCCATGCATTCTTAGAAGCCTGTAACACTGGCAATGTGTGCTCCTCACAATTAACACCAGTGGTACCGGATGCTTCTGATGCGAGTGGGGCAGTGGATCTACTCCACATATTAAAAGAGCTTTTCAAAGGGCTGAATGCCACTCCTAAGGTGAATCTGGGGCCAAATGCACCCTGCCCAACTTACAGTAGTGCTACATTGAAGTCCACATAGTCCAGTCGAGCCAACATCAGCTCAGCCCCACTGGAATTCTATGTCTCTTCCACCACTCCCAGTCAGAGATCAATGCGAACTCCTAATTGTGATGCACATTCCATTCTAACATCAGCAGAGGCACCCACAAGGTCACAAAAAGGACTGGGGCAATCTGCCCTTCTTCTTCCTGGTCACTTGTTCAGAATGGGGCACCTGTGATGGACATTAGCCAGGGCGGAGCTTTCCCTGCGCTAATGAGTGATGGTGCTATTGTCTCACCTGGACAGCGGATTGACCCGAGGTAGATTTCATTCAACTGTCTAGAACAGTTGTTCTCAACATGTGGGTCCCCAGATGTTTTGGCCTACAACTCCCAGAAATCCTAGCCAGTTTACCAACTGTTAACGTTTCTGGGAGTTGAAGGCCAAAATTTCTGGGGATCCACAGGTTTAGAACCACTGGTCTAGGAGCCATGAGTTACACCAGAGTTGTCAGCAAACTCTGAGCAAAGCCTGTTTAACTCTAAAAAATCCTGCAATACTAACTAAAAGTTAGCAACTTTACAGGGAAAGGCAGCAATGGATTCACAACGAGTCTCGGGTTTCTTAGTCATGTAGACTTGCCGTATTCCTTCTTTTGGATTGCTCTTTTAAAGTCAATCAAAAATGTGGAGTTGTTCCACCACCCCATTGATATGGCAGATCTCAACCACCACTGCTTAACAATCAACCTTAGGGGTAGATGGACTATCATAAGGTGGTGAGACAGGAACCTCAGGCATCAGACACTGAAGGATGGGAGGTAACAGTGAGGTCAAGGAGATGAGCATCCTGCAAACAGTGTGGTCTATCTGGTGCCATCTAAGGTCACTGGCTTTAGATGTGAGGAGGATGCTGTCATTAAGTGGGATGAAGGGCCCTTTCTTAATTGGAACAGATTCTTCACCAAAAGCAGCAAAATATCAGACTCAGTCCTCTTCAGTTTCATCTTATTTTAAGTGTCCTAGAGGAGAAAGCAAAGGTGGGAAAACATTTAGGTCAGTGGTTCCCAACCTGTGGTCCGAGGACCACCAGTGGTCTTCAAGAACTAAAATATGGTCCGTGGCCTCATCGTTACTTCACCATTGCAATGAGAGCTACTGGTCTTGTGAAACCCTCTTATAGTGCCGAGGCTTATTAAATAAGGTTTTCTGTGGGCGAGCAAATGGTGACTACTGCTTGCCATATGTTCTGTATCGGAAACTTGAGCTGATGTGGTCTATCCAATGCAATTTTCTGATTAAGCACCCCAAATAACCAAACCGAATCTAAAGTTGACCAAAAACTGATTCGTAACCCTTTTGGTACTAATGTTAGAGAGCGGTCCCTGGTCAAATTGGTCCTTGGTCAAGTGATCCCTGGTCAAGTGGTCCATAGTCAAGTGGTCCCTAGTCAAGTGGTCCTTGGTCAAAGTGGCCCCAGGTCAGGTGGTCCTTGGTCAAAAAACAGTTGGGAAACACTGTTTTAGGTTAAGAGGCAACATTAAGTTCTATGTTGGCTTCTGTTTCTCAAATGAAAAAAATAGCACTGGTCTTTATATAACCCTCTCTGTCCTCTCACTCCAGGGGGTCACTTACCCTGCATGCCATGGGATCTGGAGCAAATGGGCACCACCATTGGAACGCAGCCGCTTGGCAACAACAGCTTTTTGTGGTAAGGTCAGCGTGTGACCCAGGAGTCTGCGAGACTGGAGGGCCTTCCACACAGCCCTATATCCCAGAATATCAAGGCAGAAAATCCCACATTCTCTGAGTGTGGACTCAGATAACCCAGTTTAAAGCAGATATTGTTGGATTTTCTGCCTTGATATTCTGGGGTATAGGGCTGTGTGGAAGGGCCCTAGGACTCAAACCTCTTCCCAGACATAGACGCCCATTGGGTGAGCTTTGGCAAACTTCATAGTCTTAGCCTTAGTTGAAGGCAATGGCAAAGCTCCTTTAAATACGTCTTGCCAAGAAAATCCTGTAACTGGATTGCCAAACACTTGTTCAGAAAGCACAACTTTGTGACCAAGCAAGGAAACTGCATTGTCAAGGCAAATCTGTTGGTCAAATGTCTAACACATCTGTTTCTGTTGAATTTGCATCTTACTGGTTTCTGGCATGTTCAGTGTTCTTGAGCATAAGCCTAATACCAAAGTTGGAAATAACTTGTTATGATTTATAATCACAATTAATCAGTGACATTGCAAAAGTTATATATTAGTGGTAGCTGTGTTGATTATGCAGCAAAATAATACAAAATGTGATATGCACAAGTCATACCATGCAAGTTTTGAAAGCTCAATTTCGTCAAGGAAAAGGAAATTACAGCAGAGGCAACTTCTGATAGAAAATGTAGGCCTGTGATCTTTTACCATTATGGTTTTCAAAAACCTATTTTGCGTGAATAAATCCGAGGGTCTTTGAAAGCTTGCATGGTGTGTTTTGTGCATTTTAGTTCATCAACAAAGGTATTCCTCCTTTATGGATTTTGTATCATTTTACCCTATAGCCAACACAGCTATCCCTGAATATATTCCATTATGGAACAGGTCATTGTGAGGAACTAGAAATCCTGGTTTGAATACCCGATTAACCTCTTCCATATATCTTTGCAGGCTCCTATGCCGGGGCTGTAGTGGCCATGCCCCTTGCTGGCATTTTAGTCCAGTATTCTGGGTGGAGCTCTGTCTTTTATGTCTACGGTAAGTAAACTGGAGACAAACAAAGAACGTAGTTCTGTTTTATCATAAAGACTTGGTTGTCCAGATGTTTTCAACTTCTATGGACAAGGGATTACATACTCTTCCAACTTTCTTGATTTGGAAGAGACATTCCTGATTAATCCTCCATCATTCCACTTTTTATGATGCAACATTTCCCAGTTTCTCTGTCCTCCTCCCATTTTTTCTTGTCCTCAGCTTAATTTAGTTGTTGGAAACTGAGTTCCAAGCACAAAATCAGTTTGCATTCAATAAATTTACAAAGAGGAGATGGGAGGAGGAGGAGGCAGCAAACACTTGCCCTTCCCAGTGGGCTTAGGCTAAAACAATCTGTTGCGGTATCTTCTAGCTTCAGTGGTTTTCATTGATAGCTCTGTTGTCTTGACCATATATGTCCTGGTTTTCATTTGTGAAACATTGGAAGGCATTGTGTTGTATTGTGGTGGTAGGAATTGTAGTCCAAAGGATCACAAAGGTTAAAAACCCTTGTTTATTTTGAAAAAGGCATTTGCAACCTTTTGGGAAAACCATAAACTTTTGTAAAGTATGATCTTCCTAAGAAGAGTTAAATACTCATTTGAGTGAATCTTCTCCTTAGTGCAGTAGTTCCCAACCTGTGGTTCGTGGACCACCAGTGGTCCCCGGACTCACTGTTACTACAGCATTACCTCAAAACCACGCAGCAACAAGGGTGACTGGTCTCACGCAACCGTCTTATAGTTCCCAGCAACCGGGATGTCTGATTTTCATATTTTTTTCAACCTTGGCCTCCTCCTCCTCTTTCTTTTTCACAAGCATTAACAAAATCCACAAATAACAACACAGTACATCAAAAAAAATTCTTTCTGTCTTTGTTTTTAGGCCTTTTCCTGGGGTTATTTGGGGTGCTGAATCAGAAAATTGCATTGGATAGAACACATCAGTCCTAGATTATCAAATATGGTTTTCTGTGGATGAGCAGATGGTGACTAGTGGATGGCATATGTTCTGCATCAGAAACTAGAGCTGATGTGGTCTATCCAATGCAAATTTCTGAATCAGCACCCCAAATAGCTAAACCAAATCTAAAGTTCATAACCTTTTTGGTACTAATGGAGAGAGGTCCCTGGTCAAAGTGGTCTCTGGTCAAACTGGTCCCTGGTCAAAGTGGCCCCTGGTCAACAAAAGGTTGGGAACCACTGCCTTAGTGGTAAATAAATATCCACTAGTATTTATGCAAGGCAATTTAGGTTTCTCAGTTATTAGAGTGATATACCTGCTTTATCTCTTTGAACTGTTAGGAACAAACACATGCCAACGCACAAAATATATAGCAGATTTTCAGAAGTGATATTTCAGTTACCCAAAAAAACACCTACTCTCCCATAAAAACCATAAAATATATTGGTTTTTAAATCACACTCTCAAGAGACAAAATAAATGGTCTTCATTAAAATAACTGTTGATTTGCTTACAAACTTTGTGTATTCAGCATACAGGTACATTACTTATCAGTTGAAATAGTTTAAACAGTCTGTTCTCTAAGGCATTTTGTTAGGGAAAACTGCATATCAATATACATATACATAATATAGTAAACAATCTGGGGAGCCCCCAGTATCGCAGTGGGTTAAACTGCTGAGCTGTTGAACTTGCTGATTGAAAGGTCGCAGGTTTGAATCCAGGGAGCTAGCGCTGTCAGGCCCAACTTCTACCAACATAATAGTTCTAAAACATGCAAATGTGAGTAGATCAATAGGTACCACTCTGGCGGGAAGGTAACGGCGCTTCATGCAGTCATGCTGGCCACCTGACCTTGGAGGTGTCTACAGACAATGCCGGCTCTTCGGCTTAGAAATGGAGATGAGCACCAACCCCCAGAGTCGGGCACAACTGGACTTAATGTCAGGGGAAAACCTTTACCTTTTAAACTAAGCAATCTGAATTATACACATAACAAATAACTAATATAGGAGGCTTGTGGAAGGTAGCTATTTCCAACAGTTTATTCAGTGGTCAGTTTGGAAAAGTTTTTTTGCATTTTGCATTGGGCCAGAACAAAGTGGACAGAATGAAGAAGGCATTACAAGAGCTCTTTCCATTGTCACCAATCCTGTTGCATCAGAATACAGATGCATGCAGTCATCCTGACATTCTGTCCCTTGGCAGGTAGTTTTGGTATCTTCTGGTACTTATTCTGGCTGATGGTTTCCTATGAGAGTCCTGCACAGCATCCGACCATCACAGAAGAGGAGAGGAAGTACATTGAAGAAAGCATCGGGGAGAGCTGTTCTCTGATGAATCCCCTAATGGTCAGTCTTGCATTTATCATTTGTGCAGTTTGGGAGTAACAAATCACAAGTATTGTCAAAGGCTTTCATGGCTGGACTCACTGGCTTGTTGTAGGTTTCTCAGGCTGTATGGTCATGTTCTAGTAGCATTCTCTCCTGACGTTTCACTTCCATCTGCGGCAAGCATCCTCAGAGTTTGTGAGGTTTGTTGGAAACTAGGCAAATGGGGTTTATATATCTGTGGAAGGTCCAGGGTGGGAGAAAGAACTCTTGTCTGTTGGAGGTAGGTGTGAATGTTTCAATTGGCCACCTTGATTAGCATTTGATGGCCTGACAGTTTTTAGGTGTGGCTTGTTCCTGCCTGGGAAATTCCTTTCTTGAGAGGTTATTAGGTGTTCCTGGTTATTTCTTGTCTGGAATCCCTCTGTGTTTGAGTTTTGTTTTTTATTTACTGACCACTGACTGCATAGGGAAGCTGATGAGGAAACACAACATACAAACTATCTACAGACCCACTAAGAAAATCCAATAAATGCTACATTCAGCAAAGGACAAGAGGGATCCACAATTGATTTCAATGGTTTCTCAGGCTACACAGAAAAGCCACTGAAATCCGCAAGCATGTGGACAATTTCAACAGAAAGGATGAAACCATGAAAATGAACAAAATCTGGCTACCAGTATTAAAAAACTCAAAAATTATAACAGTAAATAAAAAGTAAAAGTCAAACACAGGGGAACTCCAGACAAGAAACAATCAGGAACACCTAATCACCTCTCAACAAAGGAATTTCCCAGGCAGGAACAAGCCACACCTAAAAACTGTCAGGAATTGTGGGAGTTGAAGTCCAAAACACCTGGAGGGCTGAAGTTTGCCTATGCCTGGTATAAGGGATACTTAACCTGCAGTAAATTAAGAAATATAGCAATTACTTTTTGAAAGATAAGTTTCCAAGTACAGATTATGAATGAATATCCCACGGCGTTCCCTAGCTGTCATCTTCCAGATGTGTTGCATTGACAGTCGCATCAGACAGTCCCCTAGAAAATGGGTTGGGAATGGAAGAAACTCTCTTTGGATCCACTTTGAGGAAACAAAGACAAACTTTGGGATTCTGATGGAGAAAAATAATAATAGTTGATGGTTCAAGGACTTGAAATTATTGACGTCATGCCTCTGTTGTTATTCCCCTCTTGCTTTGTCAGAAATTCAAAACCCCTTGGCGCAAGTTCTTCACATCCATGCCTGTCTATGCCATTATAGTGGCCAATTTTTGCCGGAGCTGGACTTTCTACTTGCTCTTAATTAGTCAACCAGCCTATTTTGAAGAAGTATTCGGCTTTGAAATCAGTAAGGTGAGACATGGCACTTGACTGGGCATTTCTGGGCAGTTATGCGGGTGAATGCTTATTGGGACCAAAAAAAAACCCCAAAAGAAATAATAATAATAACAATCATAATAATATCTCTGAATGCATTGCAGAAAATGCTTTCAAGTGGTAAATGTTGTAGTACTAATACAAACTTATCTAGAAACATAGAATCGTAGCATTTGAAGAGACCTTGTGGGCCATCCAGTTCAATCCCCCACCAAGAAGCAAGAAAATCACATTCAAAGCACCCCTGATAGATGGCCACCCAGACTCTTTTTGCAAGCTTGCAAAGAAGGAGCCTCCACCACACTCGGGGGCAGAGAGTTCCACTACTGAACAGCTCTCACAGTCAGGAAGTTCTTCCTAATGTTCAGGTGGAATCTCCTTTCCTGTAGTTTGAAGCTGCCACTTCATCACACTAGAGAGAGAAAATCCACTTAAAATCCGGTTTCTCCCTCCTGCAGAATTCTGAGGTTTGTAATTTAGTGAGGCTGTCAAAGACTCCTCCCTAGACTACAAATCCCAGAATTCTGCAGGAGACAGAAACTGGATTTTAAGTGGATTTTTTTCTCAAGTGTGAGCTCGAGGTCAGCAGAAAACAAACTTGGTCCCTCCTTGCTATGACTTCTCATCACATGTTAAATGGCTCTTTCCCCACTTTTTTGTGGTGGAACAGGAACCCATCCTTTCTCTCTCTATGTTATTTCTGCCTCTGCCTCCAATTTTTCTGTTAAAGAAGTAATGCCCAGGGAAGTATATGTGAACTGAAGCACACTTCTATCTTTTGCCTTCCTCTGCTATCATCAGAGGCGGCCCTAGGTAATTTTCAACGGTAAGCAAACAGTATTTTGGCACACCCCCCCCCCCCCAACCAATCACTGATATATATTTTCTGTTCGTCGTGGGAGTTCTGTGTGCCATATTTGGTTCAATTCCATCATTGGTGGAGTTCAGAATGCTCTTTGATTGTATGTGAACTATACATCCCAGTAACTACAACTCGCATATGTCAAGATCTATTTTTCCCCAAGAGCACCTCAGGAGCTCCTCTGGGCAAAATCAACTATACTGCAAATGCTTACTTTGCGTAATGGGTTGAGCCCCCCCTGGCTATCATGAAAGGGGATCAGATTTTAGACAGGCACTGTCCCATCTTCTCAAATAGTAGGGTTGCCCCTGTGTATTGCTAAATATAACAAAGAGAGAGAAGGACCCTATTTGTATCCTTTGTGGCTGCTTCTTCTCCCGGTGAAAAGATGGCTATCATCCTGTTTTTGAAGATACTGAGTGTCTGTTCTTCTTCTCTTCCTTGCATACAGGTGGGTATGCTTTCCGCTTTGCCCCACCTGGTCATGACCATCATTGTACCCATTGGGGGTCAAATCGCTGACTTTCTGCGAACGCGGAGGATCATGTCTACCACAAACGTTCGCAAGATGATGAACTGCGGGGGTGAGAGAGAAAAGGGGCTTCGCAAATGTTTTGGGAGGTTACCTGAGTGGCAGTATTTGTTGCTATCGTTCCTGGAATGTTTACAATATTCAAAGCACATTTCTGCTGTCTTGGACTATTTTCTAGCTATTTCCAGCACCAACTGCAACATTTTATTCTCAGCACCACATGGATTTCTTTTTAATTCCAAAAAAATGGCAAGAAAATCTGTCCCTTCTCTTCTTTATAATTTTTTATATTATTTATTTATTTATGACATTTATATGCCGCCCTTCTCACCCCAAAGGAGACTCAGAGCGGCTTACAAGTCATATGTACATAAAACATACTATATTATTAGCATACTACTAATACATCATTCATATTCGAGTTACAGTATTATAGTGTGCCAGTGAAATATTTATTTGTTTGTTTGTTTCTTTGTTTATCATGTCAGAAGCAAATTGAGGGTACAGTTGTAAAAACACAAACAAAGTTAACTTGGCATTATACTAAATGTCCTTTCACCAGAAGCTGACCACGTGGATTGCCTCTGGTGTGGCTGTAAGAAGGTCCACCATTGTGCATGTGGCAGGGCTCAGGCTGCATTAAATGATCTGTGGTTTGCTCTTTTCCACACTTCCATGTCGTGGACTCCACTTGTAGCCCCATCAGTGAAATAACACCTTTAAACACTAACATTAAAAATCAAGAAAAAAAAACTTCCGGAGTGCTGAAACCCCATTGCAAACTTTGCCATATTAATTCAATCAAATAAACAAAATTCCTTGGAAAAACCCAAGCACAGATACAAAAAAAATCTCTACCAACAAAAATGAGTGAAAGCAGAGGCAATAGTCAAAACCCAAGGAGTTCTAGAACAAGAATAGTTATATGTATGTGTGATGGTCTCATCACCACAATTTCCATTACCCTCAAACCATAAATGTCCTGGCTATGGATAATGGGAGTTGTACCTGATGAAGCGGGTATCTTTTCACTTATTTTCTTCTCATGTGAAAGAATAATTTCCATTTTTCCTTGGCCTATGGCTAGTACAATAAACAACTCATTGGCAGTCAATTTTCCTTGCTGGATAATTTGATATTTTTCCACACATGTGTTTTGCCCCCCAAAACTCCACTTTATAAAAATACAGATTATTGCACAAAATGTTATTTTCTGTACAACCCAATGTGGCTGACCATTTTCACAATAGTATATCTCAGATTTCCTATCACCACATCTCATCATGGACAAGAAAATTTTGGAATATCTTTTGTACATTTCTCAGACCAAAAACATTTGGAAAGTGCCAGACTGGAAAACATTAATTTAGACAAATAAAAGGGCCTTTGAACCTTTCCTAGTAGATAGCCTTTTTGCTGGGGAATTGACTTCTATATCAAGTTGTTTAGTTGTTAAATCTTTATTTTGCTTCTTATGCCTCTGTGTTCTCAGGATTAAAACAAATGAGGGGGATGACATACTCTTGCTCAGATCCAATAGTAGGAAAGCAGAAACAAACAGCAGATATCAATCCAATCGATAAAGCACCGCAGATTAATAAAACCCATCTTCTAGAGTGTCTTAAAAGGTTTTAAAAGCCTGGCTGGGAGAAGAACAAAGTATTTTGGTGTCAAAATGGCACATCAATGCTTTATAGAGGCTGAGGATTGAACTTGTTGTGACCTTATGCTTGCAGAGTATATTCTGTGCTCCTGATCCACATCCCCACAAAGATTTGCTGCCCTTTTTGTTCTATGAATAGATTCCAGAAATCCAGGAAGCTGCCCTGTCCTGGGCGCATTCACATACGAGGGGCATTCATTAAAGATTTCCACTGACCTACTTTATCACAGGACACTGAAACTGCACATGTGTAATGATATATGTGTCTATAGGTTACATGCCAATTTACAACTCAGAACTGATAACGGTCTTGATTTTACAGGTGCTGAAGTGGTGTGAGGGTTGATAATGGACTCAGTGAAATACAGAGCAGTCATTAAGTTCCTTTACTCAAAAGACCGCACACCAAAAGAGACATTCAATGAGATGAAAGATGTTTATGGTGATGATTCCCCATCATATGATGTAGGCAAGAACTGGCATCATCAATTCAAATGTGGTTGGACGTCAATACAGACATCTCAAATTCCAGGGTAACCTCATTCTGCTATTGATGAACACACCATCCAGCAAGGGGAGGTTGCCATTTTGGAAAATCGCTGCATAACCATTCGCATCTAGCCCAAAATGTCAAGATTAGTGTAGGGTCTGTGGAAAAAATCATCCAAGACCATATTCACATGCATAAAGTACCCGCTCACTGGGTCACCCGGCTGATCACACCTTTCCAGAAGCAGGAATGAGTCAAATGCTCTCAGGCTCTATTGACGATGTGCCATTGAAACCAGTAGGACTTTTTCAACAGACTGATGACACAGAATGAAAGCTGGGTCCATTACTGTGATCCTGAGACCAAAGTCCAGCCGATGCAATGGAAGCATCATGACTCACCGCCTCCAAAGAAGGCATGTAACCAACTCTCAGCAGGCAAGAACATGCTCACAGTATTTTGGGACCATCGCGGAATAGTATTGATGGATTTCCTAGCAAAGGGGACCATGATCACTGGGGCATACTATGCTTCACTGCTACCAAGATTTCAGGAGACCATCATAACCAAGAGATGTGGCATGCTCACCAAAGGTGTCTGCCTTCTGCAAGACAATGCACCAGTTCACAACTCACATGTTGCCCAAATTGAAGCGTGCTCATGTGGCTTTGAAATTCTACTGCATCCCTCTTTTTCACCTGACCTTACACCATCGGACTTCCACCTCCTTTCAACAATGAAGTTATTTTTGAAGGGAAATCATTTTTAAATGACGAGGCTCTGATTTCCAAAGTCACAATGTGGCTTTTGGAGCAATCTGTTTACTTCTACAAGCGAAGTGTTTGCAGTTGCTTAAAAAGATGGGAGAGATGTATGTGCCTAGGTGGAACCTATATAGAGGAGGATGAATAACTGTGCTAAGTTTCCTTGCTCTCAGTCCACAGAAAGTGGGTTGGGGAAATCTTTAATGAATGCCCCTCGTATTATGATAAAACAAGATTTATTGCTTAAGCTACAAATTGAATAGAATGCAACCAAACAGTTGCTTCCCACTTTTTCTGATGTTTTGCTTCAAGTGAGCATTTGCAATTAACAAGTTAGAGAGAAGTTACAGTCGTGGATTCAGGCATCATGATAAAACAGGCATGGGCAAACTTGGGCTCTCCGGGTGTTTTGGACTCCAACTCCCACAATTCCTAACAACCTCAGGACCTTTTCTTTCCTCCCTCAGCCACCTAAGTGGCTGAGGGGGAAAAGGAAGAAGCCTGAGACTGTTTGAAATTGTTGGAGTTGAAGTCTTAAACCCCTGGAGTGCCCAAGTTTGTCCATGCCTCCAATAAGCCATGGTTTAAACAAGACAGAATATATAAAACAACAACAAGCTATTGGGGATTGTGGCTGATTAACAAATCATGGCTTGTTTACAAAAGATGGATTCTCACAGCACAATGACCCTGATTTTAACCAACTGCAATACAGTTGGTCATGGTGTCTCTATTACACGTTATTCTTGACAGAGGCTTAGATCCTGCAGTGCTTCAGCATAACATAAATATAAATGCAGTTAACGTCAATTGGAGTGTGGTTCCAGGATATCAAAATCCATGGATGTTTAAGTCCTGTTATATACAGTGGTGTAGTAAAATGGTATCCCTTATACAAAATGGTAAATTCTAGCTTTGCTTTTTGATACTATTTTGGAATATTTTCCAGCCATTGAGGATTGAATTCATGGATGCCGAATCCAAAGTAAATGGATGGCCAACTTGAATACTTCCACGGTGCAACCCTTGTGTTGCACTCTAGCCTGGATTCACCTTAGCACCCAACACCACACAGGAGTCCAATAGTATTAACTAAATGGTTTATTGAGAAAAACACACATAAAAGGCCAAAAGGCACAAAGTACTATAAAAAGCAATGTCCAAAAAGCAATAGGAAAAGGGCATTCCAAAGGCAATAGTCCAAACAGCAAAGTTTTGTTCAAAAGTGAATGCCTTTTCAAGAACAGGAACCAAAACATAGGCATAAATCCATAACCAGAAATACAGGAATTTCTTTCAAAACATGAATGCAAGAACTTGAGTACAAGACTTTCCCAAAAATCTGAGACATAGACGTCAATGTGGAACAAGTCCCAAGATCTACACTGTAATGCAGCGTTGCCTGCTCTGATCCTTAAGTAAACAGTCCTTTAATTTAAGGACACCACAAAACCATGAAGTCATGCCTGTGACATCTGCTCTATTGCTTCAAGGATTTCTCACTCTGTTGTTTCTCGTGGAGTCGCTGTGACCTCCATAATCTGGCTCCCTCCTCCCGGAGGTTGAGCCTCAAACTCCTGCTAACTTCAGGTGTGTTTCCAGGGGAACGATCTCTCCCTTCCAATTCCTTATCTTCCATTGCCAAGGAATGACTAGGGGAAAAAATCTTCCTATTGTCTGATGCCCCCACATCTCTCTCTGCTCTGCTCTGAAGCCATTTCTCTCTCACTAGACACAGACCCATGTCCCAGGCAGAATCCTGATCTAAAATCCTCTCATTTTCCTCACAGGAAACCTATCAGTCCTCACAACCTATGATAAAACAATCCCCTTGTCTTCAGCCTCTGGCTGAACTACAACACCTTGTTCTCAACAGCAGCACAATGCAACAAATGTTTGTGGCTTTCAGTATGTAGTGAAATAGCTATCTGTAACATCAAACTACGCTGTAAACTTTAATGCACATCCAGATGGTTCCACATGTGCAATGGTACAATGGTTCCACATGTGCAATGGTTCCTCATGTAGAACACTATTCATAGAACCATCATTTGGATATGACTGTTGCACATTATCCATAAAATTCACTCCCAACGCACAGCACAACTTAGCTCTGTCTATGTCACACAGAGGAATGGTGTGGCGAGTGAATGTTATCCAAGGTTTCAAAAAGGAAGTTATTCCGGTCCTAATGGGAGATGGTGGTAGCTGAAACTAGAACCCCCTGCATATGAACTATGGATTATTCCAATGAGCTGTGACCACTTCTCTGCAACACACACATAGCTGCAACACACACATGTATTCCAAGGATCCACAACATCTTTTGTTACAAGGATTGCATTCAGTTTAAGCAAGGTTCTCAAAATGTGAGAGAAAGTCTACAGCCAAGATGGAAAGAGAGAAAAATACTATCATTCTTTTCCTGTTCTTACTGCCAAGAACAAATGCTTTAGGAAAACCTTTCAGCCTTTGAGAATGAGGGGTGGGGGAGAGCTTGTGAAAATGCTGAAAAACCATCAGACAGTGGTATCAAAGGGGAAGATTGTGACTGTGTAGGAAACTCCTGACAAGAGGGTGAGATTAGGTTTGGCACCAAAGCTTAGTAATCTACTCCTAGCACAATAGATTAAACTCTTGTGTCGGTAGAACAGAAGACTGACAGGTTGGAGGTTCGAATCTGGGGAGAGAACGGATGAGCTCCCTCTGTCAGCTCCAGCTTCCCATGCAGGCACATGAGAGAAGCCTCCCAGAAGGATGGTAAAATATTAAAACATCCAAGCGTCCCCTGGGCAATATCCTTGCAGACAGCCAATTCTCTCACACTGGAAACAACTTGCAGTTTCTCAAGTTGCTCCTGACACACAAAAAAACCCCTACTCCACTCTCATTCTTAGGTTCCTAATTGTAGTCAAAAGGGCCAAATAAACACAGCTGTGGTTGGGGACAGTGGCGACTAATGGCTTCTATGGCAATAAGATTGTGCAACTGTTCCTGAGTTAAGTTTGAGCTTTCATGGAGCTATCCAAGGTAGTGAAACATTGGCCCCAGAATGAATGAAGTGACTGAATGTAATAAGAATCACCACCTACTACTGAAGGCTCAGGGCCCTTCCAGACAGGTCCTATATCCCTGGATCTGATCCCAAGTTTTCTGCTTTAAACTGGATTATATAAGACCCCACTGTCAGATAATGTGGGATAAACAAAAAACCTGGGATCACATCCTAGGATATAGGGCCTGTCTGGAAGGACTCCAGACAGCAAATGTACAGTGTCATGAAAGGACAGGAATTTTTTAGTAGATTTGCTGTTTTTGTCTCCTTATTCATAGGAATAGGGTAGGAATACTCAAGGGATGATCTACCTTGGTGCCAATGTAATTTAGCTGTCTTTGAGTCCCGTGTCCCTTGATTTGTGACGTAGTGATGGTGATGTCTGTTGTTTTGCTGTAGGTACCACTGTCTTAGGGAAGACTTTACCTTCAATTGTGTCTCCAAGGTCACTTCCTCCATTTTTCTCTCTTGCTAGGGTTCGGCATGGAAGCCACGTTACTCTTAGTGGTCGGCTATTCCCACAGCAAAGGGGTTGCCATTTCTTTTCTCGTCATGGCTGTGGGCTTCAGTGGCTTTGCTATTTCAGGTAAGCTCATGGGAATTCCTTTTAGGCACAGTAGGGCTATGGGTTAAATCTTATCTCTGCTCACCACAGGGCTTCCTCAGACCCATTTCATTTGGCCCTGTGCATCACTTAGAGAAGTGGTTCTCAACCTGGGGTCCCCGGATGTTTTTGGCCTTCAACTCCCAGAAATCCTAACAGCTGGTAAACTGGCTGGGATTTCTGGGAGTTGTAGGCCAAAAACATCTGGGGACCCCAGGTTGAGAACCATTGACTTAGAGAAAGGGAATTTAGATAGATAGATAGATAGATAGATAGATAGATAGATAGATAGATAGATAGATAGATAGATAGCCCCCTGGTAGCTGCTGAACTTGCTAACCAAAAGGTTGGCATTTTGAATCCAGGGAGCAGGGTGAGCTCCCACTGTTAGCCCCAGCTTCTGCCAACCTAGCGGTTTGAAAACATGCAAATGTGAATAGATCAATAGGTACCACTTCTGCAGGAAGGTAACTGACTCCATGCACAGTCATGCTGGCCACATGGCCTTGAAGGTGTCTATGGACAATGCTGGCTCTTTGGCTTAGAAATGGAGTTGAGCATCACCACCCCAGAGTCGGACACGAGTAGACTTAATGTCAGGGGAACTCTTTACCTTTTTATATATATCTGGCGTTAATTCCTGTTATTGTATCCTCACTTCCAGGATTTAATGTGAACCACTTAGACATTGCCCCCCGGTATGCCAGTATCCTCATGGGCATCTCCAATGGCGTGGGGACTCTCTCGGGAATGGTGTGCCCCCTTATAGTCGGAGCTATGACAAAACACAAGGTAGGAAACAAAACTTCTGTTTTCTTTAGTGTTGGACTCTGGGAAACCAGAATTTACTCCTTGCTCAGCCATGGGAACTTCACTGGGTGATCTTTAGCAAGTCACACTCTCTCAGACTAACAGGAAGGGAAAGGCAAATCTCTTCTAAATAAACCTTTCCAAGAAAGCCCCATAAATTAAAGAGACCTTGAGGGCATATAACCACAGTAGTCTGTATCCACAATGGTCCTTGATTGAATTTCTTCCTCCTCAAGTTTCCAATTTGTTACATTAAATGCCCTCTTGGATGCATAGAGTACCCAAACTGCCAGTTTCATCTGCTCTCCCTTTTTGTAAATTGTATCTTCAGGGATAAGTGTATCTTATTGATTGCCACTGTTATAATAGGTTTTTGATATTCCCACTGTAACAAGCTATGCTGTATCCTAATACCAAGCTTTGGCATTTATTCAAGTCTTTATAAGGATTAATTAATAATTATTACAGGCAAATGGGAAATATGGCAAAATATTTCAGTGTGTAGTATCTCATTTTTGTTAGGGAAAACTACCCTAAAATATAGCAGAGTATCCAATAACAAACAGGATCCAACAGTTGAGTATCAGCTCATTAGCGAGCAGAGCGTGAAGTGCCATGAGACATGGCTGTAAAGAATACAGAGCTTAGGAGGCAAACATGCAAAGTCCAATCTTTAAAAAATCACAAAAGGTTTATTTACAATAAAAAGAAACTAACTAAACTTCTTTATGGGAAAGAATTGGGTCTGAGCTACTCTAACATCCATCTCTTCTAAGGCTTCAAGTGAGGGAAAAGCTCAGGGCCCATCCAGACAGTACCTTTATTGCGGTAACTCCCACAATAAAGAAGGGGCTGTCCAGACAGTGTTCTGGACAGTCCTGAATTAATTCACTACAAACCAGGAAAACCCTGGTTTGTAGTGAATTAATTAGATAATGGATTTATTCCATGCCTTCTTGGAAGGTGCAGGATAAACCCACTATTTTTGGTGTCTGGACTGCAGTCCCCAAACCCTATTGAAAAGTAAAGAAAACTTACCTGGCCTCCAGTACACTCTCAAAGCAGCTCTCCTGGTGTGTAGAAATGACATGCCAGGAGAGTGGGGGGAAGAGGAGGAAAATTGCTCCCCTGCCCAGTTCTGGACAGTCCTGAATTAATTTACTACAAACCAGGAAAACCCTGGTTTGTAATGAATTAATTAGATAGTGGATTTATTCCATGCCTTCTTGGAAGGTGCAGGATAAACCCACCATTCCCACAGATTTCCGGACTAAACTAGTCCAGAAAATGTAGGAATACCCCCCCACTTGCCCAAAGCCCCCAAACCCTATTGAAAAGTAAAAAAAAACTTACCTGGCCTCCAATACACTCTCAAAGCAGCTCTCCCGGTGTGTAGAAATGACATGCCAGGAGAGCGGGGGGGAAGAGGAGGAAAATCGCTCCCCTGCCCAGCAATCCTGGCATGCCGTTTTTATGCTGCTCCAAGAGTGTACTGGAGGCCAGGTAAATTTATTTTACTTTTCAAAGGGCTCTGGGGGCTTTGGGGGTGGGTGGTAGGGCCTCCAGATGTTCTCATGGGCTAGTCCCATGCACACTTTCTGAAGTGGGTATGAACAGGCCGCCAGGAAGATGCACGTTTTTAAAATGTGAATTCTCCTGGGATAAAGGCCTTTCTGGATCCACCCTCAGTCACTACATCTATCCTGACACACAGGTAGAGAGAGATCTCAAAGCACACAGCACATACTCTCCATACTAAAGTGTAAGAAGGCAGATTCAAAAAGGCTTGCAGTAGAAAAGAGAAGTGAATTTCCCATTGGACATATATACAGAGCTTAGAATCAACTGGTTTAAAATAGTAATAACTTCACTTACCTTCTTATTATAAGCAATTGTACAACAGACTGTGAGTGGTTTCTTAGTGATGTATAGCACTTAATGGCATCACCAAATCAACCCTAAGACTCAAGAATGGGACCAGAAATTTCAGAATTTGGGGTGATGTAGAACTGTCAATCCTCATTCTAAGTAATCCACCTTTTTGCCTTTGCTTTTTGACAGACACGGGAGGAATGGCAGTATGTTTTCCTCATCGCCTCACTGGTGCATTACGGTGGTGTGATCTTCTATGGGATTTTTGCTTCCGGCGAGAAGCAGCCGTGGGCAGAGCCGGAAGAACTCAACGAGGAGAAGTGTGGCTTTATCAATGAGGATGAACTCATTGATGAAGAGGACGAGGCTGCCCGCATGGCGGTGGGTGGCGGAGGGGCTGGGGGTGGATACGGTGCCACCAAAAGCACCAGTTTTGCCAACGGCGGCTGGACAGCTGACTGGGACAAGAAGGAGGAATACGTACAGGAGCCTGGCAAAGATTCATATATGTACGGCACACCAGGAGAGCGGGACTTATCGTAGAGGTGCCCCATCCCTCCTCCTTCGTGGGATGCTGGGGCCTCGGTTCAATCTGCTGGAGCGAGGGGGAAAGGCGTACATTTTGGGTTGCTTCTCGCCCTACACCTTTCACTTGGCCACCCTTTCCTTCCCTCAGCCCACATTTTGGTGCATTGGTAAAACTGTCTGGACCCATTGAAAACGGCCCCAAACTCCTAGCCTTGGTAATAATGGCCTGAGAAAATGTATTTTCATCCAAAGCTTTATCCTGCCCTTTCCAATGGGTTTTGGGTTCTGCTGTGGGCAACAAAGCAGGCTTTGCATTTTCTACCCATTCCTAGCTTCCTTGGCTCTAACACAGTATCCGCTCGCTTGGATAAAGAGGGTGGCATTAAATTATACAGCTAAGCATACTCCAGGACTCCTGAATCAAAGCTAGTGGAAACATTTTGCTACCCAGTGACAATACTTTAACACTGGAGCCTAGGTCAAACAGAGCTTCATTCACATTATGTAATTCCAGTACTGTGTTCCACCTTGAATGCAGTGGCAACATCCTTTGGAGTATTGGAATTTGAGGTTTAGGGAGGGGTTTACTTAGAATATTCAGCCAGGCAACTCTAGTGCATCAGCGACCTACAAAAACTTAGGATTCCATAGGATGTTGCCATGGCAGTAAAAGTGGAGTTACAATGCTATAATTATGCAATGTGAATGGACTCCTGGAAATATGAGACATCACAGTTCAGTGATAGAGCATATGCCCACACTATTATAGCTGTATGATTCCACTAAATGCCATGGCTACATACTATGGCAGTGGTTCTCAACCTGTGGGTCCCCAGGTATTTTGGCCTACAACTCCCAGAAATCCCAGCTGTTAGGATTTCTGGAAGTTGAAGGCCAAAACATCTGGAGACCCACAGGTTGAGAACTACTGGCCTATGGGATCCTTGGGTCTATAGCCAGGCAATGCCTAGTGTTCACTCCTTGGCATATCTCTGCTGACATAAAAGAATGACTTGTTAGAAAGTCAAGTAGGGATACAGATCAGAGGGTGATTCAAGTATGGTTTCCATCAGTCCAGCTTGTATAGCCAGTGAAGGCTGATGAGAGATACATTCCAACATGTGCATAGTCATATCACAGAATCACATTGTTGGTAGAGACTACAAGGGCTATCCAGTCCAAGCCCTGGCCATGCAGGAAATAGGCCATGAGATGGCTATACCTGTAGTGGATCATGCTGGGCTATATACTGATCAATATTCCAAACTCCATGTTAAGTGGATGTGTGCATTCACTCTCCAGAGACACACCTGTCCAGGGTTGGCATCTACTGAGAAATGGATGGAATTAAATTTTCCTCCATCTAAATAGTCCCATCCTGTATCTCACAGCTTCAGCAACTTTGACTTTGGATGGACAACTTTTGGTTGCCCCAATGTTCTTGGCCTGTAATGCCATCATAGCCAGTATAGTAAGACCCTGTAACCATGGAACCCATATCCATGCTTTCACTTACCAAAACCCAGGAGAAAATGGTGTTTCTTGGAATTTTCAAAGTCCTCCAGGCCAAACTATGATATGCTTCCTCTGAAAGTTATTCACAGAGTTGTGCTGGAGAACCTAGCAAATTCCTACAGAGGACGCCTCTCCAGGAATCTCTACATTTTCCAGTGTAGCCTTGGGGTACGTCGGGACCAGAAGTACAGTCACTTAATGGCATTTGGCCAGATCCATGGTTGCATGCAATCACTGTCCAACTGGAAATGTATCCCTGTCAATAGGAGGGTCTTACTGTACCGAGGAATGAAGGAAATGCCATCCCAATGACACTGGGAGAGCCACAAGTTGTTGAAGATGCTACCCCAGATTTCTGTCTCTTTCTTAGAACTAAACCAAATCATTCCCCCTTGAGAATCTATCTGGAGAGCTTTAAGGGGCAGTGCATCCAATGCCTTCAACATCCACATACCAACAAGTACCCAGTACCAAAGAAAGAGCGGTAGCTTGCTTCAGCCATAAAACCAACCAGTCTAGTACTGGGAAAAAAAATAGAGCCCCTTTTCTGCCTCCTCTTCAAAATGCCCAATTTCTAGGTACTAGAGCCAGAATCCCATTGGTATCTTATACATGTGTAAGTTTTCATACAGAAGACTTTTTTTTTTGTCTGGTGTGGAATGTCTCCAGTTCAAGATGGGAATGGACATGCTCCAAATTGTGTGCATGGCACATGGTTGCATACTGTGCATTATACATGCAGGTATACATTCTGCATTACTTGTGGAGATATGCATACCTACTGGGCTGCACAGTCTTGCAACTCAGTAATGCAGTGACGCTATGCAGCAATGACATAACTCCACAGGTAGCTGATGCTAAGTAAGGGGTTATGGGAGTGGAAGCCCAAAATGTGCAAATGAAGACCAAAAGTTCCTAACACCCCCGTGCTTGCCTGACAATCACTTTAAGCCCCGAAAAGTGGGGTGCTGATAGTAACTACCCTGGTATGAACGGAGCGAAGGGTGTTTGCTCCATACTGTGAACCAATGTTACCGAGTGGAACCTGGGACGTTGCTTTAGGACCAAGAGGCCTAGATTGCTCTTGGGAGACTTTCTGTCCAAATGGCCCTGAGCCTATACAAAGAGAATGATCGTGGCCTACCTCACAGGGATGTTGTTGGGAGGGTGGGCAAAATAGAATTGTATATGTATTTTATTTATTATTTATTTGTTGCATTTCTATCCTGCTGCCTTTCCTCCAGTGAGTTCATGGCAGCGTATGTGGTTCTCCTCTTACCCATTTTACTCCCGCAGAGTTATAAAAAAGAACTCATAATAATACTAATGGCAATGAGGAGGGGAGGGGAGGGGGGCATCAGCAGAACTGGTGGCTTTTGACGACCCCAGTATGCACATAGATGCATACACGCGCTGCTTTTATGTTGGGAATCAGCTCGCAATAAGAACGCAAACATTGGAACGCTCCAGAACACTCCGATATCCCCGCAGTTTATGATCCTCCAATTTCATGAAAGTATACTAGCTTCAGACTGGTGGTGTCCAAGAGCCCCTGGCTCAATCTATGGAGGGACACCTCCTGTGCCCCCTTCCCCATCCTAGCCTCCCCAACTCCAATAGTTCCCTCCGTGGGTTGGTTGGTCTGTCTGGCGTTCACTCTGTATGTGTAATCCTCCCCCCTTAAATAACCCCTCAACCAGTTGGAATAAATACTTTGTTCTTGTGTAAATATATAAATATAAATATTATATACGAAACCAACAGTGGTTTGAAACAGAAGGTGATTCTGTGCATGAAGTCAAGGACAAACTAATATTACGTTGTGCTGATCAGCACCATCACCTGTGTCATAGTAAAAAGAAAAGAGGTCTGTAAAGGCCAAGGGACGTCCTAAGACATTTTGCTACCTGAGTCAAGACAAGTGGGTGAATACTCACTCCACTCATATACAAGAATGGAGACTTTCCCTGTTCACTTGAAGCATTTGCTTCATTTTGCCTGATAGTAGCCCCTCGTGGCACAATGGGTTAAACACTTGTGCTGGCAAAACTGCTGACCGACAAGTCGGAGGTTCAAATCCGAGGAGAGTGCGGAGGAGCTCTCTCTGTCAGCTCCAGCTCCTTTGGCAGGGGCATGAGAAAAGCCTCCCACAAGGATGGTAAAACATCAAAACATCTGAGCATCACCTGGGCAACGTCCTTGCAGATGGCCAATTCTCTCATACCAGAAGCGACTTGCAGTTTCTCAAACTTCTCCTGATACAAAATAATTTTAAAAAAAATGCCTGATGGCATAACCAAGTGGGACCCCTATGCTCAGTTATGATAGTATCCCAGTGAACATGTTGCTAGGAAGCAATGATGGGAGAAAGCCAGTACAACACTCAAGTCCTGTTTGCTGGCTATCTGGAAGCATATGGATATCTACTATTGAATGGTTATAGGATGCTGGACCATGTGCAGTGTGGCTTATTTGGTGCTAAGGAGAAGATCCAAGACTACATCAATGGCAGCAGGAATATAAACACAAGAGAGATGAAGTGAGAGCATCCCACTCACATCAAAAATTCTGTCCTTTCTCAATGATATTTTCCTTCAATCCTCACATTTCTAGCATTGCAGGGAGTGGGGCATTGAAAAAGTCATGTGGCAAAAAGTGACCCCATTAATTCAATAGGGTCTTTTTTCAGGTAAGAGATACTCAGAGATGGGTTGCTGTGCGTGTTTCAGGCTGTGTGGCCATGTTCCAGAAGCATCCTCTCTTGACGTTTCACCCAAATTGATGCCAGACATCCTCAGAGGTGATGAGGTCTGTTGAAAACTAGATAAGTGGGGTTTATATATCTGTGGAAAGTCCAGGGTGGGAGAAAGAACTCTTGTCTACTTGAGAGAAGTGTGAATATTGCAATTGGCCACCTTTAATAGCATTTAATGGCCTTGCAGTTGCAAGGCCTGGCTCATTGCTCCCTGGGGGAATCCTTTGTTGGTAGATGTTCTCTGGCTCTGATTCTTGTCTGGAATTCCCCTGCTTTTTTAGTATTCTTCTTTACAGACGTGCCTCAAGCAGACAAGAGTTCTTTCTCCTACCTTGGATATTCCACAGATATACAAACCTCACTTACTTAGTTTCCAACAGACCCCTCAACCTCTGAGGATGCCTGCCATAGATATGGGTGAAACATCAGGAGAGAATGCTTCTGGAACATGGCCATACAGTCCAAAAAATGTGCAGCAACCCAGTGATTCCAACCATGAAAGCCTTTGACAACACTCAGAGATGGTTTTCCAGTTCCTTTTCTGAAATATAGTCTGCAACACCTGATGTTCATTGGCTGTCTCCTATTCAAGTACTAACCAGTGCTGATCCTGCTTAGCTTCCCAGATCAGACAAGTTCTTCTGCTGTCTTTAATATTGCTCTCTAGTACATATACCATTCCTTCCAGATTCACAGATTAAAACTGAGAGATGTATGATTAAGCAAGCAACATCAAAACGTGGTCACTCTGTTATGAATGTGGAAGAACACACATGCCCAGTGTGATGGCAAGCAGTTTGGTTTTACCATCGCCTCCTGAGAGGGGAAAGATTTTCCTCTTCTTTTCCTTTCCCCCTTGCTGAATTCAATTTATTTATTGTGTCAGAAGCAAATTGAGGGTACAGTTAAAATGTATTTAAAACACAAACAAAAAAAACTTGGCATTGTGCTAAATGTCCTTTGACCAGTAGCTGGCCACTTGAAGTGCTTCTGGTGTTGCTGTAAGAAGGTCCCCCCTGGTGCATGTGGCAGGGCTTGGTTTGCAGCTGAATTCAATGCATGCAAACAACTTTTGCATTTGGAACTTGGTTTACAGCATTCGGAGGAAACCAAAATAGGAAGAGGGCAGGAGAGTGAGAATCACGGACATTTAAAAGAGAAGTAAAAGGGGGATGAAAGTAGGTTAATTGGAACTGTTTTCGGGCCCCATAAGCCCTGTTCTGGTGAAACTGTGCCGTACCTAACATTAAAAAACCCAAAGGAAGATGGCTGATATTGTTCCAGGATCCAACACTATAGGCAAGGATGACAATATTCCTGCCTGCCGCTCATAGAATCACAGAATCATAGAATCAAAGAGTTGGAAGAGACCTCATGGGCCATCCAGTCCAACCCCCTGCCAAGAAGCAGGAATATTGCATTCAAATCACCCCTGATAGATGGCTATCCAGCCTCTGTTTAAAAGCTTCCAAAGCCTCCACCACACTCCGGGGCAGAGAGTTCCACTGCTGAACGGCTCTCACAGTCAGGAAGTTCTTCCTCATGTTCAGATGGAATCTCCTCTCTTGTAGTTTGAAGCCATTGTTCTGTGTGCTAGTCTCCAGGGCAGCAGAAAATAAGCCTGCTCCCTCCTCCCTATGATTTGGTATCTAGGAATCAGGAGGAAAAGTGTTGGACAACATTGCAGGTCAGTAAGTGCACCTACACTTTGGCATTGTTGCAGTTCAATTCCACTTTAACTGTCATTGCACAGCGCTATGTAATCTTGGGAATTATAATTTTACCATCTAGCTGCTATGACGCTCACAACCCTGGATCCATGACTATAGAATTAATGTAGTTCATAGAATCATATAGTTGGAAGAGACCTTGTGGGCCATCCAGTCCAATTCCCTGCCAAGAATCAGTAAAATCACATTCAAAATACCCCCAACAGATGGCCATGCAGCATCTGTTGAAAAGCCTCCAAAGAAGGAGCCTCCACCACACTCCAGGGCAGAGAGTTCCATTGCTGAACAGCTCTCACAGTTAGGAAGTTCCTCATGTTCAGGTGGAATCCCCTCTCCTGTAGTTTGAAGCCATTGTTCCACACGTCCTAGTCTCCAGAGCAGCAGAAAACAAGCCTGCTCCCTCCTCCCTATGATTTGGTATCTAGGAATCAGGAGGAAAAGTGTTGGACAACATTGCAGGTCAGTAAGTGCACCTACACTTTGGCATTGTTGCAGTTCAACTCCACTTTAACTGTCATTGCACAGTCCTATGTAATCTTGGGAATTATAATTTTACCAGACTTTTAGCCTTCTCTGCTAGGGAAGGCGAAAAGCCTAAACTACAACTCCCAAGATTCCATAGCATTGAGCCATGGCGGTTAAAGTGATGTCAAACTGCATTAATGCCAAAATGTTGATATACTCACTGACACATCATGTCATCCAACACTTCACCTTCTGGTTCCTAGATACCAAGCCCTCTGATTTAAAGAGGAAGGGGCTAGGCAACCCACCCACCATCCACAGACCTTGGCAACCTTTAACAGTAGATGGGTGGGGGAGTGAATGGCTGGGCTTCACGTGGCTAGCCAGCTGCAGCAGGATTAAGCCAGGAATAGACAGTTGGTTGAGGGATTAGAAGGCTATAGAGGAAGGAGGGAGGGAGAGGTTTGGGGAGGGCAGGTCAGAGAAGAGAAAGAAGTGCTGGGGAATAGACCGATCTGTACCGTCCCTGATTCCCACAAGGTGCCCATCTTCCCACCTGTGGCTTTTTGAGGTCACCCAATGCACACTGATAGATCCCTGTGAGATACAACCTTAGAGAATACATTAAAACCTAGCTTGCTGGAGTTTGAAGTATTTCTTGCAACAGGTCACAGGGTTTTTAAGACATCAAAAATGACTAGAAAGTACAAGAATGAAATATTCCTGACCTGGACCCAGTGCAGTGTGGCACTGGGTCCAGGAGAGGGGTATCCTGTTCTTGTAAATTGGACCAGAAATTGGAAAGGACAGCAGCATTTTTCATCCTAGGGGTTGGGACCCCTGGGGGGGGGGTTATGAGGGGGTCCCAGAGGGGTCACCATAGGGGTTGGTAATGGGGGTTATGTGTGGGAAGTTTGGCCAATTTTATCATTGGTGGGGTTCAGAATGCTCTTTGATAGTAGGTGAACTATAAATCCCAGCAACTACAACTCCCAAATATCAAGGTCTGTTTTTCTCCAAACTCCACCAGTGTTCACATTTTGGCATATTGAGTATTCATGCCAAGTTTGGTCCAAATCCATTGTTGTTCGTATCCACAATGCTCTCTGGATTTAGGTGAACTACAACTCCAAAACTCAAAGTCAATGCCAGAATTTCTAATACACCAAATCCTTCCAGTATTTTCTGTTGATCTTGGGAGTTCTGTGTGCCAAGTTCGGTTCAATTCCATCATTGGTGGAGTTCAGAATGCTCTTTGATTGTGGGTGAACTATAAATCCCAAATAAAAAAAATCACCCCTCCCAAAAACCCCATCAGTACTCAAATTTGGGCATATGTGGTATTTGTGCCAAATTTGGTCCAGTGAATGAAAATACATCCTGCATATCAGATATTTATATTATGATTCATAACAGTAGCAAAGTTAGTTATGAAGTAACAATGAAAATAATTATGTGGTTGGGGATCACCACAACATGAGAAACTGTGTTAAGGGGTTGCGGCATTAGGAAGGTTGAGAACCACTGCTGTACAGGAAGAATAGTACAGTTATTTCAATCATGTGAGGACAAGGAACCTGAAAAGGGGATTTCTTTCTCCCACAAAAAAAAATATTCCAGAGGAAGGCAGTTCTAGGAGTCCACATCTCACTTGAAGCCTAACAGCCGGTCTGTGCCAACTACTTAATGAGAAAAAGTGTATTTTGAGGACTGATTTGAAAGGAGAGCACATATTAATTTGCTTTAGGTTTTGTATTGTTGTATTGTGTGTTGAGGCCTTGGCCTTTGTAAGCCGCATAGAGTCCTTCGGGAGATGCTAGCGGGGTACAAATAAAGTTTAATAATAATAATAATAATATTCCGGGATGTTTCAGACATGTCCAGCTATTTCCCTCTTTTCCTCAAAATACGAAGCTGATGAGTGGGAAAAGGAAAGGGCCCGAGGCTGTTAGGAATTGTGGGAGTTGGAGTCCAAAACACTTGGAGGGCCCAAGTTTACCCATGCCTCTTCTAAAAGGAAGTGAGCACTGTTTTCTGCTTCAGGCTGTCACACAGTAGTCAACGAGCCATATTTGCAAACAATTGGCAGCTATTATTCCACATTTTAAGAGAACTGAATATTATTACTAACATTTAAAATCAATTTAAAATTATGATAAACATTGCCCATTATTCTATTATTCATTCACTTATATTTAACATCTTCAAATAATACTGAAGATATATCTTTTGGCAGTCATGACCACTATAAAATCTGTAGCAGCATGGTTTTTAAGAAGGTACATTACACAACTGATTCTCTATCCTTGAATACACACTACAAAAATAAGAACTTATAATATTGTCATTTGGATCAGTCCATGGCCTATAATAGTTGAAGATAAATACATTGCAAGATACCGCCCTCTAGTGGGCATGTACAGAAGTGACAGTAGAAACTTACATTTTTGAGTCTGCCATGTAGATGAATAAAGAGCTGATAGTTCAGGCATAGGCAAACTTTGGTCCTCCAGGTGTTTTGGACTTCAACTCCCTCCCTCCAGGTGTTTTGGAATTGTGGGAGTTGAAGTCCAAAACACCTGGAGGACCAAAGTTTGCCCATGCCTGTGATATTTAGAGAGATGTTTGGCTTTCTGTGGGTCCCAGAGATAGAAAGCAACCCTTTAAGACATGCCAAGCAAAAAGAGAAGGGAAGAAATTCAAGGTCATACATTCCAAGACATAGCTTAGAAAGGACGAACACAGATCTTCCCATGACAGCTCAATACTACCCGAACTGCTACACTACCTCCGCTGGGAAAATCCTTGCAAGAATCCTTGCAAACCACCTTCTACCTCTCTCAGAAGACACCCTCCCTGAATCCCAGAACTCCGCTGGACTGGCCACGTTATCCAAATGCCCGATCACCGTCTCCCAAAGAAGTTACTCTACTCTGAACTCAAGAACAAAAAACAGATTTTCCCATTAGCCAATTTTTGGGAGGTTCCCAAAAAAAAATGTATCTGAATACCCAACAAAATTTGGATACCAAAAATGGATCATCCTCCAGCCAAATTGCACAACTCTATTGTTTATACATTCACTTTTTTGAAACTACAACTACCAGTATTCCTTGGTCAGGATGTCCAGTTTATAGGGTTTCTGGGAATAGGACGCAAACACACACATACAGATTAGTTGAGTCCTTTTACCCTTTCGTTAAAAGTTTTTTGAAGTTTGATATGCGACATCCAGCATTCTTTGCCAAAGTAAAGAGCTCACTTTGATGGACAGGAAAAGAGATTTAAAGATAGGCTTAAAGCCAACCTCAAAAAGTGTTGGAATAGACGCCAAGAACTGGGAAGCCCTGGCCCTTGAGCGCTCTAAATGGAGGTCAGCTGCGACCAGCAGTGCTTTAGAATTCGAAAAGGCATGAATGGAGGGCGAAAGGGAGAAGCATGCCAAGAGGAAGGCATGTCAAGCCAACCCTGACCGGGACCGCCTTCTGTCTGGGAACTGATGTCCTCACTGTGGGAGAACATGTGGATCAAGAATAGGGCTCCACAGCCACCTACGGACCCACCACCAAGACACCACATCTGGAAGACAATCATCCTTGAGCTATGAGGGATTGCTTAAGTAAGCAATTTTCAGTGTAAATATAAACACTTGCGTTCTCTGTATGCTTCATTGCAAGGGGAAATTGCCACTTTTGGAAATAACACCTATGGATCTTTCTTTTTTCAGCTGCATGCTTTGCAGACTTGACCAGGGGATCATACTGAGTGAGCTCCACTGAAATAAAGCTTCATACAGGCTGGATTTATCTGTTTAATTTCCGAGACCAATCATGAAATCTTGCCAACGAGGAAGAACTGGGGGCAGTCACAAGATGAGTGGTTGTTTATCACATTCCAAATATTAGAATCATAAGGTTTTGCCACAGATTTGATGGCCGCCTACCTCTTTTTTTCCTTTATTTTTTAACAGCAGATTCACATGGTTTTGCTTGCATCTTTCCCAGAACCCTTAGATTTCTATTCCAACTCTGTCTCCTGAGCAGAACAGTTGGTGAATTGCCTCATAGGGTTGGCTATTGGCTCCTGCTACCAATCTGTGTGTGCACGAGTTCATGCCTCATGATTCATGGCAACCCCATTAATTCCACTGGTATTTTTTAGATGAGGAATATTCAGAGGTGGTTTTGCCAATTTGAGTTAACCAAATGGTCACTAAGGACACAGGTGGCAAGTTGCTGATCAAGAAGAAGAAGAAAGTTTCAGGACTTGTCTATTAGGCTTGTGTACAGATTAGGATTGGTTGGTTCCTTTCCGCCAATCCAGCTTGGTTGGCTTGTTTGGATGGCCGTAATGGTAAAGGCTCAGCCACCATGGTTTTTGTTTTGTCTGAAATGGCCCACGTGGCTGCCAGGCATGGCTTCTTCCCTTCTATTCAGGAGCAAGTGGCACGGGCTTTCTTAATCCTATTCCTCATACCCAGGCTCCAGCGAAAGGAAGAAAGAAAAGGAGCCCAGGAAGGGTGTTTCCTTAACCCCGTTCTTCAATCCCAGGCTCCCTTGAAAGGAAAATAGGAAAGGGTCCCACAAAGGATGCTTCCTTAACCCCGTTCTCCAAATCCGACAATGAGCACTGGAAGCGTGCTGGGCCCATAACCCGTTTTGTTATGGAAAACTACCCCAGATACAACAGAGCATCCAAAAATCAAACAGGATACAAAAGTTGAGCATCACCTCACTAGTGAGCAGAGTGTGAAGTGCCGTGTGATGTGGCTGCAAAGAATTCAGAGCTTAGAAAGCAAATATACAGAGTCCAATCTTTAAAAATCATAAAAGGTTTATTTACAAAAATCAGAAATAAATACATTTCTTAATAATAAAGAACTGGGTCTGAACAACTCTAACACCCATCTCTTCTTAGGTTTCAAACAGAGGGTTCTGAGTACCCAACAAAATTTGGATACCAAAAACGGATCGCCCTCCAGCCAAACTGCACAAGTCTATTGTTTATGCATTCCCTTTTTGGGAACTACAACTACCAGTAATCCTTGGTCAGGATGTCCAGTTTATAGGGTTTCAGCGAATCAGAGTCCTTAAAGGCACATACACACATACAGATTAGTTGTGTCCTTTTAAACTTTTGTTATTTTTTTTAAAAGTTTGGTATGTGACACTCAGCATTCTTTGCCAAAGTAAAGAATTCACTTTGATGGATTGCATAACTGAATTTGACACCACTGGATTTCTACAGGAACACAGTGGCAATGTTAATACTGCAAACTTTTTCACAGCTTAGAAAGCTATGCCCTGTGCTTAATTTAAAAAAAATTAATAGGGGGCAGATTAAAAAGAAGTGATTGCTTGGCAAATTAAATATATTTCTATGCCCATAGAGGACATTGCTATTGAATACTGCAACAGGTCTGAGAATGATAACTGGGATGTGATATGTCTGCATTTTACTTCATTTTGAGTAGCTTACTACCACGTTCTCACTATCTCTTTCATCTATTCCTGGTTTTGCTCAGACAACTCTAGTTAACAATGTTCTCTAGAGCAGAGAGGAACACCATATTCTCCGGACTACAGCTCCCATCATTCACATGGATTGGAGAACTTACTTTAGAATGACAACTCCCCGACATCTCCCAGCCAGCAGGGCCTAAAAGTACAATTTCCAAGTACTGGTCATTTCTCACCATTGTCTATTTACATTTAGAATCACACATTCCCTATTCCTGACTTCGGACTTCAGTTCTTGCCATTTTCTCCAGGAAAATTAGCAGGTATTCTGAGCCCCATTATAATAGTGTTTGTGAAGTGAATCATAGATGTAGCAAACTTCCCTAGCGGTGTGCTCAAGCCTGCCAAAGCTAACTATCCAGAATTCTAGATCACACTCAATAGCCTTCTGCATCAAAATGATGCTCTCCAGTTTTGTTGAACTACAACTCCCAGGGCCAGATTATCAATAGTGCAATTGAGCTATATTGATGGCGTAATGCAGATCTTTGCAAACATTTTTTGTGACATACCTTTTAGACATACATCATATGTCATATTGGTGACAAACTTTTTGGACATGCATCACATGTCATATTATTTATTTATTTATTTATTTACAGCATTTATATTCTGCCCTTCTAACCCTGAAGGGGACTCAGGGCGTATCACAGAACACATACACGGCAAACATTCAATCCTGTTAAACAGACAGGACACACAACAGATAGAAGTATTCTGTCGGCTTCAGTGTCCTGGAGGTTATGCTTGATTCTGGTCACAGGGGAGTACTGTCCTTTCATCCTCTATGACAGCCCAGTATCTCTTAAGGGCACAGTGGAAAATTAGGGGTATAGTTTACTACTACAGACTGAGCATCTCTTATCCCAAAATCCCCAAAATCCAAAATGATGTGCATGGGTGACCGAGAGAGTGAGACCAATACTTTCTGATGGTTGGGTATATCTGGTTTTTAGCCTCCAAAATGTTACAAATATTGTGTATATAATGACCTTTTAATGCAGACATGGGCAAACTTGGGCCCTCCAGGTGTTTTGGACTTTAACTCTCACAATTCCTAACAGCTGGTAGGCTGTTAGGAATTGTGGAAGTTGAAGTCCAAAACACCTGGAGGGTCTCCAGATATCCACCTTCCCTGACTACTAAGCTCAGCAGCTGGGGGTAATGGAGATGTATTAGAAGCCTCATTGTTCAGAACCAAGGATCTGGAAGGAGGCCAAGTAAATCTGGATTCTGGATCCTCCCTTTCGCTTGGTTCTGATTTAAACCAGCTCTGGTTTCCTCCTTCCCAAACCTGAGCCTTTGCAGAACCCTGCTGGTCCTTTTCCAGACTACAGAGAGGATTTCATTGCCTGGTCTTCAGCTGCACCTCTTTTTGGCACTGTTGAAAAGCAGTTGCTTCTTGATCTCCAACCACTACTGTTTTTCCTTCTTCCTTTTCTTTATCATGAGAGCCACTCGCTGGGGGATCTGCTCTGCAGGGAAGATCGCTCATGATTTCCTCGTCGCCCTGAAAACTTTGCCACCCGAGGATCACCAGGTAGGAGGACTTAGACCACATGCTGAAGTGTTGAGGCTGGATTAGATAGTGAAGGGGATGCTCTGCCTGTATCTAGAAAAGGGCTGGAGTTCTTTTCCCCAAATCCATATTTTTTTCATAAACAGAGAGTAGTAGACCTATTTTTGTGGACTGCAATACCTAGAATCCTCAATTAGAGATTCTGGGAGATGTAGTCCACTTTCAAAAAAAGGGCCCAATTATTCCATTCGTCTCTTTGCCCCAATTTCATTAACTTCTCATATGCATTGGGAATAGAACTTAAATTTTGTGGACTGCAATACCCAGAATCCCCAGTTAGAGATGCTGGGAGCTGTAGTCCACTTTCAAAAAAGGGCCCAGTTCTTTCATTCACCTCTTTGCCCCAATTTATTAACTTCTCATATGCGGGGGGAAGAGAACTTAAAATTGTGTGGAGTGCAATGCCCAGAATCCCCAATGAGATGCTGAGAGCTGTAGTCTACTTTTTTAAAAAAGTGTCTCATTCCTCCCTTTTTTTCCAAATCCATTGACATCTCATAAACTGACAGCAGATATTTAATTTTTTGTAGCCTCCAGAATCCCCACTAAAGGATTCAGAGACTGGTAGTCTACAGAAAAAGTGCCTAGAGTCTCCATTTAAGTGTTGAGTAATTATTTGTGTATTTTAATGTGTACTTTATAGAAATGCATTTTAACATGTATGGAGCCCCCGGTGATGCAATGGGTCAAACCCTTGTGCTGGCAGGACTGAAGACCGACAGGTCGCAGGTTTGAATCCGGGGAGAGTGCAGATGAGCTCCCTCTGTCAGCTCCAGCTCCCCATGCTGGGACATGAGAGAAGCCTCCCACAAGGATGGTAAAACATCCAGGCGTTGCCCTGGGAAATGTCCTTGCAGACGGCCAATTCTTTCACACCAGAAGTGACTTGCAGTTTTTCAAGTCACTGCCGATATGAAAAAAACCCATGTGTATTTGTGGTCTTTTTACAATACCATAAGGCCGGTAAGGAATAAAATTGTTACTATTATTATTTATTATAAGAGAAATGCATGTGTTTGTCTTTGCTTTGACACAAAGTTATGCAATAAGGATACAGCCGTTAAATAGGGGAAGCAGGCAATAACTGCATGTTTACTAGCACAGGAAAGCTCTGCATTTATTTTTTAATGTGTTGTCGGAGGCTTTCATGGCCTGAATCACTGGGTTGCTACGAGTTTTCAGGGCTGTATGACCATGTTCCAGAAGCATTCTCTCCTGACGTTTCACCCACATCTATGGCAGGCAACCTCAGAAGTTGTGAGTTCTGTGGGAAACTAGGCAAGTAGAGTTTATATATCTGTGGAATGCTCAGGGTGGGAGAAAGAACTCTTGCCTGTTTGAGGCAAGTGTGAATGCTGCCATTGACCACAAACTAGCAACCAGCCAGCTTTGAAGCTGCAAGGGCATTAAATGCTAATCAAGGTGGCCAATTGCCTGAGGCTGTGAGGGCCTGAAGCTGTTAGGAATTGTGGGAGTTGAAGTCCAAAACACCTGGAGGGTTTTAAAAGGTCTTTAGCCTTCTCTGCCAAATACTGCTATTTCTTTAACATACAACTCCCATGATTACATGCAATGGAGTCATAGCTGTTAATGTGGTGTCAATCTTCATTAATTCTGCAGTGGAGATGCACCCTAGATTCTCCAGCCTGGCTCTGCTGGAAGGAGACCAAAGAGTCATGTTGAAGGACCTAGAGATCCTGAGGGGAGGTATTTTAATTTCTCAATTTTTTTCGATTGCATTTTTAAATAGAGCAATTATTTTCACTTCCACTAGGGTCTTGTGCCCCTAACCCCTGTGAATTTTCAGGTGTGGCTGTATAACTTTCAGCTGTTGGTTCTTTGTCCTCTATGTTTTTCTGTCCATGAATGACACTTATGAAATCACTTGGCTTTCAATATTTCCTGTCTCAGGACGGAGCCAAGGCATTGTACTGCCTGAAGAAGAACAGCAAATGACTTGCTTGGGTCAAGATGCCCCATGTCCAAAACCCAATAACTTATTTTGGCATTGGAAACAGGAAATCCCTTTGAAAACCTTGGCTATAAAAATAAGATAATTTGGAAAAAACTAATTACTTGCTGTCATTTTGTTTACATCCCCTCCACACATCTGTTACTTGGGGAGAATGGCTTAGTTTGGCTAATGATAGGGCTGGTCCCGACCTATATGCAAAAACCACTTTTTTTTCCTCCCAATTTTCAAGTTGTTTCTCTCACTCCCACATCTCCAGCTATGTCTCTGATGCAACTGCTTGGATACTTTTTCCTGGTCTCAAATTTGATACAGTGTTCCTTCTCTTATCGCAGGTGTTACATTCCCGGACCACCTGCAAAAAGTGAAAATCCGCAAAGTAGGGATGCTATAAATGTGTATAGAGTTTGGAGGGTGAGGCAGAACTGAGGAGAGATTTAAAGGCTAGTTAATCTCTGCTTTGCTTTGCAATCTCTCTTGATTGGTTGCCTCTTTCCCGAGAGGGAGGGTGAAACCCCCTTCCACATTCCATCATTGCCAGGAGGCGGGATTGGAATGCTGCTCTGGGCAATGGCAATATAATAATAATAATAATAATAATAATAATAATAATAATAATAAATCTTTGTCGAAGGCTTTCATGGCCGGAATCACTTGGTTGTTGTAGGATTTTCCGGGTTATATGGCCATGATCTAGAGGCATTTTCTCCTGACGTTTCGCCTGCATCTATGGCAAGCATCCTCAGAGGTAGTGAGGATGCACCTCACTACCTCTGAGGATGCTTGCCATAGATGCAGGCGAAACGTCAGGAGAAAATGCCTCTAGAACATGGCCATATAGCCTGGAAAATCCTACAACAACCCAATAATAATCTTTATTTATATCCCACCAGAATCTCTCCAATGGAGACTCGGGCGGCTTACATGAGGCCAAGCCCAAACAAGAGAGTAAAACCGAAAATGCAAACAATAAACAACAACATCATAATTACATAAAACATGTGGATACATTCATAAACTGGGAGGCAAAAACCTGCAAAACAGCAAGTCCACGATAAGCGAACCGTGAAGTAGAGAGGGAACACCGTATATGCAAAACAAAAATGCTTGATTTCTTCTCTCTATCCCTCCACTGTTCCTTATCCATGAATAATTTTACCATCATCTTTACCAGCCTTATTCAGAGGGCACACATCCTTGGCTTCCCTTTTCCTTTGTAGTTGACATCTTACAGACTGGCATCGCTCCCTGGACCACCATTTTTAGTAGTATGGATGTGTGCCATCTTGGGGAAAAATAAATACTTGAATTCTGCTGGAAATTTTTACAACTTTCTCCTTCCCTGCAGGTGGTGGCCATTGCTTCTCGGGACCTCAGCCGAGCTCAGGAATATGCCAAGATCCATGGCATCCCCAAAGCATATGGGTCTTACGCAGAACTTGCTGAAGATCCAGATGTGGGTGAGCAGTGCCTTCACTCCAAAACCTGTGGTTACATTTTCTCCCACTTTGCAACCTTCATCCCAACATGCCATAACAGAATTTGATAGAAAGACTTGGGGTGTATTCACACTGCACAATTACAGCACATTGATACCGTCAGTATTGCCATGATTTCACCCCACAGAATCCTGGGATTTGTAGTTTGCTTGTTTTTGTGGGGGTTTTGGTTGGAAACGATTTGAGGAACAGCAAGTTGCTTCTGCAGTGAGAGAATTGACCATCTGCAAGGACATTGTCCAGGGGACTCCTGGATGTGTTACCATCCTGTGGGAGGCTTCTCACATGTCCCCGCATGAGAAGCTGGAGCTGACAGGTGGGAGCTCACCCCGCTCCCCAGATTCAAACTGCCGACCTTTGGGTCAGCATTCCTGCGGGCACAAAGGTTTAACCTACTGAGCTACTACTATTGATTAAATACTAGAATTCTATGGTGTACTTATTCAGATTTTGGAATACCTGTATTTGTGTGTATGTCCCAAATGAGATGTCTTGGAGGTGGCACCCAAGTCTAAAAACAAAAGTCATTTATGTTTCGTATAAATTCTATAATAATAATAGCCCTGCAACAAGCCTTTGTGTACATTGAACCATCAGAAGGCAAAAGTGCCACCATTTCAGATACACAGTTTCTGATTATGGAGGGTTTTTTTATTTCTAAGTAAGGAATTCTCAACCTATATCAAAATTCTATAATTATAATGTGATGATACACTTGAATGCTATGCTTTTCTTGAAGGGTCAGACATATGGACCTTGTCAGAAATATTAAAAATTAAGTGTGCATTAATCAGTGTGTTAGTAGGCCTCAGTATGAGAAGGCCTCAGTTAGTTCACCTCAGTGTGAGAGAGGCCTCAGTCTGAGAGAGCCCTCAGTGTGTTAGTAGGCCTCAGTAAGAGGTAGGAATCAACATGAGAAGGCCTCAGTGTGAGAGAATGCCTCTATGTGTGAGAAGGCAATGCTTGAATTTATTAAAAGATTGGATTTGCTCTGCCCTGCAATTGAATGAAGTAGGAAGGGAGACTCTAACCTAACTCTCTGTCCCTACCAGGTGCCCAGGTTGAGTCTTGGTGATCTTTTTTGCTCTCTTTTGCAGATATAGTACACATAGGGGTGGTGAATCCCTATCATCTTCCCACCACCCTCCTCTTCATCGAGGCCAAGAAGAATGTGCTTTGCGAGAAGCCCATGGGCATGAATGTGGCAGAAGTGAAAACAATGGTGCAGGCAGCTCAGCAACACCAAGTTTTCTTTATGGAGGTAAGACTCGGAGTGCAGCATCTTCCTTATGGGACATCTTTTCTTTATGGGCCAACTTCAAGCATGAGATTAACCATTTTGGGGACTAAAAATATTTCTACTTACATAGACTGTGATCAAGTTTCAAGTCTATGTCAAGCTTTCCCTTTTTTTAAAAGGTTAGATGTGAACAGCTTTGTTATTGTTGTTGGGTGCCCTCGAGCAATTTTTGGATTATAGTGAACCCATCGTGGAAGTTTTCTTGGTTAGGTGTGTGCAGGTTATATGTGTAGTTTTTGTCATCCTCTGAGGCTGGGAGAATGGGACTTGCTTAAGGAATTTCCATTGGCTGAGCAGGGATTCAAACCTGAGCCTCCAGAGTCATAATCCAGTGCTTGAAACCGCTACACCAATCTACTCTTTAAGCAATTTGAGAGGCTTGTTTCCCTTGGTACATGTCATAGGCTACACCAGGCATGGGCAAACTTTGGTCCTTGAGGTGTTTTGGGCTCCATCTCTCACCATTCCTAACAGCCTCAGGCCCCTTCCTTTTCCCACTCAGCCGCTTAAGCGGCTGAGTGGGAAAAGGAAAGGACACAATGGTTGAAAGCTCACTCTGACCCAGCCTGGCTTCAAACTCATAGCAAACAATGCACAAATATCTATAGTAACATAGAAACAAGAATGTATGTATGTGTATTTTATAAGACTCTCAAGAAAATAATATAAATCAGGATAATATGTTCTCTAATGGAGTAAATTGTCTAGACTTTATAGCATTTATAGCATTTAACAGTAATGTTATCAGCACATTATAAGTAAATGTAGGTTATCTTATCAACATAGAGTAATGAATAGTAGACTAGAGACAATAAAGTCCATCCTTTCCTGGAGTAGATTTCAGTGCAGGAATTCAACAGTCTCTGTCCTTATCCTCAAAAGAATTCTTCTTTTAGCAACACAGTCTTTTAAGGAGTACTTCTTATGCAGCAGAGTCTTCCTTAGGTAACACAATTTCTACAAGGTCTCCCGGTATGTTCTCCTTGTTTCGAAAATTATCTTCTTCAGGATGTTATCACATATATATAATGCACTAAATAAAGGAGTAAAAATAACATACACAATAGATACATGAAACTCCCCAATTCACATTTCTAGTGAAACATTCTATAATAACAATAAAGAAACATGCTACTCTACTTACACTCTCTTTACACTCTCTTCAATAGTACAGGCTCTGTTCTGGAGGAGTTCTATAATGAGCAATGAGTCATACCTAGGCTACCTCTTAAGTAGAACTACATTTCACAAGAAACAAGTGTATTCAATTTTATCATTTAGTCCTTGTGGAACCAGTGTTTGTAGTTTAAAGATCCAAAAAGATTCTCTTTGTAGAAGGAGTTTTTTTACATCTGCATTAGGTCTGGGTAATATTTTTTTCTAAAGCGCAAAATTTAAAGCTATGGTGTGTATGAGCTTTTTCATTGAAATGTACATATAGTGAAGAGTCAGTGGACCCATTCCTTATGCGTGAACGATGTTCATTTATCCTGGTTTTAAGGGGTCTAGTAGTCATTCCAACATATAATAGCTTGCAGGAGCATTCTAATAGGTAAATTACATTATCAGTGGAACATGTTGTTAAATGTTGCAAGGTAATCTTGATGTTAAGTGTTGGATGAGAGTATATTTTAATCTTGAGTGATTGTTGACAACAGTTACAGTGTCCACAGCTAGTGTGACCCCTAGTGGTAAGATTGTGGGATGTAGTAGGAGAGTTATATTCAGAATGGATCAAAAGGTCCCTTAAATTTCTGGATCTTTTGTGTGCAATTATAGGTTTGTCTTTGCATCCAGGAATGTCCTGTAGTAAATGCCAATGTTTTGAAATAATTTTAGTGATTTTAGATGAATATTGTGTGAGTGTCAAAGGCCATATTATGCGGTTATTATGTTTTCTAGGGCGTTCCCGTAGTAACTCCCCTCTATTGATGGAGTTCGCCTTACTCATGGCTGTGTTGAGTATCTTATTAGGATATCCTCTCTTTCTGAGTTGTTTCTTCAGGATACCTGCTGTGGATTCAAAATCCTTTTGTGTGCTAGAATTACGTTTCAGTCTTAAAAACTGAGAAAATGGTAAATTAGATTTAAGAGAAAAGTGATGAAAGCTGGAAAAATGTAAAATAGAATTCTTATCTGTAGGTTTGCTATAATTTTTAACTAATAGTTTCTGGCCATTTTTGAAAACCATGATGTCCAAAAAGTTAATATTAGTAGGGCTACAGTGATGTGTAAATTTCATGTGTTTATGTAGTGTATTGATCCAGCTGCAAAATAGGTCCGCTACTGGCTGTGATCTCACTACTATAAAAATATCATCTAGATATCTTCCAAAATAAAGGATATCTGAAGAAAATGGATTCTTAGTAGTATTGAAAATGAATTTACTTTCTAAGTCTGCGACGAATAAGTTGGCTATAGCGGGTGCGAGTGGGCTGCCCATAGCGATTCCGAATGTCTGTAAATAAAACTGTTTATCAAAACTAAAATAGTTGTATTCTAGCACAATATCTAATAGATCCATGAGGAAGTGAGTGGGGGGAACTGGAGATTTGCGTGTGTCTAGTATATCTTTAACCACTGTTCTGGCCTCATCTAGAGGTATGTTTGTATATAGGGCTTCAATGTCTAAGGTCATGAGTATGGCTTGCTCAGGTATAGTGAGAGCTTCTATTATATTGATAAAATGTTTGGTGTCTTTGATAAATGATGTGTTCAATGGTACAAAGGGTTGTAAGAAATAGTCAATGAACTGAGCTAAAGGTTCCAAAATAGATGCTGTACCTGAGACGATAGGTCTACCTGGTGGAGGGAAAGTATTTTTGTGAATCTTAGGAAGAACATAAAACACTGGTGTTCTAGGGTATGGATTCTGAAGGAACTCATATGTCTGTAATGAAATATATCCCAATGAAAGACCTTCAGCACATACTGTGCATATAAGGGATCTAATTTTATTTATGGGATCTTTAGGGATACATCTGTAGAACATATTATTAGAAAGATGTCTTTCTACTTCTTTCACATAGTCAATTCTATTTAATAGTACCACCGCCCCTCCCTTATCAGCTGGTTTCCAAATATATTGTGGCATGTTAGCTAGTCTTTTAATGGTATTCAGTTCAGTCATAGACATGTTTGGGAAGATTTTGGACCTAGATTTAGTAAGTCTGCTAATGTCTCGTTCCACAACTTTTTCAAATGATTTTATCATCATATTATCCGTGTTAGGGTAGAATTTGTTTCTGGGTTTGAACAAGGTTTCAGGCTTAGAATCTATCTTATTGCCAAAAAAGTTTTTTAATCTGATAGTTCTGAACAACTTAAATAATTCAACCCTGGTGTGGAAAGGATTATATCTGGGAGTGGGAACAAAACTTAGTCCCTTATTAATAAGATCTTCCTCTTGTGGTGAGAGAGGGTAATTAGACAGATTTACCACTAGGGGTCACACATTGTCAGAGGTCTTTTAACTCCCGCCACTTCAGGTGGGAGCCCTGACAATTCGGTCACGCGCTGTGAAGCATTTGCTCGGTTCTTTGCAGACAAAGTCGCTTTGATCCGTTCTGAGCTGGACACCATGTTAAATGCAGTCTCTGTGGATGTGACACGAACACCTGCTTGTCCTATTTTGTTGGATTCTTTTCAGTTTGTGAAACCCGAGGATGTGGACAAGATACTTGGAGGAATGAGGCAACCACATGCATCCTAGACCCCTGCCCATTCTGGCTTCTAAAGGAGGCCAGAGGGGGATTGGCCGAGTGGGTGAAGGTGGTGGTTAATGCCTCCCTTCGGGAAGGCAACATTCCAGCGAGCTTAAAACAAGCTGTATAAAACCGCTGTTGAAAAAACCATCACTGGACCCCACTCAATTCGTCAACTATCGGCCTGTTTCCAATCTCCCCTTTTTGGGCAAAGTCCTGGAACGTGTGGTGGCCTCACAACTCCAAGCATTCTTGGTAGACACTGATTATCTGGATCCGGCGCAGTCTGGCTTTAGGCCGGGGCATGGTACCGAGACAGCCTTGGTCGCCTTAGTCGATGATCTCCGGCGTGAGCTTGACAGGGGGAGTGTGTCCCTGTTGGTTCTGCTGGACCTCTCAGCGGCCTTCGATACCGTCGACCACGGTATCCTTCTGGGGCGCCTCGTGGGAATGGGCCTGGGGGGCGCTGCTTTGCAGTGGCTCCGGTCCTTCCTAGAGGATCGTACCCAGAAGGTGTTACTGGGGGACAACTGCTCGTCCTCACAACCATTGACTTGTGGGGTCCCGCAGGGTTCAATACTGTCCCCCATGTTGTTTAACATCTACATGAAGCCGTTGGGAGAGATCATCCGGAGTTTCGGGGTGCGGTGTTATCTGTACGCAGATGATGTCCAACTCTGTCACTCCTTTCCACCTACTACTAAGGAGGCTGTCGGTCCTGAAACCGGTGCTTGGCCGCTGTGTCGGACTGGATGAGGCGAACAAATTGAAACTAAATCCAGACAAGACAGAGGTACTCCTGGTCAGTCGGAAGGCCGAACAGGGTATAGGGTTACAGCCTGTGCTAGACGGGGTCGCACTCCCCCTAAAGGCACAGGTTCGCAGCTTGGGTGTGACTCTGGATTCTTCGCTAAGCTTGGAACCCCAAGTTTCAGCGGTGTCCAGAGGAGCATTTGCACAGCTTCGGCTCGTGCGCCAGTTGCGCCCGTATCTTGGGAAGTCGGACTTGGCCACGGTAGTCCACGCTCTTGTCACATCCCGTATAGATTACTGCAACGCGCTCTACGTGGGGTTGCCCGTGAAGACTGCCCGGAAGCTTCAGATGGTCCAGCGTTCGGCAGCCAGGTTGCTAACGGGAGCGGCACTCAGGGAGCACACCACTCCTCTGTTGAGCCAGCTCCACTGGCTGCCAATTTGCTACCGGGCACAATTCAAGGTGCTGGCTTTAGCCTATAAAGCCCTACATGGTTCCGGCCCCACTTACCTCTCCGAACGCATCTCCACCTATGAACCGGCGAGGTTGTTAAGATCGTCTGGGGAGGCCCTGCTCTCGGTCCCGCCAGCGTCACAGGTGCGGCTGGCGGGAACGAGGGACAGGGCCTTCTCAGTGGTGGCCCCCCGGCTATGGAATGCCCTACCAGCGGACATCAGGCAGGCCCCTTCGCTATTGGCGTTTAGGAGGAGGGTTAAGACGTGGCTCTTCGAACAGGCGTTCGGATAAATATGCAATAACAACTGACTCAGGAATGACGGCACATTGAACAAGGAATGGTAATACGACTGTGAGATCGAGATCTGATTCTAATGAGGCGTGATGATTTTTATGTGTATTGTTTGTGTATGTTTGTTATATAGATTGTTCAGTGTTGCACATTTTATTGTAAACCGCTTCGAGTCGCCTTTTTAGGCTGATATTTGCGGTATACAAAAGAAGTAAATAAATAAATAAATAAATAAATATTTAAAAAAGGGAATCCAAGGCTCATGCACACCATAGCTTTAAATTTTGCGCTTTAGAAAAAATATTACCCAGACCTAATGCAGATGTAAAAAAACTCCTTCTACAAAGAGAATCTTTTTGGATCTTTAAACTACAAACACTGGTTCCACAAGGACTAAATGATAAAATTGAATACACTTGTTTCTTGTGAAATGTAGTTCTACTTAAGAGGTAGCCTAGGTATGACTCATTGCTCGTTATAGAACTCCTCCAGAACAGAGCCTGTACTATTGAAGAGAGTGTAAAGAGAGTGTAAGTAGAGTAGCATGTTTCTTTATTGTTATTATAGAATGTTTCACTAGAAATGTGAATTGGGGAGTTTCATGTATCTATTGTGTATGTTATTTTTACTCCTTTATTTAGTGCATTATATATATGTGATAACATCCTGAAGAAGATAATTTTTCGAAACAAGGAGAACATACCGGGAGACCTTGTAGAAATTGTGAAATTGTGTTACCTAAGGAAGACTCTGCTGCATAAGAAGTACTCCTTAAAGACTGTGTTGCTAAAAGAAGAATTCTTTTGAGGATAAAGACAGAGACTGTTGAATTCCTGCACTGAAATCTGACTCCAGGAAAGGATGGACTTTATTATCTCTAGTCTACTATTCATTACTCTATGTTGATAAGATAACCTACATTTACTTATAATGTGCTGATAACATTACTGTTAAATGCTATAAATGCTATAAAGTCTAGACAATTTACTCCATTAGAGAACATATTACCTTGATTTATATTATTTTCTTGAGAGTCTTATAAAATACACATACATACATTCTTGTTTCTATTTGCCCATGTCTGGGCTACACAATAGAAATAGCAGGTACGCATTTCCAGTTTCATAATTTCAAATATTTCACAGATGAAAACTGAGATGCACATGTTATAATTCAAAGGCAATCCCAATTGGTTGGGTTCTCTCCTCCCTCTCCTTCTAAAAAGCTATGTTTATTCCTTTTTCTTATCTCAAGTATCACTTTGGAGGCACAAAGCACAAGATGTTCTGTTCCAAAACTAGAAGTTGCAGCAGTTCTTTCCCTTCTTCCTCTCCAGCTGAAAGAATGGAGTGAATACTCTTGTTGCTCTTACAGCTCTGTTTGCAGTAAACCAAGAATAACGGGGGGGAAAGTGAAGAGGAGAGAAAGCAGGATATTTTTAAAAGAGCAGAAAAAGTATTTATTTATTTATTTAAAACTTTTATATCCCAATCTTCTCACCTCCATAGAGGGACTCAGATGGGCTTACAGCAAGGATTCAATGCTACTAATACAAGTTAAACCGTCATACAACAATACAAGATTAAAATACATATAGATAAAATACATATATGCCAAGTAGGACAGCAGAGAGTTATGTTAGACCGAGACTGTCAAACTGAGGCTGTTGGAGGGCATACAAAAGTGGCAAATTACCCTTTTTTGGTCTGTGTATAGTTAATGTGAGGGTAATTCTTTCTTTCTTTCTTTCTTTTTTTTTGGAAAGGCATGACCTTTTAGAGATCATAACTTTTTGGAAAACCAGGAATCTCCATATCCTTTTGGAAACGTGACCCTTTTGGAGATCAATTGGCATTCACACTATTTAGAATAATCATAACCATTTTCTAAAGTATACTCTTCCTAAGAAGAATTAAATACTTGTTTGAGTGAATCTTCTCCTTAGTGGTAAATATCCACTAGTTTTCATGCAAGGCAATTATGGCTTCTTAGCTGTTAGACTAATATACCGGGCTATCTCTCTGAACTGTTAGGAACAAAGATATGCCAATGCACAAAATATATAGCAGATCTTCAGAAGTGTTATTTCAGTTGCCTAAAAAACATCTACTCTCTCATAAAATATATTGGTTTTTAAACCATGCTCTCAAGAGATCAAAAATGAGTAGTCTTCGTTAAAAGTAACATAGTTGATTTACTTCCAGACTTCATGTATTCAGCATACAGGTACATTTCTTATTGGTTGAGAGTTTAAACAGTAAGTTCTCTAAATCATTCTGTTTTAGTCTCTTCTCTGTTGCATACAGACTTAACAATCTCTTCAGTCTAATACATTACTGAATATTGACTCAATATAGATTGACTATACACTGCATTATACTGACACCAAATTTACACTAACACTGACAATTGCCAACTGTACTAACTTCTAAAATAGAGTCTCAGTCTGAAAAGCCCAGATCTGGCCACACGATCTTCAGTCCTTCCCACAACCTCAAAGAACATAAAGGAAAACTGCATATCAATATATAAGCAATCACAGTTATATCCATAACTAATAACTAGTATAGGAGGCATGTAGAAAGTTGCTATTTCCAACACTTTTTCCCCAGGAAAAGACTCAGGATGTATTTACACTGTAGAATTAATACACTTCGACATCACTTTAACTGCCATGGCTCAATGTTATGGAATCATTGTTGCTTTATGCTCACCCTAATAAAGTTGTTATGCTTTTAATTTTGATTCCCATGTAGAGAAACTAATGGACTAAACATTTACTGGCATTTCTTTTCTTACACTAGGGATATTGGACTCGTTTTTTCCCTGCTACTGAGAGAATCCGTTCCTTGCTCAGCCAAGGTTCAGTTGGGGATGTGATGGTATTTCACGCTGACTTTGGGAGCCCACAACTCACAATCCCTAGGTGTGTAGAGAAGGAACTGGGAGGAGGTGGCCTTCTGGATATTGGTGGTTATTGTATCCAGTTTGCCTGTATGATCTTCAATGGAGAAGAACCAGAATCCATCACGGCCTCTGGGTTCCTGCATGATACAGGTTGATGCTCTGTTTGTTGTTGTTGTTTGTTTGTTGACAAAGAACTGTAGTTCTGTTTTTGAAATTCAGATGTTAAAATGTTTGAGCAAACTTTTTTGTTTCCTTGTCTGAAGCTATTCCTTTCTTATTTTTCCTGTTAGCTTATACTTTACCAAGCATTATGGTCTCTTCTTGTGGTCATCTTTTCTCATGATATGGCCAAAGTATGATGGTCTCAATTTAGAAATCTTGGCTTCTTGGGAAAAATCAGGCTTAATTTGATCTAAGGACCTATTTATTTGTCCTTTCAGCAGTACATAAAATTTCAGTCCCTATCCACTTACTTCACTTTCACGACCATATACAGCAGTGGTTCCCACATTTTTTAAACCAGGGACCAGTTTGACCAGTGACCACTTGACTAGGGGCCACTTTGACCAGGTGCAACTCTCCAACATTAGTACTAAAAGGGTTACGAATCAGTTTTTGGTCAACTTTAGATTTGGTTTAGTTACTTGGGGTGCTGATTCAGGAAAATTGCATTGGATGTCCACATCAGCTCTAGTTTCTGACACAAACCATATGCCATCCAGTAGTCACCATCTGCTCACTCACAGAAAACCATATTTAATAATCTAGAGCCACGGCCCTTAGTTTAGGTCTCCAGGCCCACAGGTTGGGAACCACTGATACAGTATAGAAATGGTGATACAATGGCATAGGCAATCCTAACTTTAGTATTCTTAGTATTCTTTTACTTTGATTTCCCTGAGCGTTTTTGCTGGCTCTCTCCTCCTGAGAAGTTTTTCACTATGTTGTTACAGCACTGTGATCCCACTGTAACTTCCATGACAATAATAATAATAACAATAATAATATTTTTAAAATCACGCAGTCCTAGACACTTGTGATATGAAATCCAGCATACAGATCTCGTTTGCTCTGACATACTGTGTTTTTGTGTCAGAATAATAATAATAATAATAATAATAATAATAATAATAATAATACTTGTGCCACAAATACCATCTCCCTGCAACAAAAAAACTGGTGGGATCACAAGCCCGAAAAAGTTACACTGAATGAACACTTCAAACTACTCTGGGACTGACAAGAGTTTTGGAGCCCAATACTCCTGACCTCATGATCGTGGAAAAAAACAAAGTACGGATCGCTGATGTTGCAATCCCAGGCGACAGCAGAATTGATGAGAAGCAACTGAAAAAGCTGACACGATACAAGGATTTAAAGATAGCACTGCAAAGATTATGGCACGAGCCAGTAAAGGTGGTCCTGGGTGCAGTGCCTAAAGACCTTGGCCTGCACTTAAAAATAATTGGCACTGACAAAATTACCATCTGTCAACTGCAAAAAGCCACCCTGCTTGGATCTGCACACATTATTCGCCGATACATCACACAGTCCTAGACACTTGGGAAGTGTCCGACGTGTGATCCAATACAGAGCCAGCATAGTGATCCTGTGTGCTGTGTACTAATCTTGTTGTGTATCTGATGATGATAATGATAATAATAATATCCTACAAAGTACCGTAAGTAGCGCACAGTTAAACAGGAAATAACACTTTCAAACTAGGAACAGCTTTTTTTTCAAATTTTGTTACATGGTGTAATTGTTGGAAATGGCCACTAGTTCGGAGACTCTTCTGTTCTGATTCTTTTTCTGAAAATCTTTTATGAGCGAGGCTTGGCATATAAACTCTGTTAAGAGCTGGGAAGGTGAAATATAAATATTTGAAGGCTTTTTAGAACATTGTTGAAGTGTCAGACTAGGAAATTGTGCTTGTTATAAAGTTTAAGTGAATGTCGTCAAAGCCATGCTTATGTTTTGTTTTTCACAGGTGTGGACAAAACTGTATCAATCATTCTGAACTATTCAGGTCAACGTCAGGCTGCCCTTACTTGTACCATGACAGCCAAAATGCCCAATCGAGCAAGCATCAATGGAACAAAGGGAATGATTGAGGTGAGTCCTGTTTTAACTCTTTGTTGTGTTCTGTGCCTTCAAGTCATTTTGGAGTTATGACGAACTTATGGGAAGCCTATCACGTGGTTTTCTGGGATGAGAGCATATAAATTGCCCAAGATGGGTATCCGTGGCCAAGTGGGGAGCCCTACGCCCCTTCTATACTGCCATATATTCCAGATTATCAAAGCAGATAATCCACATTATCTGTTTTAAACTGGATTATATGAGTCTACACTGCCATATAATCCAGTTCAAAGCAGATAATCTGGATTTTATATATGGCAGCGTAGAAGGGTCCCAGATGTTGAAACCATTACATCATGCTGAATCTAGAACAAAGGCAACAAATGCAAAGGGGTTGGAATGAGGGAACCATTTTCCCTACTACTTGCATAACTTCTGGCACCACTGAGAGTGACATAACATCACTTTCAGTACCAAATCTCACCCCAAAAGCAACCAATTTCCAGGAGTTGTGATAGTTTGGGAAAGCTTTTGTCTTGAAAAAGCAGTCATTTTCAAAAATGTGTCATGGCTTCTGGCCTTAAGTGTCTCCTGGGGGTTTCAGAGCTCTGAAGGAAGGTCCCATGGGCAACATGTATATTTATAGCCTTCTCTTGGGATTTAGGGAATACAACTGATCAGATGCCTCAGAAATTGCCTCCTGCACTAGAACTCAAGAATGGAGATAGCCTTAAGGAAAATCCTAAATGGAGGAGTAACTTGAAAATCTGGGTCTCTTCCACACTGTACAATTGTAGTAGTTTGATCCCACTTTAATTTCTACAGAAACCCAAAAATTGTAATTTGTTGAGCTTTATGAACTCTGTGACAGGTTTTTAATTCCTCTATGAAACTACAAATCCTAACATTTAGTAGCATTATTGCTATGGCAATTCAAATGGGGCCCAGGTACTGTAATTGTCTAGTGCGGTGTTTCTCAAACTGTGCACCTCCAGGTATTTTGGACTTCAGCTCCCACAATTCCTAACAGCTGGTAAGCTTGCTGGAATTTCTAGGAGCTGAAGTCCAAAACACCTGGAAGAGCACAGTTTGAAAAAAAAAACTGGTCTAGTGTAAGAGTCCCTGGTAGCATAGTTCATAACCACTTGTGAGTAAAGAGCAAAGGAAGCAAGGCTGGAGAAAGATACTGTTCTGTTGTGTATTCCTTTTCTTTAAAGGTACAGTATGCAATGGATTTTGTGACACAGGGATATATTTTGCATACGTATCATTCTTATAATTTCCTGCTGTTTTGTCTTCTCCTTCTACTGGTTCACTCCACAATGCCCATTTCAGATTCCATCAACTTTCTGGTGCCCGACAGAGCTGTTTGTCAATGGACAGAGCGAGAAATTCCTCCTGCCTCCACCTTCCCTGAAAATGCACTTTACCAATAGCACAGGCCTACGATATGAAGCAGAACATGTCAGACAGTGTCTTCTCAAAGGTACTACAGTCCTAGATCTTGCCAATGTGCTTTGTAAGGATTTTGGTATGAAGCAGAACATGTCCAACAGTGTCTTCTCAACGGTACTACAGTCGTAGATCTTGGTACCTTATCTTCATGGTACCCTACCTTCACTCATTTCAAAACAAATGAAGAGAAGAATACGTTTGCAAGACAAAAGTATATGCAGATTTAGGGTCTAGTCTTCCAACAATGGGGATGCATCTATACTGTAGAATTAATGCATTGTGACACTGTTTTAACTTCCATGACTCAATGCTATAGAATAATTAGAGTTGTAGCTTTTCACAGACTTTAGCTTTCTCTGCCAGAGAGTGCAGGTGCCTCACCAAAGTGCAACTCTAATTATTCCATAGATTTAAACCATTGTCGTTAAAGTGGTGTCAAACTGCATTAATTCTGTGATGGAGATGTAACCTAGATCAGCAGTGTTGTGTAGCATTAGACACCCAGTGATAAAAGGTTTTATATGCATGGGCTTTTGAATATGAAATATTATTATTATTCCAGTCATAATTAATATTATGACCTCACGGTCGTGTTAAAAAACAACATATGGATTGTCGATGTTATAATCCCAGGTGACAACAGGATTGAAGAGAAGCAACTGGAAAAGCTGACACGATATGAAGATTTAAAGATCTGGCACAAGCCAGTCAAGGTGGTCCCAGTGGTGATCGGCACACTGGGTGCAGTGCCTAAAGACTTTGGCCTGCACTTAAACACAATTGGTGTTAACAAAATTACCATTTGCCAGCTGCAGAAGGCCACCTTACTGGGATCTGCACGCATTATTCACCGATACATCACACAGTCCTAGACACTTGGGAAGTGTCCAACATGTAATCCAATACAACAGCCAGCAGAGTGATCATGTCTGCTGTGGACGCATCTTGTTGTGTTTCAAATAATAAATAAATAAATAAATAAATAAATAAATAACAATATCCTGCATCCATCTCCCTAAAGGGACTCAGGGCAGCTTACTGTACCAAATTTTGCACTCCTTTCACTTAGATTCTGTATTGATCTATTTGGGGAAAGGGTGCTGCAGGATGTCCCACAAAAATATTTATTAAAATTTTCCATGTTTTTTTTTATATGATAAAACCAATTCTGAAATGACATTTATAACCCAGGAACAAAAATTGTGTTACATATTGTCATCCAAAACTATTAATTTTCTTACATTCTGGACATGGGTCAAATCGCTTGCAATACTGACAAATGTTCCAGTAATTGTTTTTATGTTGATTTTCTTTGGACATAATTGTGGCAACCGTAGATGAATCTTCAGCTTGTAAGCAGCACTAAACGTTCACTTTTTAGGACTCTGTCATGTCTCGCTCTCCTTTTTTCTCACTCTTTTATTTAGGCTTAAAGGAAAGCCCAGTTCTGACCCACAAGGACAGTCTGCTGATCAGTTCCATCCTAGACGAAGTTCGGAAGCAAGTGGGAGTGTCGTACCCTCAGGACAAAGCACACCTTCAGCACTAAATATGACACTTTCTCATTTCTTCTTACTGTTCACAGTTTTGGGCTCTCTATATTCTCAACATAAGCCAAATATTTCCACTTAGCTAAAACCAGATTCCACTGGATGCCTACAACGATGTATGGGTCAGGTAGCAGATATTGTGAAGCTTGTATGACCAATAAAATGGCTTTTCCCACATGTCGAACTGTGTTTTTAGAATGTTTTGGAATCTGTACTTCCCCAAGAAGCGCTTTGCCTCAACAATGAATTGGCCTTGGAAGAAGAGGAATATATTTTCTTAGTTCTCCAGAAAGTTAACCTTGGAGAGAGTTTCTGAAAGAGACATTGAATTCTAATGTCAGATACAAGTCCTACACCAGTGGTTACGATGTTCAACTGTAAATAATAAACACATTTACATTAGGCAATCCCTCATTGTCCAAGTATGATGACCTTCCAAGTGTAGTGTTTTGGCAGTTGATACGTAGGTGACTGTGGAGCCCTATTCTTTACCCACATGTTCTTCCACAGTGGGAGCATCTATTTCCAGTTGAAAGGTGGTCCCAGTCAGGGTTGGCTTGACATGTTTCTCCCTTTTGCCCTCCATTCGTGCCTCTTCAAATTCCACAGCACTGCTGGTCACAGCTGACCTCCATTTAGAGCGCTCAAGGGCCAGTTCTCAGTGTCTATGCCACAGTTTTTAAGGTTAGCTTTAAGCCCATCTTTAAATCTCTTTTCCTGTCCACCAACTTTCCATTTTCTGTTCCTGAGTTGAGAATAGAGTAACTGCTTTGGGAGACGATGATCGGGCATTTGGACAACGTGGTTAGTCCAGCGGAGATGGTGGCATAGGAGCATTGCTTCAATGCTGGTGATCTTTGCTTCTTCCAGCAATCTGACATTTATCCGCCTGTCTTCCCAAGAGATTTGCAGGATTTTTCAGAGGCAGCACTGATGGAATTGTTCCAGGAGTTGAGTGTGACATTTGTAGACAGTCCACATTTCACAAGCGTTTAGCAGAGTTGGGAAGACAATAGTTTTATAAACAAGCACCTTGGTTTCCCTACGAATGTCCCGATCCTCAAACATTCTCTGCTTCATTTGGAAAAATGCTGCACTCGCACAGCTCAGACAGTGTTAATGTTAATTTATTAACACTGTTGATAATAAACAATGTTAGTAAACCACACACAACTGGATGCTGAGCAAATACTCTCTTGTGAAATGAGAGCTCCCATTATGTATCAGCACACATCATGCGGTGAAAGTGTTGCATAACAACCAAGCTGCTGGTTTCACTTGCACAACTGCTACATCTCCCCTCCCGTCCTAAGAATATCAGTATTACACAATGATGTGATTAAAAACAGTATATAATTATTTAACCTCCCAACAGGCTGCCAGCCCCTTTTTATTTCAGTGATGTTTGTATCCAGGTAAGTTTACTACTCACTCAGAAAAAAATGCACGTTTGCATTAATAAGCTTTAATAAGCTTTTAAGCCATGTTGGAAAAATGGCTTAAGTTTTCTTTATCTGTTGCAGTGTCCGATGTTTAAGAACAAAGCTGCTTATGCTGGATTGTAGATCAGTGGAACTACAAATTCATCAAATTGATCAAAGCCACAACCCCCCCCCCCCCAAGCCCATTAACATACCGTAATAAGCAAGACTCCAGAAAGTTGCCATCCTAGCCTTTGAGAATGTATGGGTTGTCATCCAAAAAGCAACTACCTAGCTGTAATTCATAGGGCATCTATTGAACCTGAAAAGCTAATCAAATGCACTATGCTTGTTTATTGTGAAAATATGGTGTAAAAAAAAAATTAGGACGGAGTGCAGTTCTGATGTGAAGATTACAAGAGAGTTGCTCTGCAAGCGAATTAATTATGTAACCTCCTTAAAACTATTTAATCAGCAAAGTTAGTTTCTCGTTAACAACTTCTGCTGAAATCGTGTACATCCTGCCTGCAATGGAAACACTTTTACCAACACCGCAGTTATTTTTAAAAATATTTTGTAGAACTGAATTCAAAGCACAACAAAAATGCCATACTACACACAATTATTTCACAAATTTAGTATTTGTTGTCAATCCAGTTGGTACTCCATTTTGATTAAGTGCAAATACTGATACAAAGTAAATGTTTCCCCTTGACATTAAGTCTAGTCATGTCCAACTCTGGGGGGTGGTGCTCATCTCCATTTCTAAGCTGAAGAGCCAGCGTTGTCTGTAGACACCTTCAAGGTCATGTGGCCAGCATGACGGCTTAGAGTGCCGTTACCTTCCCGCCAGAGCAGTACCTATTGAATTACTCACATTTGCATATTTTCCAACTGCTAGGTTGACAGAAGCTGGGGCTAACAGTGGGATATCACCCCACTCCTCGGATTCGAACTGACGATCTTTCAGTCAGCAAGTTCAGCAGCTCATTGGTTTAACCCACTGTGCTACTGGTGGCTCCTTGCAGATACTGATATTCTAGTGCAGTGGTTCTTATCCTTCCTAATGCTGCAACCCCTTAATACAGTTTCTTATGTTGGGGTGACCCCCAACCATAACATTATTTTCATTGCTACTTCATAACTGTAATGTTGCAACTGTTATGAATCATAATGCAAATATCTGATATGAAGGATGTATTTTCATTCACTGGACCAAATTTGGCACAAATACCCAATATCCCCAAATTTGAATACTGGTGGGGTTGGGGGGGGGGTTGATTTTTGTCATTTGGGAGTTGTAGCTGCTGGGATTTATAGTTCACCTACAATCAAAGAGCATTCCGAATTCCACCAATGATGGAATTGAACCAAATTTGGCACACAGAACTCCCATGACCAACAGAAAATACTGGAAGGGTTTGGTGGGTATTGACCTTGAGTTTCAAAGTTGTAGTGCACTTACATCCAGAGAGCACTGTGGACTCAATGATGGATCTGGACTAAACGTGGCATGAATACTCAATATCCCCAAATGTGAACACTGGTGAAGTTTGGGGAAAATAGACCTTGACTTTTGGGAGTTGTAGTTGCTGGGATTTGTAGTTCAGCTACAATCAAAGAGCGTTCCCAACCCACCAATGATAGAAAATGGGCCAAACTTCCCACACAGAACCCCCATGATCAACAGAAAATACTGTGTTTTTTAAGGTCTTTGGTGACCCCTCTGACACCCCCCCCCCTTGAGACCCCCCACCCCCGGTGGTTCCGACCCCCAGGTTCTAATGTAATTTCTTTTAGTGCTTTACAATAGATGTTTATGTTTCATATCAGTGAATTAAAGTCATTTGAAAGTTTACTAGAAAACTTATGTCCCTTTCTTCCTGTTTGCTCTTTACAAAGAAAACATACTCACCTGCATATCACAAAATAAAACTTTGAAGGAAGTTGTAAAAACAAAACTACAGATGGAGTAAACCTGCTGTCACTTTTTAATTTAGAGTACCAGATTCCTTTTTTAAAAAAGAAACAGCCTACATTGTTTTACGAATTTTTCGTGATCCTCAAGCTTGCAACCTTTTCCTATCTTTTCTTTTCCTTGCCAGGCTTTGTTTCTCCTTGCCGGTTCCACTCCCTCATAGCTGCCCGCAGGCAGAGTACAGAGTTCAAGATTAAGATTGTGGAGATTCCTTTGAGCAGCCAGCCATACAGAAACAGGTGCCGGGTGCTTGCTCTGTTTACCTGTGTTATGGGGGCCACTCGCTGGGGGATTTGCTCTGCTGGGAAAATCAGCCATGATTTCTTAGTGGCCCTGAAGACTCTCCCCACAGAAGACCATAAGGTAGGATAGTGGGGTGTGTTCAGATGAACAAAGGATACATGGCTAAAGGGAGATAGGTCAGTATGTAAATCCTGACAAATGTTTTGGTGGGGTGCTGATGTTCTCTGTGGGAAGACCAACATGCTAAATGGTGAGAAATGAACATGAATTAATTTCATCAGGAGATCTATTGTTTTATGAGCTGCAATAGTTGGTCCAACAGTCAGGACTTGGCCTTGTACCCCATCCCTCACACCAGAAACCAGTGGAGTTGTGAGGTTCCAGTAGCTAGCTAACACACTGGCTACAGGTCTTTGTACCAGCGGAAGTTTCCAAACGTCTTGCTAGCATTCTCCACTTCTACAACAAATTCCTTAATCTATATGCTGTCAAGTAAAAAAGAAAAGATATTGGTCAGAAAGGAAATGATAATAGGTGGGGAGAGGGGTGCTTGGGTTTCCCCTCCCTAGTTTAATTGGTTTTCTTGCTCTGTAGGTGGTGGCTGTTGCTTCCCCTGATCTCCATCGGGCTCAGGAATTTGCCAGGAACCATGACATCCCAAAGGCTTATGGTTCTTACGAAGAATTAGCTCATGATTCTAGCATTGGTAAGATTCCATGCTGTCCTGAACACACTAGCTAGTCTCATCTAATGAAACTAAGGACTCTGCCAGGCTAAAATAGCCCAGGAAAACAAACAGCCCTCTGTTGTAGTTCAGCCTGTGATTGTGTCTGATGTCATCCAGTGGGGATGATGGCTTTCCTGGGCCTGTGATGTTAATGGGAATGAGGGTTTTTCTGGGTCTGAGTCAAGCCTAGGCCTTGCAAGGTCTCTTATTAACAGGGTGCTTCTCCTGTAGATTCCCAAGGTCAAATTCCTGGGAGAGGCCCACAGCAGTCTTTCTCTGAGAAACTCTCTACTGGGGATGATTTGTCAGGTGCAGAATTTAATGAGTTTGAAGATAGAAAACAAGAGCTTTGTAAACTAAGACAAAGTTCTCAATATTGGTGAAGGTCAGTCCATCTGCTAGAAAAGAAATATAAGAAATCCTTATCTGGCTATAAGGGCAAACAGAATACTTTCCTTTCGGTTCATGTGACAGGAAAAGCTTTATATGATAAGAGGAAAGGATTTTAGCTCAGTTTTATCAAGGGTGGAGTTTCATGACAGTCTTGTTTCCAAGTGGATTTCTAGTTTCATGTTTCAAGTTTTGCCAGGTTCTTGTTCTTGGCATTGGATCTCCATGTTGTCTTGTTCCTTTGGGTTTTGCATCTTTGGATCTTGTGTTTCTACCTTTGTACCCTGATGTTCATGGACTATTTGTACTCTCTGGAAAATACTGTTTTGTCTATGCTGTTTCTATCATTGTTGTTGCTTTGCTTACATATATCCTTCAATAGACTACTTGCAGATTTTACTATACTGATGTGGTGTTTAAGGACAGAGATGTTCCTGCTCTGGGATACAACTCCCTCTCTTTTGAAAAACCCATGGCAGGAAGTTGTATAGTGGGATATCTACTCTAACAATATAAATCACGTGCAATGCAGAGTATTCTACCCTGGAGGTGCCTTTCCAACCTACTTGTAATACACTACATTGACGTATTGATGGCACCCAACCATGAGACCTTATCGAAGAAGGTTGCCACAAATAGGAGACCACTTGAAGTCACAAGGAAAAGTTTAAGTGTAAGTCACCCATACTTCTGGTCTTTTTACAGATGTGATATACATAGGGGTGATACCCCCATACCACCTTTCAGCCACCCTTCTTTTCATTGAAGCTGGGAAAAATGTGCTCTGTGAAAAGCCATTTGGCATGAATGCTGCCGAGGTCAAGACAATGGTGAAGGCAGCTCAGGAAAAGAAGGTCTTTCTAATGGAGGTGAGAGACAAGATTGTCCCTTGTAGCACCATATGGTGCATTCTTATTATAATCTGTGCCCTCTGGTTGTGCCCAATGATAAGCGAGGCATGAACTTGGGATACATTGAAGTAGACCATTCATACTAGGTTGCTTTAATGGGTGCATCATATACAGATAGAGCACCTCTTATCAGAAATTCTTAAGACCAGAAGTGTTCCTTATTTTGTATTTTTTCATATTTTGCAATACATGTATTTGAATATACATCCCATAATGAGATATCTTGGAGATGGGCCCCAAAACTGAACACAAAATTACATTTATGTTTCAGATATGCCTTACCCATATAACCTGAAGGTATAATATTTATTTATTTATTTATTTATTTCTGACATTTATATGTCACCCTTCTCACCCCGAGAAGGGGACTCAGAGTGGCTTACAAGATATATATATAGATAGATATAGATATATACATACACACACACACACAATAAATTATATTATTAGCATAGTACAATATCAGTATTATATAATACTATATTGTACTATAGCATTATATTGTAATATTATTAGTAATATTAAATGTAATATAATATATATAATTATAATATCATATTATTAGTAGTATTATATTGTATTACATTATAATATTATAAATATTATATCTATATACATTATATTACATTACATATTATATTATTAACATAGCACAGGAGACAAGGTGGAACTTTGTACAAAATACTGTTAACGTTTCTGTACATGACACAAAGTTTGTGTACATTGAACCATCAGAAAGCAAAGGTGTCTGTCACCTTTTATCATTAACAAATAATAATACTAAGTTGGGTTGCTTTGAGTTTTCCAAGCTATATGGTCATGTTCCAGAAGCATTCTCTCCTGACGTTTCACTCACATCTATTGCAGGCACTATCAGAGGTTGTGAGGTTGTGATACTAAGATTTGTTGATATATTAAAAATATACACATAAAATGTATGAATGAATACATTGTATATTAGGAGACAGTTTACTTGTAATAATTAGAAAGAAAGAAAAATAGCAGTAACTATTGGCTTCCGTAAAAACTCAATTGTAATTCATACAATAACTTCCCAGTGATCTTCAAAGTAGTGGATATTTCAGCCTTCTGTGGAGTCTATATGCATTTGTTATACTTTTCCTGCCACCTTGTGTTCAGAATGGTGAATTGTATGGTTTGATTTATCAATTTAAAAAGTTATTTTTAAAAAGAAAGCAAAGGTGTCATGTAGACCATTTTGGATTTTGGAATTCCGGATAAGGAATGCTCAGCATGTGCACAAAATTCCTTACACTTCTGCTGTGCTTGAAATATACCATACCAAGATCAGAGCATCCGGATTCCTGGAAGATGGGGACAACCCAGAAAACATACACATCAAGACCTGACTTATTAAAAGAGATGTTTTTCTAGGCTAGTAGTGACCAGACAGATCTCTCAAAGTGCATAATGGTGACATTGTTTCCTTGGTTCCCAGCAGTTATTTAGTATTGTTTATTTGGGAAAGGGTTACTTTTTTCTTGTCTTGGGACTTCCTTCAATAGAAGCATAATATTTAGTAATATAGATAGCGAAAACTGTTGTGCATGAACATAAATTGCTTTCCTAGTGATGCATCCATGAGCATATGTCCTGCTGTAAATTGTCATAGTACACTACATATTCGTGGTGAGGGGTGTACACACATAGAGAGCTAAGTGATTTCTGGACTAATTTTCTCAACTTGTCCCAGGCTTTCTGGAGCCGTTTCTTCCCAGCTTCAGAGAAGATGCATTCCTTGCTGAAGCAAAGAGCCGTTGGGGATGTGGTGGTGCTGCATGCTGAAATTGGAAGCCTGCCGAGTGTTCCTTGGGGAGCACAGAAAGAGCTTGGGGGAGGCGCACTTCTAGCTGTGGGTCTCTACTGCGTCCAATTGGCCTGCATGGTTTTTGATAGAGAGAAGCCGGAATCCATCGTGGCTTCAGGATTCCTGTATGAAACAGGTTGTCCTTTGGTTTCATTTTCAGGGAAAATCAAACAGATCAGAATGTACCATGTTTACCGTTTTCACCTACATGCCCTAAGACAGTGTATAGCTCAGGTATGGGCAAAGTTGGGCCCTCTCGTGTTTTGGACTTCAACTCCCACAATTCCTACTACCCAGGAGTTGAAGTCCAAAACACCTGGAGGGCCCAAGTTTGCCCATATCTGAGTTATACAAAGTCTTAGGGGAGAATCTGTGAATGACTGGATTGCATTTGCTCCTCAGAGACCTTGGAGAGTACATCGCTGACCACTTCCACCTCCACAAACAATCAAAACATTTTTGTATCTAATGCACAAGCTTCCCATTTAATATTATTATTATATGCTGGTGTTGCACGCTGAAATAGATTTATTATTATTATTGTTGTTGTTGTTGTTGTTGTTGTTCTTGTTATTATACTGAATTATTCTAGGATGGAATATAAATAGTTTTATATTTATTATTATTACTAGCTGTACCCGCCACTCGTTGCCATAGCTAACCTTCCCTACCTCTTTCCTTCTTTCCCTTTTTTCTTTCTTTCTTTCTCTCCCTCCTTCCTTCTCTTCTTCTTCCCTTCCACCCCCCTTTTCTTTCTCTTCCTCATTCTCCCTTTTCTTCCTTCTCAACCTATTCTTGGACTGCAATTCCCAGCAGTCCTCCTCAAACATCCATCTACCTACCTACCTATCTATCTCTATCTAATCTATCTATCTATCTGGAGGATTGCTGGGAGTTGCAGTCCAGGAATAGGAAATTGGAAATATGCAGGAATTGGGATGCTCTCAAAGAAATCCAAGGAGAAGAAAGCTTGCAGCTTGGAAGCAGTGCATGTGGATCATCCTCCTCTCCTAAAAGGCCTCATCTAGGGATGCTGGGAATTGAAGTCTGGAAGAGAGTGTGGATATGCTATTGTGTGCTTTGTTTGCCAAGGGGATTCGTTTTTGCACATGCCCTGTAGCGACTTTTTGCTTTTTTTTTTTTTTGGCTTTTTAAGTCCCTTCCACTGCGTTTTTCAGTGTTTTATGAGTGATGTTCACTCGTCGGCCTGATAGGTGTTTTGTGTCCAAATTTGGTGTCAATTCGTCCAGTGGTTTTTGAGTTATGTTAATCCCACAAACAAACATTACATTTTTATTTATAAAGATTATTATTAATAATATTTGTATCCATGGATTTCATCATTCAAGATATTTAAAAAAGCATAGAAATCCTTGGCATACCATTTTACTATACCATGGTATATGATGGGATTTGAGCATCCATGGCAGGTACTAAGGGCACACTGTATAATATTAAATCTAGGTTTTCATGTTCTCTTACTTTTTTCCCTTTTTCGTTGTCCATTTAATGGAGTTTCTGTACTTAATCTGTGATATTGGAAGCCTACTAAGTGTTCCATTGTAAAATAGAGCTCCTGCGACTCCTGGCAGTTGGCCATAGGAACAAAGGGAGTTGTAGTTTATAACATCTGGAAGATGCATGTATTGCCTGTCTCTTCAATATGAGCCAAAGGTGATCTTTAAAGCTTTTACTGCATTTCAACACCTGGGAAAAAGTGATCCCACTATACCTCCTACAAGGCATTTTTTAAAGGCTGGGAGGTATAAAGGAGGGTGATATGTCATCAAGGGAGGTACAAAGATGATACAGCCAAAACCTATGGGCACAGCTACAACTGAACTGTCATTGGGAAAGTAACTTTTTTGGAACTCCAATCCTCCTAGCTGGTTGGGGAATTCTGGAAATTGTAGTCCAGATGTCTAAGCTTTGTCATTAACAGTGATATTGGTCCACTGCACAGGAGTGGATCACTCAGCATCAATCATCCTAAACTACTCTGGTCAACGTCAGGCTGTCCTCACATACACCAGGAGGGCCAACCTACCGAATCGGGCAAGCATTTGCGGGACCAATGGAATAATTGAGGTAAATCCTTGGCAATGGAGAAGAAATTATATGATCTTGGAAAAAAGGTGGATAGATTGAATTCATTTGTTTTCTCCTTTTGGGGGCCAACTCAAGACGTATTTCTTTTCTGTAGCACAGTAGCAAATAGTGACCCTTCCCCAAAGAAAGGAACATAGTGCCAAAGGCCAGCAAATTATTTAGGTGTTGTGAGCTGAAAATCCCACAAGTATATTTATTTTTCTAAGTCAATAAAAAGTAAAAAAAAAAAACAAATTAAGAATTTGCAGCTTTTTAATGGCATATGAAATTAAGCACATGAGAGGGCCAAATTGGGAACCCAAAAGGTCTGGATTCAATCTTAGACCCTCAGGTTAGTGGCCAAGCCCAATGGTTCCTCTTCATCCTGGAAAGAAGTGACTAGCGGAGTGCCACAGGGTTCGATCTTGGGCCCAGTACTGTTCAACATCTTAATTAATGACTTAGATGGTTTAGAGGGCATGCTTATCAAGTTTGCAGATGACACCAAATTAGGAGGAATTGTTTTAAAAGCCAATCGGATTTTGGGCTGCATCTGTATAACGTCTAAATCAAGTGAAGTCATGGTGCCTCTCTATTCAGCTTTGGTTAGACCTCACCTGGAATACTGTGTCCAGTTCTGGGCACCACAGTTCAAAAGCGATATTGACAAGCTGGAAGGTGTCAATATCTCTTTTGATCGAAGGTCTGGAGACCACGCCCAATGTGGAGCATCTTAAATAGCTGGGTCTGTTTAGCCTACAGGAGAGGAGGTTGAGAAGAGACATGATAGCCATGTGTAAATATGTGAAAGGTTGTCATAAGTGTTCTGTTAGTGAGCAGCAAGTAAAAGAAGATTTTAACACTTATGGCAATGACTTGACCCGGACTGGATTTTAGACTCTGATTTTAATAGTTGTGTGTTAATCAATTGTTTTAATTATTGTTTTAATATTTTTAACATTTTAATGTATTGTTGATTGTTTTATGATGATGACACTGTATGGTGTTTGTGAGGCTGCCCTGAGTCCCCCCTTGGGGGTTAGAAGGGCAGGGTATAAATATTGGAAATAAATAAATAAGGAAGAGGGAGCAAGCTTGTTTTCTGCTGCCCTTGAAAATAGAACTTGGAGCAAAGGGTTCAAATAAGGAAAGGAGATTCCACCTGAACATTAGGAAGACCTTCCTGACTGTAAGAGTTGTTCAGCAGTGGAACTCTTTGCGTTGTAGTGTGGTGGAAGCTCCTTCCTTGGAAGCTTTTAAACAGAGGCTGGATGGCCATCTGTCAGGGATACTTTGTGCTTTTTATGCATGGCACAGGGTTGGACTAGATGGCTCCTGTGGTCTCTTCCAACTCTATTATTCTATGATTCCAGGTTCTCAACTCCCACATTTTTTTTTGCCGTGTCAGGAGCGACTTGAGAAACTGCAAGTCGCTTCCGGTGTGAGAGAATTGGCTGTCTGCAAGAACGTTGCCCAGGGGACGCCCGGATGATTTTGATGTTTTTATCATTCTTGTGGGAGGCTTCTCTCATGTTCCCACATGAGGAACTGGAGCTCATCCGCCTCTCCCCGGATTCGAACCTGTGACCTGTTGATCTGTGACCTGTGACCTGTTGATTACTACCGGCATAGGGGTTTAACCCACTGCACCACAGGGGCCTCCAACTCCCACATGATAAGATAGCATTATAATTTTAGACATATAATTATTTATATAGTTAATACAGGACATAGATTTTATCTATTATGTGGTGCATCATTTGGGTTTTTATACTGCATTATATTCTAGGTTTCCAATAAAAAACTAAAAAATGGAATACACAAATAATGCTGATCTTTTCATCCAGGTTCCTACATGCAATCTTTCCAAAGTAAGCCCTTTTTGTCAACTCATAGCTTCCACTGTAGGTCATTTTGAGCCTCTTACATTACTTTTTGTTTCTTTTTCCACCCTGAAGTTTCCATGTACTTTCTGGTGCCCAACCCAGTTGGCTGTCAATGGACAAATGGATGAGTTTCCCCTCCCTTTGCCATCTCAGAAGCTGAACTACCCCAACAGCATTGGCCTACGTTATGAAGCAGAGCACGTCCGACAATGTCTTCTTCAAGGTAAAACTCTCAGGACCTCCGGGATCAGTGATGGACACAGCTAAAGATGGCAGATACTTCATCCTCAACTCTTCTCCTGGTCTTTTTTTCTCTCTCCCCCCCCCCCCCCCCCCCCCGCTTTTGTTTGCTCTTCAGGTCTGAAGGAGAGTCCCATTATGTCTCATGCTGACAGCGAACTGGTCCACTGCATCTTGGATGAAGTCCGGAGGCAACTCGGGGTGTCCTACCCACAAGACCACCCCTGATCCATCCTTCACTTGGCCTTTAAAGCTAAGAGAAAGCAAACGAATGGCAAGTGAAGACCTCCAAAGTTCTTCTCATTGAAAACTCCATCCCTACAAGTATGGAAGAAAACATTGCCAATAAAAGACAAGTTTGTTGTTGTTTTTGTGTTCCTTCAGGTTAATTGTGAATTATTCATCTATAACTTTTTTGTATTCACAGATGCAAGTAGTGACCATAAATATAAATATATTAACTTTTATCTAGATTTACCTGAAATAATAGGTCGGCCTTGGGGGGGAGGGAATGCCTTTGTGAATCTTCGGTAGAATATAAAAGATTGGTATCCTAGGGAAATCATTCTGTAAATATTTAAATGTACGAGGGTTGAATGAAAAGTAATGCCTCCACCTTTGTAACTCCTCAACAGATGGCAGTACTGGTATGCAGCAGGTACTGGCTTGTTCAGTAGACTCTCCTCACAGTTACATTTTGGCGGAAAGCCTTGGCATTGAACGGTTGTATTGTTAAAGTGCGAAGTATGGAACCCTGCTCAGACGGTTGGTCAAATGCGACTTAAGCAACGTGCAGTCATTGAATTCTTGACAGCAGAAGGTATCACCTCAACATCTTTAAACTTACTCACCCAACAATGCACAGTACTCACATCAACACAATCACCATAAACAGCTTGCATTCAATGATGAATCTCCTTTGGGGTGACACCTTCTGCTGTCAAGAATTCAATGACTGCACATTGCTTAAGTTGCATTGACCGACCATCTGCGCAGGGTTCCATACTTTGCACTTTAACAACACAACTATTCAATGTTAAGGCTTCCTGCCAAAATGGAACTGTAGAGGAGAGTCTACTGAACAAGCCAGTACCTGCTGCATACCAGTACTGCCATCTGTTGAGGAGTTACGAAGGTGGAGGCATTACTTTTCATTCAACCCTCGTAGATGAAGAAATAAAAACCATGGATAATTCCTCTTGACACACAACCCTAATAAGAGACTGAATGTGTTGCAACAGGTTAGTAAAATTTACTATCTGATAACTGAAGGTTGACTTCATTGATGTAATCTTTTTTTGTTTAGTAATACTATAGCTCCCCCTTTGTTTGCTGGTTTCCAGACTACCTCTTTAATATTACTCAATTTGACCAAAGTGGTTCTTTCTATGTTAGACAAATTAGAGTAGAATGGTTGTCTTTGGGTAATTAATTTATTGTAGTCCCTCTCTACTACTTTTTTCTTTGAAAAAAAGGGGGAGCTGTAGTATTACTCAACAAAAAAAGATTACATCAAGGAAGTCAACCTTCAGTTATCAAATAGTAAATTTTACAAATCTGTTGGAACAGACCCCACTAAACACATTCAGTCCCTTATTAGGGTTGTGTGTCAAGGGATTATTCATGGGTTTTATTTCTTCATCTACAAGGGTTGAATGAAAAGTAATACCTCCACCTTCGTAACTCCTCAACAGATTGGCAGTACTGGTATGCGGCAGGTACTGGCTTGTACAGTAGACTCTTCTCTACAGTTCCATTTTGGCAGGAAGCCTTCGCTTTGAACAGTTGTGTTGTTAAAGTGTGAAGTATGGAACCCTGCGCAGACAGTCGGTCAATGCAACTTAAGCGGTGTTCAGTCAATGAATTCTTGATAGCAGAAGGTGTCACTCCAAAGAAGATTCATCAGTGAATGTAAACTGTTTATGGTGTTGATGTGAGTACTGTGCGTTGTTGGTCAAGTAAGTTTAAAGATGTTGAGGTGACACCTTCTGCTGTAGGATTATCCTTGGGTTTTATTTCTTCATCTACATTTAAATATTTACAGAATGGTTTCTCTAGGATACCAATCTTTTATATTCTACCGCTGATTCACAAAGGCATTTTTCCTCCCCCGGGCCGACCCATTATTTTAGGTTCATCTTCCGTGTTGGAACCAGTTGCTAAATATCTGGACTCTTTTTGCCAACCTTTTGTCCCTCTCTGTGACTCCTATACCAAAGACCCAAAGCACTTTATTAATATTATAGAAAAAATTAAAATAGAGGAGGGTAGCGTTTTGGTAACCATTGACATCACCTCACTTTATTCCATTAGATGAGGCCCGTACCACCATAGAAATGTGTGGGTGACTGCAAGTTGCAGCTACTCACACATTTCCTGATGGACCTGTTAGATATAGTTTTGGAGAAAAGCTGGGTCTACACTGCCAAATAAATTACAGGTTATCTGCTTTGAAATTGATTATATGGGAGTGTAGACGCATGTAATCCAGTTCAAAGCAAATGAATTGGATTATCTGATTTGATAAAATGAATGATATGAGAGTGTAGAAGGGGCCATTGTTACAATTTTGAAACAATTGCCACAATAAAAAAAATCCTATCACACAAAACCTACTTTAGTGATATCAGCTACATTTATTTATTTATTTATTCACCACTCTTTTCACCTCAAAGGGGACTCAGAGCGGCTTACAGATTTATTTATTATTTATTTAGGGCTTTTATATCCGGTCCTATTTCAACATCTGCAGAGGGACTCAGGACGGCTAACAAATCAGCACCCATGGTGCCCACATCAAAACATGAATATACAATTTAATATACAATATACAATCCATCAGTTCTATATAGGTCAGCCTGTTAGCAAGTCAGCCTACTCTCCAAAGGCCTGATCCCATAGCCAGAATTTTACTTGTTTCCAGAAGAACAAGAGGGATGCAGCCGATCTAATTTCACTCAAGAGGGAGTTCCATAGCTGAGGGGCCACCACAGAAAAGGCCCTGTCCCTTGTCCCCACCAAACGCGATTGCGACAATGGGGGGACAACGAGCAGGGTCTCCTCAGATGATCTTAGGGCCCTAGGTGGAGCCTCTCCTTGGAGGCTGCTGGGTCAACTGGCTGGAATGAGGGTCTGGCTGCAGGTCTCCTCATGAGTAAGCCAAGGCTGAGCAAGACAGCAAAGCTGGATGACAAATGCTCTGGCCCCAGGGTCTATCATGCAGCAGGATCTAACAAATCTCTCCCAAGCCTCTAGGTCAGTCCTTTGATGTTCTCTCCCTGGAGGCTGCTGGGTCACCTGGCTGGAATAAGGGTATGGGTGGTCTTTGGTGACCCCTCTGACACCCCCTTCGCGACCCCCCTCCAGGCGTCCCAACCCGCAGGTTGAGAAATGCTGTGCTATAGCCTTGTTCCTCCATAGGCTCACCTATGGAGTGAAACAATGGGTAATTAGATTAAGATGCCCTGGCAGCTGCCCCAGGCATAAACAAAGTCTATGGGAAAACAGTTTTTCCACTGGTCTTGAGATTTGTTAGCTCAACGTTATGCAGGTGTCTTAGGACACTGGAGGAAGTTTTGCAAGACTCGAGGAGTAGGTAAAGGGTCATCCCAGGCTTGGTGGCAAATATTCTTCCATAAAAGGGATTTTTGTGAAACATAAAACACAATACATGAATAAAACACATGAGGAATCCCGGACACCCGAGAGACTCAGTACATGGGGTTCCCATTTGGAGAGGAAGATAGCAAGTGCGTCAAAGGTTATATAGGAAGGGTACATATTAAGATCTGAGAAATAAGTTCAATATTGGGTTGTTGTAGGTTCTTTGGGGTATATGGCTGTGTTTCAGAAGTATTCTCTCCTGACGTTTCGCCTGCATCTTTGGCAGGCATCCTCAGAGGTTATAAGGTTGTAGTTGCTGGGATTTATAGTTCACCCACAATCAAAGAGCATTCTGAACTCCACCAACGATGGAATTGAACCAAACTTGGCACACGGTTCTCCCATGACCAACAGAAAATACTGGAAGGGTTTGGTGGGCAGTGTCCTTTGGTTTTAGGAGTTGTAGTTCACCTACTTCCAGAGATCACTGTGCACTCAAACAATGATGGATCTGGACAAAACTCTACATGAATACTCAATATGCCCAAATGTGGAGTTTGGGGAAAATGGAATCCTGACATTTGGGAGTTGTAGTTGCTGGGATTTATAGTTCACAGAGCATTCTGAACCCCACCAACGATAGAATTGGGCCAAACCTCCCGCACAGAACCCCTATGTGGGCCACAGCAAGTTAACATAACTCAAAAACTACTGGGTGAATTGACATCAAATTTGGACACAATACACCTATCAGGCCAACAAGTGACCATCACTCATAAAAACACTGAAAAACGCAGCAGAAGAGACTTAAAAGCCCACAATTTAAAAAATACATTACAATGCATGCACAAAACCACATATATACACATATACACAAATATATACACACATGTACACACACAAAACACATATATACAGACTGGGCCACAGCAACGCGTGGCAGGGATGGCTAGTATATGTATAAATATCTATATTTCCAATATCTCCACATCATTACAATTATTGGAAGCATCCATGAAAATCCCATTTAAAATTACGTCAGATGGGGAAAACAATGCTGACTACTCTTTTGGAAAACAGGACATCCAGCTATTAAACAATGTAAGTGAAAAGCACTTCTCAACTTTCCCATTGCAATAGTTTGTGCGGCCTCTCTTCTCCCTTCCCTCCCATTAAGCACTTTGTGACTAACTGGCCAGATGCCCAGCCCAGGTCATAGTTCAGAGTATTTAGGCTTGAATTTCTCCCTGGCTCTCTTTTCCTTTGGTTTTCCTCCCCATCTGCCACCATGGGCCCCACTCGCTGGGGGATCTGCTCTGCTGGGAAAATCAGCCACGATTTTCTTGTGGCCCTGAAAACCTTGCCACCGGAGGACCACAAGGTAGTGTATAGAAATAGGCAGTGTGAGCTGATGAAGATCCTTGCTGCAAATACAGGTGCATCTACACTATAGAATTAATGCAGTTTGACTCCACTTTAACCACCATGGATCAATGCTGCTTGGAATCCCAATCTTTAATAGAGGCCAATAACCTTGCAAAACTAAAATGTCAATGACTCTATTGAGCCATGGCAGTTAAAGTGGTATCAAACTGTATTAATTCTCTAGTGCAGATGCCAATTGGGCTAGTCCAGTGTTGTCTTTAAAGTAGGCATGGGCCCTCCAGGTGTTTTGGACTACAACTCCCACAATTCCTAACAGCCTATCGGCTGTTAGGAATTGTGGGAGTTGTAGTCCAAAACACCTGGAGGGCCCAAGTTTGCCCATGCCTGCTTTAAAGTATTGTGCTTAGGGTGCAGAAAAGAGGGGCAGTGGGGTGATTCCCAAAGTAGTTTCAAATGGGATGTGATTTCTGTGTTGTTGTTTTTTGGACATGCATATATTTTGCATATATTTTGTTGTTTGGTTTCAAGTCTTTTCCAAGACATGCAATCTTATCACAGTCTTTTCTTGCCATTATGTGTTTAAAAGAGGTTCACCATTGCCTTCCTTTCAGTCTGACTTCCCCAAAGTCACTTTGGAAGATTTTTTTTATGTCGGAGGCGGGATTCGAACCCGGGTCTCTCGGGAGTCTTAACGCAACGCCTTTAAACGCCTCCCTCTGTGCGGTTCTGAAACTTCAGACGCTTCCTTCTAAGTTGCGCATGCTCAGAATGCGCAACTGGCAAATTTACTGGCAGGAATTACTTCTGGTAGCTACTGCGCATGCGCGCAGGAACGGCCATGCGCAGTGCGGAAAATGCTTTGCTGTGCCCAATTAGTTAAGTAACTGAATGAAACATGCCTTCTCCATCCTAGAGCAGATTGTTGGGAGAGTTTTCCATATTAAACATAAATACTTTGATCAAATAAGTGATTTTTTAAAAAACAACAAATTTATAATGGTTCATCAACCTCCAAAACTAGGTTAATTGGGGTAAGGGCATTTACAATATTAGTCCTCCACTTACTTGGGATGTGTCTACACTATAGAATGAATGCAGTTTGACCCCACTATAACTGCCATGGCTCAATGTTATGGAATCATGGGATTTGAAGTTTGGTGAGACACTGACACTCTGCATAGACCTTGTAAAACTACAGCTCCCATGGTTCCATAGCATTCAGCCATAGCAATTAAAGTGGGATCAAACTGCGTTAATTAGCCAATGTAGATGCACCCTAGGATGTGATAAAAAGCAGCTGAAAATTGGGCATATGGAGGACTAATTGGGGGTGTCCCTGCCATAATTTTCAGATTATTATTGTGTGCCTTCCAGTAATTTCCAGTGCATGGCAAGCCTATCACAGGGTTTACTTGGCAAGATTTATTTCTTTGTGTTCTCTAAAGCTGTGAGACTGTCACTTGTTCAAGATCATTCATTGGGTTTCTGTGGCAGAAGAAACCTGGTCTCCCATAGTCATAGTCCTACATTAAAATCAATATCCAATGCTGGCTCTTTTCGAGCAATTGTTGTTAGGCGATTCCCTCGTTACCCGAGGATGATGGTCTTCCAAGTCCAATGTCTTGGTGGTGAGATTGTAGTGGCTGTGGAGCCCTATTCTTGCATGTTCTCTTGCAGTGAGGACATCGGTTTCCAGGTGGAAGGTGTTTCCGGTCAGGGTTGGCTTGACACACCTTCCTCTTTCTCCCTTTCGCCTTCCATTTGTGCCTCTTTGAATTCTGCAGCACTGCTGGTCACAGCTGACCTCCGGTTAGAGTCCTCAAGGGCCAGAGTTTCCCAGTTCTCTGTGTCTATGCCACAGTTATTAAGATTAGCTTTAAGCCCATCTTTAAATCTCTTTTCCTGTCCACCAACATTACATTTCCCATTCTTGAGCTGGGAGTAGAGTAACTGCTTTAGTAGGCGGTGATCGGACATTTGGACAATACGGCCAGTCCAGCGGAATCAAGCGATTAAAGGGATATCTAAAGGGGTGTTTAAATCAACCACTAAATGCTGGAGGGTTTGAACATGTGTGAAGAAGATGTTCCTTCAGGTAAATATATCCCAAACTATTTAATTTAACCTTTTCCTGAACCCTATTACTTCCAGGTGGTGGCCATTGCTTCTCGAGAGCTCAGCCGGGCTCAGGAATATGCCAAGAATCACAGCATCCCCAAGGCATATGGTTCCTATGAGGAACTGGCTCAGGATCCAGATGTTGGTAAGCATACTACATACAAAAGCTGGGGACACTTGTAAAGTGAAAGGATTGTTGTTGTGTTCCTTCAAGCCATTGCTAACATGGCAAACCTAAGGCAGCCCTTTCATAGTCATTTTTTTTTTTGTGCAGAGAGGGATTTCCCTTTGCCTCCCTCTAAATCTTAGAGTTTGTAGTTTCCAACTCTGGCTGAGGATCTAGTCCTGTCAGACTCAGTGTATGTGTGTGTGTGTGTGTGCGCTCATCTCCATTTCTAAGCCGAAGAGCCGCCATTGTCCATAGACACCTCTAAGATCATGTGACAGCATGACTGCATGGAGAGCCGTTACCTTCCCGCCAAGGTGGTACCTATTGATCTACTTACATTTACATCTTTTCGACCTGCTAGGTTGGCAGAAGCTGGATCTAACAGTGGAAGCTCATCCCACTCCCCGGATTTGAACCACCAATGTTTTAGCAGCTCAGCAGTTTAATCCGCTGTGCCACCAGGGGCCCCTGGATTTAAAACAACATTCTATAAACTAGAAGTCCCAGGAGTCCATAGAAAGGCAGTTAAAGTGGAATCAAACTGCTATAATTATATCACGTGCCAGTTATAACTACATTGCTAAAATGGTGAAGTTATTCCACATGATATTATTTATTTATGTATTTATTTACTACACTTATATACCGCCCTCTCAGCCCAAAGGGCGTAAGCTCCCACTGTTAGCCCAGCTTCTGCCATTTGCAGTTCAAATACATGCAAATGTGAGTAGATTAATAGGTACTGCTCCGGGAGAAAGGAAACGGTGCTCCATGCAGTCATGCCAATGGCCACATGACCTTGGAGGTGTCTAAGGACAACGCCGGCTCTTCAGCTTAGAAATGGAGATGAGCACCAGCCCCCAGAGCCGGACACGACTGGACTTAATGTTAGGGGAAAATCTTTAACTTTACTAATACTAGATCTGTTTTTAATAGCCACTCTCAAGCAATCAGAATGTACATTTATCTGGTATCCATCATTTAACTGAGAGTCTACTGTGTATTGCAAGGACGAAATCAATTACAATAAATTCCTTTACTTAGTTACTTCCAAGGTCTTGCTGGAACTCATCATCAGAAGTGGAAGAGGCTCAAAGGGAGTAATTGAAGGTGAAAGAGGCCACTGGAGATCTTTCCTTTCCCTTTCTCATTCACCCCATTAAGAACAGAAGGATTGACTTAATATTTCTTTGTGGCAAAACTCAGCTTGAGAGATTTCTCAGACTTCTTTTCTTTTCACAGATGTGGTATATGTGGGAGTGATACATCCCTATCATCTCCCAGCCAGCCTCCTATTCATCCAGGCTGGGAAAAATGTGCTTTGTGAGAAACCACTGGGCATGAATGCTGCTGAGGTCAAGGCAATGGTGCAGGCAGCTCGGGAAAAGAACGTCTTCTTTATGGAGGTAAACAGAGAACCTTTGGAAGACAATTCTCAGAATCTTCCAGTTGACTTCCATAGTTATGCTGGCTAGGATACACTAGCTGTTGGGGTCTAAAATCCTCATTTTTTGTACTGCAGACCTGGAAAAGGTACAAGAAATAGACCAAGAAAAATCACATAGTTTGAGGTTGTCTCGGACTAATTTTTTCATCTTCTCTGTCAGGCTTGCTGGACCCGCTTTTTCCCGGCTTCGGAGAAGATCCGTTCCCTGCTGAAGCAAAGCGTGGTGGGGGACGTGGTAGTATTACATGTCGATTTTGGTTTAGCTATGCTCTCAGTCCCCAGATGTGTGAAAAAGGAGCTTGGGGGTGGTGCCTTGCTAGATATCGGCATCTACTGTGTTCAGTTGGCCTGTATGGTCTTCAATGGGGAGAAACCACAATCCATTGTGGCCACAGGATTCTTGCACGACACAGGTTAGTGTTTGCTGGGTACATCCTTGGATGCTAAAGATATATACAGAGCGGATGAGAATCCATTGTGATTTACCGGCTTGACACTGATGGTTCCTTTTGACCTAGTCAAAGTGTCAGCCAGTAATTACTGTTGCTTTAGAAGCATAGATCCCATTTACACTGTCCTATAGTGCGGGTCAAAATTGCGTTACATATTCAGTGTAGACTCATATAATGCAGTTATAAATAAAGGTAAACGTTTCCTCTTGATATTAAGTCTAGTTGAGTCTGACTCTGGATGGTGGTGCTCATCTCCATTCCTAAGCCAAAGAGCCGGTGTTGTCCATAAATGCCTCCAAGGTCATGTAGCCAGCATGACTGTATGGAGCACCATTACCTTCCCACCGAAGTATTGATCTAATCAGATTTGCATGTTTTCAAACTGCTCAGTTGGCAGAAGCTGGGGCTAACAGCGGGAGCTCACCCAGCTGCCTGGATTCAAACCACCAACCTTTCAATCAACAAATTCAGCAGCTCAGTGCTTTAACCTACTGTGCCACCGGGGACGTATAATTCCATTTTATGAAAACCATATAATGGAATTTCAAACTGAATTGTATGGCAATGTAGATGGGGCCCAACTAGCTGAAAAGTGATTATCACAAGGTTCACTTTAGGTTCTAAAATATTTACTCATCTCATAAGAATCATTCAGAAATCTACCAGTGAACCCATGTTGATCTTGCATGGGTCTCAAAATACACAAAATCATCTATGTAAAGAAAAATAATAATACTTAAGGTGCATAAAGTATATAATATTCAGTACATAGTTCAGTATATTCACATAAAGTGAAATAAAAAGGAGCAAACGCTCTCAAACATAACATTTGCAATACAGTCATATAAAGTAAAATGAAAAGGAACAACCGTATTCTAGGGTAGTGTTTAGTATCTTGCAGGGGTCAGCATACATAGTTCCTGCCCCCAAAAAGTTGGTGAATGCTTACCTTGAAAGACATGGACAGTTCGGTGTGTTTATGTTTCCCCTCCAGGAGTAGACAAAATGGCATCAATCATCCTGAACTATTCAGGCCAACGACAGGCTGTCCTCACCTGCAATATGGCGAACGAACTGCCGAATCGAGCAACCATTAGTGGGACCAATGGATTAATTGAAGTAAGCCCTCAATGGCAAAAACCAAGGGGTAGAAGACTCATTTGTTGTCTGGAGACTCTGATAGGATAAGAATTCAAGATGTTGCTCTAAAGCAGCATCGAACAGCTTGGAATGTGGCTACCAAGATCTCTAGATCTCTTAAACGTCTCCAAAACTTCAGCTCCCTTTTGATGGCATTCTGTATTTTGTTGCCCCAAGCTGTGATCTGTTTCTATGCTTGCTGCTCTTACTAAAGATGTGAAGATATCTCTCTTCAACTTTCTCTATTAAACCACTTGACATTTATGATGATGATTTCAACAAGGGCTGAAGATTTTAACTTGTGTCGTCGTGCCTGGGGCTATAACTCTTAGTGAAAGAGGCATGGATGTGACATCTTTCCCCCAGGGGATTGCTTCTTGCCCTCCTTTAGGAAAACTGGAACTCCCAAGGACCAAAAAACTGTAGATAACTCAAAATAGGTTTTATCATTCACAAAGAGTTATCCCTTTAAGGCAATAAGCTGGAAGTTTCAAAGGGATGAAGGAAAACATACATTACAGTCTCTGGTTGTCTTGGGTCCAAGGAGTTTTGCAGCTGAGAAGCTTTTCCAGATCCCTCTTTCTCAATGGCTGTGAATATCGGAATAATCACAACCCCAATTCCAATGGCCTATATTTTGAAGGCACAAAGTCTTCCTCTGGTGCCAAAGAACTGGTTTGAAGGCACTTGAGACTTCTCAACGTCGTCCAGGTTGATCTGAACATGAAGCATAAATCTCAAGGGTAAGAACCTCAGAATTGGTGCTGAGAGGTAACTTAATCAGGGGCTTTTAGAGCCAAGTCTCTTTCTCACGTCCATCTGATATAAAGTCTGATGGTGGAATGAAAAAAGAAAGTGCTCCCTTCCTCCAGGAAGAGGTGGAGCCAAACAATTGAGCTGAGGCAGCAATATAACTGGTGCAAACAACATTGATTGACAGCTATAAATAACCAATCAATCCAACTATACATAGGCAGGGTAAAAGGGCAGGATTAAGCATGATATAACAGTCTTGCAACTAACAGTTCTACATATAGGTGGCGCCATTCGCGCCATCACATAACTATGGCTTGTTGCTTCATTTGTTTTCAATGCAACTTTTATATATATATATATATATATATATATATATATATATATATATATATATGAGGATTTTTTTTGGTTCCCTGGAAAGACAGAATAAAACTGTAAATGCACTGGGAGTTTCAAAATGATGGACCTGATTTGAAATTCCTACAGCTTTGAAACTGTGTCCTGCTTTGAGTCTCTTTGAGAGAATATATATATAAATATTATTATTGAATAATAATAATAATAATAATAATAATAATAATAATAAATTTAATATCCAGATTCCAGGTTATTTCTGGTGCCCACAGAAGTTGGTCATCAATGGGCAGAAGGAAGAGTTCCCCCTTCCTGCTCCATCCCAAAAACTGAACTTTCCTAGCGGCACAGGTCTACGATATGAGGCAGAGCATGTCAGGCAATGTCTTCTGAAAGGTAAGAGCCCAAACTGTAACCATGGGTGCATCTTCACTGTAGAATTAATGTGGTTTGATACTCAACTGCCATGGCTCAATATTATGGAATTAAGGGATTTGTAGTCTGCTGATGCACCAATGCTCTTTGGTAAAGAAGGCTAAAAGGTTGAGAAAGATGGTATATAAATATGGTTAATAATAATAATAATCATCATCATCATCTTGTAAAACTTCAACTGTCAGGATTCCATAGCATTGAGTCATGGCAGTTAAAATGTTTTTAAACTGTATTATTTCTACAGTATTTATCAGGTATGCAAACTTCAGCCTTCCAGGTGTTTTGGACTTCAACTTCCACAATACCTAACAGTCTACCGGGATTTGCAGTTTGGTGAGGCACCAGCAGTCATTGGCAGGGAAGGGTGGTTCTCAACCTGGGGTCCCCAGATGTTTTTGACCTTCAACTCCCAGAAATCCTAACAGCTTGTAAACTGGCTAGGATTTCTGGGAGTTGTAGGCCAAAAACATCTGGGGAACCCAGGTTGAGAACCACTGGAAGACTTTGTAAAACTACAACTCCCATGATGCTATAGCAGTTAAAGCTGTATCAAACTGATTTTATTCTTCAGTGTATGTCGATTCATCCCAATTGTATTGTGCAGATGGATGTAGAAAAAGCAGACAGCTTGACCTTTTCTTGTTTCTTTCTTTTACTTTTCTTAGGCTTGAAGGAGAGCCCTGTCATGTCTCACGCAGACAGTGAGCTTATTCATTCCATTCTGGATGAAGCCCGCAGGCAGCTGGGAGTATCCTATCCTCAGGACCGTGCCTGACCCATACTGTAGTTTGCTCTCTATGTATATGAGAGAAGAAACATTACTGTTATCCCTAGATAATTCCCAATACTGTGAACATAGGGGTCAACCAGTCAAGTTGCAAGAGTTGGTTAAACAGTTTGGAATTTGCAGATAAGTTCCAAGAAGCTTGCTGTTTGTTATATACTGTATTTCTTCAATTCTAAGCCACATTTCCACCATATAAACATCTCAAAAGCAGGGTGTGACTTAGCATTAAAAGTGAGATAGAAAGAAAGCTTTTTCTTCTATTAGTGGTACTGAAATTAGTATGCGTTTTACAATTGATGGGAATTCAGAATTGAAGAAATATAGAAATTTCCACCGCCGGACAGCAAACTGTAAAATAAAGCTAACATTGCCTTCATCTCACAATTTGTTGTGTTTTTTATGGTTTTTATGGAGTGTTTTACACCTTTTTCTCACATTTGTGTTTTAACCGGAGACTTTTATGATTGAGTGACTGAATATTAAAGACAATTGGGTGTTCTGACACTAGGTGTATGCAGTGGTTCTCAACTTGTGGGTCCCCAGATGTTTTGGCCTTCAACGCCATGAAATCCTAACAACTGGTAAACTGGTTGGGATTTCTGGGAGTTGTAGGTCAAAACATCTGGGGACCCAATGAAGCGTCACTGATGTAGGGGCATTCCACGGCCCAATGTAGTCAGGCGAGGAGGAAGCCATAAGTTAGATTCTTTCTACAAAGGCTTTATTGCGTGGCCATAGCAATAACGACAAACGTGCATAAAGGAATGCAACCAAAGGTTTTGTCACAACCTCCAAAGGGACTGCAGAGTTTTTGTCATTTTTTGGCAGTAAATTGAATACACATTCTCATTGGTTTCCAAAGACAAATCATTTCATTGGTCTAAGCTAGCTGTACAGTTGCTCATTTGTTCTTTATGATTTTGACTGACATGATAGCACACGTGGGACCTTAAAAAGTCTGTCGTCCCTTCAACGGCATAGCAAAGCTATTATCACTTTAACAGAAAATTAAAAGCACATTCTCACTGGTGTACAAAGATCAATTATTCCATTGGTCTAAGTTGGCTAATACAGATTTTCATTGGCGCTCTATAACTCTAACAAGCAGTACAATAGCACAATTATGCTTTCATGACCCTGACCGTCTGTCTTATCTACTTTTCTGTTTCAAACATAGACTTCAAGTGACTGAGAGAAATTAGGGAGTGTTAGCTAGCACCAGCACTGCTCCAGTGAATTCATCCTTGAGCATAATTCACCTCCCTGTGGCAGTTCTCTCACTTTTTCAGACAAAGGCTTCTTTGAATCAGGACATATGGGACTTACAATCATTGGAGGCATTTATGAAAATTCTATTTAAAACTACACCTCCCTCACTGGGATTTGTAGTTTGGTGAGGCACCAGCAGTCATTCGCAAGGAAGGCTAAAGACTTTGTAAATCTACAACTCTTGTTGTGCTATACCAGGGATTCTCAAACTTTTTTAACAGAGGGCTGGTCACTGTCCCTCAAACTGTTGGAGGGCCAGATTATAATTTGAAAAAAGCATGACTGAATTCCTATGCACACTGCACATATCTTATTTGTAGTGCAAAAAATGCTTAAAAATACAATAACTAAAATGAAGAACAATTTTAACAAATATAAATTTATTAGTATTTCAGTGGGAAGTTTGGGCCTGCTTTTGGCTGATGAAATAGGACTGTTGTTGTTGTGTGCTTTCAAGTTCTTTCAGACATAGGTTGACCCTGAGCGAGAGCGGGGTAAATGATCTTGGAGGGCCGTATCCGGCCCATGGGCCTTTGTTTGAGGACCCCTGTGCTACACCATAGCAGTTTATTTATTTATTTACGACATTTATATGCCACCCTTCCCACCCTGAAGGGGACTCAGAGCGTCTTACAAGATATATATACATACAATGTATTATATTATTAGCACAGTACAATATCAGTATTAAATATATGGAGCCCCTGGTGGCGCAGTGGGTTAAACCCCTGTGCCGGCAGGCCTGAAGACCAACAGGTCTCAGGTTCGAATCTGGGGAGAGCGCAGATGAGCTCCCTCTATCAGCTCCAGCTTCTCATGAGGGGACATGAGAGAAGCCTCCCACAAGGATGGTAAAACATCAAAAACATCCAGGCGTCCCCTGGGCAACGTCCTTGTAGATGGCCAATTCTCTCACACCAGAAGCGACTTGCAGTTTCTCAAGTCGCTCCTGACACAACAAAAAAAGTATTAAATATTACTATATTGTACGATGCCATTATATTGTAATATTATTATTACATGTAATATAAATATATAATTATAATATATTTTATTAGTATTATATTGCATTACATTATTATATTATAAATATAATATGTATATACAATATATTATTTAGTAAAATTATATTCAGTTAAAGCTGTATTTATTCTATAGTGTGTAGATGAAGGCCTTCCAGGTGTCTGACAGGCTACTAGAAATTTTGGGAGTTGAAGTTCAAAATACCTGGAGGGTTGAAATTGGCCCATGCCTTGTCTACACTGCCAATATAATACGGTTTCAAACTGCACGTGTTGATAGGGATATAGCTAAAGCAGTACTTTGGTCCTGGAAGCTTTTGGACTTCAGCTCCCATAATTCCAAGCAGTTGAGTAAGCCAGCTAGTGCTTCTGGGAGTTGAAGTTCTGTCTAGCTAGGCCTCTACACTGGCTGTTAAGGAGAAGGAAGGCTTTAGAGGACGCCTTGGTGACGTCATTTCCGCACCTGCGTGTTTCGAGTCCTGCCCTGAAGCGGCAGGGAGGGTAACCCCGTAGCCGGCGGTGGGCGGAGCCTCTTTCCCGTGCGGCCGCCGAGGAGCAGCCATGACGGAGCCGAAGGTGCGGAGCTTCTCTAAGGCCTCGGTGGCTTTTTTCCTTGGGTCGGCGGGAGGGGGGCGGCGAAAGCAGGCCGAGGGGCTTCCTGGATGTCTCCTGAGGTTTTGGTGGCGGGGAAAGGGGAGAAAAAAGGCCAATCCTCCATTTGCGAGGCCTCAGCCAGGACTAGGCCTCAGGCGCGAGAGTGCAAGAAGAGTGTCCCACAGAAATGTGCACACCTTATAACAGCTCACAGTAGCTCTGGTGAATATTTTAAGGCCTAAGCAATCCCAACTGTATTGAAGAACAAATCTTTACAGTAATTATTTCATCAGATGTACAAGGTCCATCTTAAATTATGATTTTAGTTCAGCTGTTTATATATATTCCAAATAATTTTGATTAAACACTTACTAGGAAAGTGGGAAATGGGACAAGGGAAGGAAAAGGAAAAAAAAATGTGAATAATAATTAGTTATTGGTTAGTAGCATCCTTTAAAAATGTCTAATATAGTGGTTCTTAACCTTCCTAATGCTGTGACCCCTTAATACAGTTCCTCATGTTGTGGTGACCCCCAACCTTAAAGTTATTTTCATTGCTACTTCACAGCTGTAATTTTGCAACTGTTATGAATTGTAATGTAAATATCTGATATGCAGGATGTATTTTCATTTGCTGCACCAAATTTGGCACAAAGACCCGATACACCCAAATTAGAATACTGGTGGGATTGGAGGGGATTGATTCCATCATTTGGGAGTTGTAGTTGTTGGGATTTATAGTTCATCTGCAATCAAAGAGCATTCTGAACTCCACCAATGATAGAATTGAACCAAACATGGCACAGAACTCCCATGACCAACAGAAAATACTGGAAAGGTTTAGTGGGCATTGACCTTGAGTTTTGGAGTTGTAGTTCACCTATGTCCCGAGAGCACTGTGGACTCAAAACAATGATGGATCTGGACCAAACTTGGCATGAAAATCAGTATGTCCAAATGTGGACTCTGGTGGAGTTTAGGGAAAATAGACTTGACATTTGGGAGTTGTAGTTGATGGGATTTATAGTTCACCTACAATCAAAGAGCATTCTGAACCCTACCAAGGTTAGAATTGGGCCAAACTTCCCACACAGAACTCCCCATGACCAACAGAAAATACTGTGTTTTCTGGTGCTCTGGCGACTCCTCTGACACCCCCTCACGACCCCTCCAGGGGTCCCAACCCCCAGGTTGAGAAACACTGGTCTAATATATGGTGAGGTGAAAATAAAAGGTGAGGGTGGTTGAAGTATGGGGAAAAAAATCATCATTGTTGCCACTAAGTCTTCGTTTCTATTTCTTTAACACATATTTGGTAAAATATTGAGGATTCTAACCATGTTAATTTTAAGCCCCATCGATCGTATCTTCTGTCTTCTCACATTGTCTCCTGGTCTTCATATATTCTTTTCCAGTTTTTCTTCAATGAAAGTTTATCTTAATTTTTCATAACGGGTTATTTATTTATTTACTGCATCTTTACCCTGCTCCATCTCAACCCTGAAGGGGACTCAGAGCGGCTTCCAGATTGGCAATATTCAATGCCACATGAAAAATAAAACATACAAATACAAATAGCAATATACATTAAAATAATAAAAAGTCATAAAAACAATGGCATATAAATGCATCACATATATTGTTAAACATTGCATCCTCAGAGGTAGTGAGGTCTATTGGAACTAGGAAAGTGGGTTTATATAAATAATATATGTAATAATAATAATATGTAAACCCACTTTCCTAGTTCCAATAGACCTCACTACCTCTGAGGATGCTTGCCATAGATGCAGGCGAAACGTCAGGAGAAAATGCCTCTAGAACATGGCCATATAGCCCGAAAAAACCTACAACAACCCAATAGATTAGTTATTAGTTAGTAGCATCTTTACAAATGTCTAATATATGGTGAGGAGAAAACAAAAGTGAGGGTGGTTGAGGTATGGGGAAAAAAATCATTGTTGCCACTAAGTCTTCGTTTCTATTTTTTAACACATATTTGATAAAATATTGAGGATTCTAACAATGTTAATTCTAAGTCCCATGGTCATACCTTCTTCTGTCTTTACACATTAATAATAATAAACTTTATTTATACCTTGCTACCATCTCCCCAACAGGGACTCGGGACGGCTTACATGAGGCCAAGCCCAATCAACAAATTACAGCAAAATAAAACCAAAAACACATGCAACAAACAACATAATCATAATTACATAAAACATATGAATACATCAACGATGTATGATTACAAATAAACACAGTCACAGTGACAGTAGGCGGCTTTATGGGCAAGAAAATGATTAAAAACTGATTTAAAACATATATGAATTAAAAACATATATATGAAGACCATTGTCTCCTGGTCTTCATATATTATTTTCCAGTTTTCTTCAATAGAAGTTGATCTTAATTTGTCTTAACAGATTATTTATTTATTTATTTATTTACTGCATTTTTACCCCACAATCTCAACCCTGAAGGGGATTCAGAGGGGCTTCCAGATTGGCAATATTCAATGCCACATGAAACATAAAACATTCAAATACAAATTGCAATCTATATTAAAATAATAAAAAGTCATTTAAAAAACGGCATATAAATACATCACTTATACTGTTAAACATTGCACATAGACCAGAATTCTTAGTCCAAAAACCATTCCAAATTGCATTAATTCCATTCACTTCATAGCTGTATGTTGACCCTGTGCTATTCCCCAAATGCTTGATATCGTTTTTTCACATTAAACCTTTTCCTAAATCATTTGTTGTCAGTATCAACAAAGTTATACAATTTTCATTTAGATTACTAGTAGGCTAGTGTTTGTATCATTTTATCATTATCATGCTGTCTCAGTATTTTATCAAATAGATTTTCCATCTACAACTCTTGGGTTTAAAAACTCTTCTGATTTAACCATAATTACTTGACTAAGCAAGTAGATAGGACATGGTATACACTACGGACCCACAATATGAACAGCTGAACTTTATGTGTATGTATGTATATATATAGAGAGAGGGGGGGTTGATATAAAAAAGAAGGCTAGACAGGCTAGTGGGAACAAAATCTCGAGAAAGAGAAGTTTGAGAGATCTGGCCTTCGGGAGCTATCAGGGAAAGTTCTTTAAAATAAATATTAAGTACTGTCCCTGAAGGCTAGATCTCTCAAACTTCTCTTTCTCAAAGTTTTTGTTCCCAGTAGCCCATCTAGTCTTCTTTTATATTAATCTGTCTCTTTATGTATACACATATATAAAGAAATAAAGTTCAGCTGTTTATATTGTTGGCCCTGTAGTGTATACCAATGTCCTCCTCGCTTTGTTGAAGCACAGACTTACACATTTCTGGTTTTTTTTTAAAAAAAATATCACGATACATCTCTGCTATTGGAAGTTTTAATTCTGTTGGGTCAAAGAAAAAAAATATAAAAATTATATATTGTTAAAGGTTGTACAAAGGGATTGAAAGCCACAAGGGTGCCTGATGTTTTTACAACTTTTTGAAATTACTTTGTAAATAATTTTACTTGAAATTTTATTTTCTGTATACGATGCTCTGTTATTGTAAATTAAAAACAGGTGTTTGTGACTTTTGGCCCATTCTGTAGTACTGAAACATGTGGAAAGAGGGTTTCTCTCATTGCAAACTTCGGGCTTGTGTGCATTTAGAGCTCTTTAAGTTTAAACTTCCGTGATACTTTTAAAAGAAAAACTGGAACCAGCATCTACAAAAGACTGAATGTTGTGGGAGTTGTCTGAATGAAGTTTCACTTTGGAGTTAAATAGGGGTTGAGAAAAACGAATTAATTTTATGCAGGATTAGTATCCCTGAACAGGAAATCTCAAATGCTCTGAAACTGTCCACATGGATAGCTGAAATTGAGATACCTTTGCTTTCTGGTGGCTCAGTGTACACAAACTTTGATTGCAAATATTCTGTATATAATTACCTCCAGGTGAGGTATATAGAGTATTTCTAAGATAACCTCATTATACCTATGTAAATATTCCAAAATGGAAAACACTTTTGAGTCTCAAGCATTTTAGATAAGTATTCGGCCATCTTTGTGGCTTAACTTCTCTGTGGTTCAAAAGGCACCTGGACAGTTGAACATTTGTCTGAATTGTTCACAAACATGGCATGAAAATGGCTATTTATCTACCAGCTTTCTGGTAATTCAGCTCTGTAATGCTTCAAAAATAAACAATGCATCTTCACTGTAGAATTAATGCTGTTTTAAGTATCATAGCTCAATGCTATGAAATTCTGAGTTTTGTAGTTTGGCTAAAGACCTTGCAAAACTACATTTTTCATGTGTTCAAAGCAATGAGTCAAGGCAGATAAAGTGGCGTCAAACTGCATTGATTCTGTAGTGTAAACGCACCTAAGGTTTCCTTAGTATAAGCTTCTGTTTAATCAGATGTGCAGTGGCAGATTATAATATAAATGCTTCAAGGGGGCGTTTCATTAGTTGGCAAAGTGGATGCTGAAACAAATCAAAATAGTGAAGATGAAGGCTAGTGGGCAAGCCATACACCAGTTTTATGTGTCTGGCATGTAGGAGACCCACTTACTTGTTCTTTGGGGAGTTTTGTTAAAAACCTATAAATTGCAACTACAAGTTAAAATCTTCCTTTTCTTTTCCAGGTATTGGTGATTGATGGCCGTGGCCACTTGCTTGGTCGCTTGGCGGCCATTGTGGCTAAACAAGTCCTATTAGGTAAGGTTCCTTCAGGTATAGAGAGAAAGAAGATGTTCACTCCCACCTTCATAAATGAATTGATATTGGGAACGTAAAAGAGAGTGGAAAATGGTTGTATGCTGTTTGGTGTTGATGGAAATTTGGTGCATGATATGAGGACAAGAGTGGGTTGGAGAAGATTACCTATATCCTCTTCCACCATTTCATGTCCTTCCTTAACCTCCTGAATATCCTTATGTGATGCTCCTTATACCAGCTGAGTTCATTAGAGTAGCTAAGTATTATCTGCAAGAGGATCATCAGCAGGTCTGCAAAATTGGTACACCAAATCTTTGACTCCAACTTCTCTATTTTTATACCGTCTGACTCTTTTACAAATGACAAGTTTATATTCATTAGTAATAACAAATCTACTTTATTAAAATGTAGCACAAAGCATTCCTTCACCACTGTTTGGATAACCGAACTACTTAGATCGATGAACATGCATTTATTTGATCAAAATTTCTGCACAAGAAAACTTTCTAAAATTCCTATGAATGTACATATGCAACCAGACTAGGCATAAGTTTTATTTTTAAGCCGGAATGGGTGTATTTCTGCTGACTCCCAAGTCCACCCAAAATTGCTTATAACCCTGACTACTGTCTTGATTCTCCTACTTAAGGGTGCTGGATACATTTGTAATTTTGAGATAAAGTTTTGGACACCATCATGATCACTACTTAGATGCTGCTATGGCAAGGTGGGGGCTCACTTGTCACAAAAATGGCTAGTAATTTGTTGTGGCCAGTAAAAAAATACCCATTTCCCAAAGGCAAAGTTGTGAGATTGAAAAAAAAAATTTGTCTATGAATCTGGTAGAGGGATTTTTAGACCTCCACAAAATAACGTAACTAATTTGATACCTGTTTCCTTGTCTGGCAATCATTTCACTAAGGATAAACTGGTGAGTTGTGAAAACAAGTAACTTGGCCTCCCAGAATTAAGATGGTGCCCCAAATTGTGTATTTTTACCCTCAAAGCACAGTACAGATACATCCCGCAGGAGACAAAGATAGATCGGATAGCTAGACAGAGAGATAGCAGGCATCACAACAGAGGCAAACAATATGTCCCTTCCTTTTCTTTCATCCTGTACTAATAAATTGTTGCGACTGCTGCTTTTAATTTCCAAAAGTGTCTGTCTGTCCTCATCAAGGCCAAAAGCAATCTTGGTGATAAAGATAGTTTTGTAGGCTGCAATGGTATTCCAGCATGAGTTTGTGGAAGAGGGCACAAACTGATCTTGAATTTTCCTTTTTCTCTCCCTCAGGGCGCAAGGTTGTGGTTGTCCGTTGTGAAGGTATTAACATATCTGGCAACTTTTACCGCAACAAATGTAAGTAATGCAATACTTTTTGTATCCTGACTTTGTGGATGTGTCATATCATTTGTCCTGTAGATTTAAATACTTGTCTGTTGAGCCTATAGTTTGTGATGAAACTTTCCCCTACCTCCCAGTCATCTGGAAACAACTAATTATTTCTTGCTATTATATTCTTCATCTGCTTATTTATTTATTTATTTACTCTGCTTATATACCGCTGTTCTAGCCTGAAGGCGACTCACAGCGGTTTACAACAAATAAGAACAGCAAAAATTCCAATGCTACAATGTAAAAACAGTTAACTACCTAACACATTACACAATTAATAAACAATTACTACAATAACCATTCACTATCGTCTCATCATCAGAAAACATGATCCAAATTCGACATCCATTGTTCCATCTGTTGCATCCAGGGACCAGAACAATCCAATCCTTTCAAAACTAGTTTGGCTTTGGAATAAGGGTGGCATGATTACAGAGACCTAGACTTAACGGTAATGGCCTCATGGATTTGAGGGCTAGATGTCTATATGTCAGTAGACTTGTATGTTTAGATAGCTAAGTTGAATACTAAATTGAAGAAATCAGATTGGCAATGATTCATTATTTCAGAAGATGCACAATATCAGTAAAATAACATCAGAAATGCATATGTATTATGCTTCCTACATATTAAATTTTAGGAAGTCAAGCTAGCCATCTGAGGTATCTAAAACTTTGTGTTGTGTGCCGTGTACACTGTATAAGTTGGTATCTTCAAATTAAATATGTTTGGTTTCATAATTGTTAAGCATTTTATAAATCTTTATGGCTGCAGAAGAACCCTTTACAAGAAAATTCCAGTGGAAGAGACAGGATCCAGTACTATTCTTATCTCCCTAGAAACTAGAGAAAACAGGGTTCATTGTGCCAGTTGGTCAACTTTGTGTATAATTGTTCAGTTTGTATAGTTTATATGGGATATTTTTGTCTTGCTTTTATTCTCAGTCAGCCTCCATAGCCTTGGGAGTATAACAACCATTGGTATACATACGAATGAATGGGTCAGGACTACAGAGTTCTTTGATTGTTTGAAAACCGATGTATTGCAACTACAATAGAGTTTTACACCTGCCACTTTTGCCTGTTTGTGTGTAATGACGTTAGCTTAAGGAGCATGGTAGATGAGGTAGTGGTCTGTGATGATGCTTTTCCACCATTAGTTCGAGTGTCATGGCCATGAGATAACTCTACATGCACTACCATCTGAGGCCACTGCCCTCCTACCTCTGCCCATTCTTTCTGTTGAGTAGCCATGTGTGACATACACTGGTTGTGAGGGGCAAGGAAGCACATTCCTTGCACAATTGAGTCCTGAGTGCTCCTCCTGTTGAGCTCTTAGGCTTCTGATTTAGGCCCCCAGTACGGCTGAATGGAGCAAGTTATTTAGCTAGATCAACTGGTTGCTTTGTGGTTTTAATATAGGGTGAAATTGCTGCCATATCAGTGTGTTTTATTTTTTGCTAAAATTGCCATAGCTTAGCTGACAACTATGCAGTCCATAAGCTTGTGATTCACACAAAACTCAGAAAACTTTTACTTGGGATCTTTGGACATTCCGAAATACCTATTCCAGCTGTTGTAATTGTTAATATGGAGACTATATGGTATGGGTGGGGAAATTTGACCTATCATAATTTGTGTATATATAAAAGAAGCAGTTGGGATCAGGTGCTAAATAGTAGTCAGTTAAAAGAAGAATATAAATGTTTTTGCCTATAAACCTTCGCTAATCTGAAAAATAGTCTTGTTTCTTAGTGCAAATCACAATTTAAAACCAATTCCTATAATATGTGCTCTGCTTTACTCAAGTAAAGAAAGGATTTGTAGGAACTCTAGTCCAAACAGTAGATGAGCCAAAAGTTAAGTACACATGTTGTAGAAGGCATATAACAAAGAAGGTGGATCTGCATAATTTCAGGCTGGCAGCAGTAGCTTTGCAAGTCTGCAAACTACCCAGTGGCTTTTATATTTAGATAGTAGCAAGCAGGTCATATGTGTGGTGGCTTCTGACTGTTGAAAGCCTCTAGCAAGCTTGCCTGGTTTAATCCTCCCATGAATTTCCACAGTGAAATACCTTGCTTTTCTGCGCAAGCGTATGAACACCAACCCCTCTCGTGGCCCTTACCACTTCCGTGCCCCCAGCCGAATCTTCTGGAGAACAGTGCGAGGTAAGTGCCACTCTCTCATTTACTTCACCTCGCGAAAATTCTACATATTCTCATGTGTAGCCAGGGATTGCACAATTTAGTAGCTGGTAAAAACTCTCTGTTCTCTTGTTCTTGTATTTGGACTCCTTTGGCAGCAACTTTCTATGCTTTATGATAACATTGGGCGAAGATAAATAGGTCTACAAGTGGTTTATATTGATTTCTCACATGCTTATTCTGACATACTTGATAATATGCATTTGAAACACAAATATGCAACATCCAATTTGCATATTAGTTTGTGAAGTGTCTGCTTGCAAAGGGCTTGCCCCAATTCAAAGAAAAGGGTTTCAGGAGAGAGAAGTTACGATTTATTATTTATTATTCTTAATGGTGCCACCAATTTGTGATGTGAGGTAATTTTGGGAGATTGGGCACACTGAACGCAGAATTAATGGAGATGAGGCAGTCTTAAAATCAAAGAGAACAAGTTTATTTTGAAACAAAGCGTATGGTTGCAGTTTGGTGATAAACTTGGAAGATACTTGGAGAACGTTACATATAACTTGGTTGCGATACAGTACAGACTTCTGATGTTACAACTTATCAATAACTTTTGCTGTGGTGAAGCACTTTATTAAACAATGGTTCCTGAGGTGAATAGTCTTCCTGTTTGATCCTTCCGTGATCAAACCTCAGATCTCTAGTTCACTTTTAACTAGTGATCTAAACAAGCTTCTATTAGTCTTCTCTAACTAATGAAACTAATAAGGTTTCCCCTTCAGCCTTCCTAAACTGAAGAAACCTCTGACTATTCACAAACACTGCTTCTCTACTTCCCACTCTCTCTCTCAACACTTCATTTCCCTGAGCCTAAAACCTGACTCTTCATTCCTCTGAGCCTAAACCCCCAACTGCCTTTAACTGTCGCTTTTCAAAACTCTCCTCTCTAAACTCCTCCCACTTCTCTACAGCATCGTTTCCATGGTAACACACTCCTCACATACACAGCGAACATCGTTTCCATGGTAACACACTCCTCACAGCTAGGCCGCTCCAGCATTAGGGCAACCAGTGCAAACACAAATACAGTTATAATCATATCATTTACAATCAACTTCTGTACACTGCTCTCACTGCAATTTGCCAAGATTAAGTTTGTCAAGCATCCCTAATACTGGGTGTATGTACATTCCAAGGAACGTTCTTTTCCAGATCATTGGGTTGGATTCAAATTTAATCTGCTGTTAGATCAGTATGTACATACCAGTAGATATTCAGTTCCAGGTCATTGGATTGATCAGCAGGACATAATTTAGCTGGTGCAGCCCTGCAGAATTGATTTCAGTGTGTCTTGAGTCGAATTCATTGTCACAAATGATAAATCTGAATGTCCTCTACCCTCAGTTTTTATACTGAAAATTGTTTTTGGTTATTTTGCTTTGTCCTGGGAAATTTGGGGCTTCTGATAACCAATTGATACCTTTTTTCATGTTCTCCTTTCTCACCCAGGAATGCTCCCACACAAGACCAAACGTGGTCAGGCTGCCTTGGAGAGGCTGAAGGTTTTTGATGGCATTCCCCCTCCTTATGACAAGGTAACCTTTCTTCCTCCACTGTACATATTGGGGGAAGTCCAGTGTCTAACTTTGATGCTGCATTATCAGTAATGCTCTGTTTTCCTATCTGCATTATTTGATCAACAAAGGGGGAAAATCCAACCATTGAGCAGGCTTTCCTTCTCTGAAAATGCCTCATGGTTGACTTTTGATTTGTGCACATTGCCAATGAAATATGTCTTCTCCACAGCGCAAGAGGATGGTGGTCCCAGCAGCTCTGAAAGTGGTCCGCCTCAAGCCCACACGCAAGGTATAGTTGAGATTTGTTTGTAGAACATCTAACAGCATCAGTCAGGAACACTCAGAATGACTCAGTAGCAAAAATTGCTACGTTTGCTTTGTCCGGAATTGGGAAATGTATTAGCCACATTGGAAACAGCCTTGCTGTGTCATTAGCGGCCCAGTATGCTTAAACTGTACTCTCCCAAGTTTTGTATGCCAAGACTGACAATGGACTGGTCTGTGATGATGACATTCCACCATTAGTTCGAGTCTCAAGACCATGAGACAACAACTTTTCATGCACTACCATCTGAGAACCAATCCATCCTAGTATGACCTTGTTAGGAGGAGGTGCAAGGGCCTTTCTGGTCAAGTAACAGGGGTACACATTAAATCAGGATGAGGGTAGAAAACAGGACTTTGGTCTCTGCTAAAGGAAGACCCTATTTCTTGTGCTGCCTTATTTATTTATTTGTTTACAACATTTATATGCCGCCCTTCTCACCCCGAAGGGCGCTCAGAGTGGCTTACAAGTAAAAAGTAAATACAATATATTATTATATTATTACCATAGCACAAGATTAATATTATATATTACATTGTACTATAACATTATACTGTAATATTATTAGTAATATTACATTTAATATAAAATATATAATTATAATAATAATAATATATTATTATTATTAGTAGTAGTAGTATATTGTATTACATTATATAATAATAATAATAATAATAATAATAATAATATATTATGGTTGTCAGTTTTGAGAAGGGGCTTAGGCGGGTGTCCCTTCAAGCAGGAAAGTTGGTAAGAATGGGAGATACATGATTTTGTGTTCTGCGTGATGAATGTTTGAGATTAATTGGCTAGTGGGGGACAAAGAATGAGAATGGAAGTAGGGGCATCCCCATTGTAGGTATTAGCATTTGAGTCTTAATGGAACACTACAATGCCAATAATTTTGGCTCGTGCACTTTTTCTTCCACCCACAGTTTGCTTATTTGGGTCGCCTTGCCCACGAAGTTGGGTGGAAGTACCAGGCTATCACAGCCACCCTGGAGGAAAAGCGAAAACAGAAGTCGAAGCTCCATTATGCAAAGAAAAAGCAACTAATGGTGAGTTACCCAGAGCTCCCAGTGATTGTGCAGGACGTTTTGGGCTTAGTAAACCAGGAAGGAAAAACAAAAAAGGGAGTAATAAGCACTGCATATTAAAACCTGGACAAAGGAGCTTTCCTCATCTAAAGAATTACAAACATTGGAAAGAATGATTTTAAAAGAAGAGGGCCTTTAGGTTCTTCTGAAGTTTGTCTTGTTTATTACTATGTATCTAGTGTTGTGTAAAAAAGGCCTTAGGCATCTCCAGGTATGCATGAACCATTGGTTAATATCTACAGTTTCTGTCTCACTCTGGGTGGCTTTCAAGCTTTCTAGCATCAACCCTCTGTTCTCTAGGTCATTTTGTTCTCATAGAACTGATGTTTTCCTTTTCTTCTTTTAGAAACTCCGGAAACAGGCAGAGAAAAATGTGGAGCCCAAAATTGCAAAATACACAGACATTCTGAAGCAGTATGGCATCCTGGTTTAAATCAACTGCTATGCTTAATTCACAATAAAGAAAAAAATTGCAGTTTTACAGCCTTTGGGAATTTGTGTTTGAATTTTAAGGATTACATTTAAATTGGGTTTTTTATTCTACTTGAGAAAAGGGGGTCATTGAGTTGCAAGAAGCTAGGATTCTTTGGTTCTGGGGTAAAGAAAACACTATACTTGGATCTTTATTCTTTGCTCAGATTGAGTTTGCTTTAATGAGGTAAACCACAAAAGCAGTATTTGGCTTCTTCGTCCTGTTCTAAAGGTGCTGCTCTAGAACCTTTTCGTCTGCAACCCCCACTAACTGTAACTAATTTGGTAGTAATTATGAAACCTATAATTTAAAAACACCTCAGGAGCTACACTAGACCATTCTTGATTTACTTGATTTACAATTTCTGGATTGAATTTGGGCCATTGCAGGCTAATTTGTATTTTGTCTACTCTTACACACCCATTCATGTTTTTTCAGACTGAGGAATGGAGAATTATTTGCCATTTGTCTGTTTGGAGGTCCCGCCCATCCCCTTCTGGTTGCTTGGCCTCCCGGTTCATAATCAACAGTTCATTCCATACAGGCAGATTTAAGATTAGCATTCCATTTAAGAGTACTTAAGTCTTGGCTCTCAAGATTTTTAATATAAGAGAAAAAGCAGGGAGGGGGAACAGGGGACTCTAACAGCCACTAGCTGTTAACAGCATTTGAACAGACTTAGATCACATAGAGGCTTCCTTTCAGGTTTTGTGTGTGTGTGTGTGTGTGAAGAATGACTTGAGAAACTGCAAGTTAATTCTGGTATGAGAGAATTGATCGTCTGCAAGGACGTTGCTCAGGACACCTGGATGTTTTACCATCCTTGTGGGTAGTTTCTCTAATGTCCCTGCATGGAGAGCTGGAGCTGACAGAGGAGGCTCATTCGCACTCCCTGGATTTGAACCTCTGACCTGTCAGTCAGAGTCCTGACAGCACAAGGGTTTAACCCATTGCACCACTGGGGGCCCCACTCTCAGTTATATATATTGTATCTATGTATACTTTGTTTATCTGTGTAAACGTGGGCCCCCTGGTGGTGCAGCGGTTTAAGCTGCTGAACTTGCTGATCGAAAGGTTGGTGGTTTGAATCCGGGGAGTGGGGTGAGCTTCCGCTGTTAGATACATCTTTTGCCAACCTAGCAGTTCAAAAACATTCAAATATGAGTAGATCAATAGGTACCGCTTCCGCGGGAAGGTAGCGGTGCTCTGTGCAGTCATGACCTTGGAAGGTGTTAACAGATAACGTCGGGCTCTTCGACTTGGAAATGGAGATGAGCACCACCCCCAGAGTTGGACACAACTAGACTTAATGTCAGGGGAAATCTTTACCTTTACTTTATGTAAACATAATTATTAAATTTGCATCTTTACATGTAAATTAGGATGTATACCCTAATCCTTTATGCAAATATCTTCTGCCTGCCTTTTGGAAGATGGATACATGGCAAACTGGTGTCCTTCAGCTGTTTCTGAATAACATTGATAGTCAGTGTGTCCACAAGTAGCCAGTTACACACTATGGACAGCTATGCATTTTCTGGATTAGATGATGTCCTCCAGCTACTCCCTGTCCTTCCAGAGAAATTGTGGCTTTTCAGGTAGAAGGGCAGAATCTTCATTCTTGGAACCGCTACTTGTTAGGATTAGAACCTGCAGTTGTTGACTGTGGTGACTGAGGGTTTTCAGAGGAGTTAATAGTCCAAACAAGTAGCCTTTCAGAGCTCTGGCACTCTTGTCCCAGACAATGTTACAGCCATTCTTCAGTCACTAGATCATTTAAGCAAAAAAGGAAAGTTTATTTGTATGATGTTTGATGCCTGTATTTGTTCTGTACGGCATCTTGCTCATAGATCACCCCCAGTTGCTTTCGAACTTCATCCAGAATTGTGGTCACAAGTTCACTTTCGTTCAGAGGCATGATGGGACTCTCCTTCAAATCTGCATGAAAGAGAGGCACATAGATGAGCAATAAATTTATGAAGTCCAGGGTTGCTTCAGATCTGTTTTGGAATTGCTAGACTTTGATTCCCATCTGCCTGAGCCAACTTCAATAATGGGAACAGCACCCAAATATCAATGACAACAGAAGATGTGGATTCCAGGCCAGAGCTTTCCAGGTACAGGATAAAAAAAATTTCCCTCCCTCCCCCATAGATAACATTAAAGAGGCATTACATGTGACAAGTGGGAACTTCAAAGTAATAGTAGTAATAATTTAATATTGTTCATTCCAGCCAGACATAAGTCCATCTCATCCACTTGCCTCTGTCATAGCTATGCATTCTTTGTCCTGCTCTCTTTCCAATGTTGCTGTGTGAATGCTTTAAAGAGAACTTGGGGTTACCCAGAAAAAACATGTGTTCCTCCAAATATTGTTGAACAGCAATTCCTATCTTTTATAATGAGTTATTTCTAGCTAGAGTTTTCTAAGATCTACAGAGACACTTGAAGGAACACCTCAGCAAGCGAGAGTCCAAAAGTGGCAGGCTTAAACCCAGAAACTCAATCAATGGCTGATATCAAATGAGAGACTCCCCCCGGGCACACAGAAAACTGGGCGACTTGGAAGGTGCTGAACAGACTACTCTGGTACCACGAGATATAGAGCCAACCTTAAGAAATGGGCCTACAAAGTGGAATCCACAACATGCGAGTGTGGAGAAGAGCAAACTACAGACCACCTGCTGCAATGCAACCTGAGTCCTGCTACATGCACAATGGAGGACCTCCTTGCGGCAACACCAGAGGCACTCCAAGTGGCCAGATACTGGTCAAAGGACATTTAATCAACTACCAAGCTTGTAAACTTTGTTTTGTTTGTTTGTTAAAAAATGCAATACAACTGTTTGGTTTGCTCCTGACACGATAAATAAATAAATAATTGCTAGCTAGAGAAATCGGCAACATTGAAGTCTAAAACCTATGGAAGTGTAATGCTCAACAGCCATTTGAGATGACTCGTTTAGTTACATGTACAGTTTAGAAGCAAATTGCCCTATTAATTGGCCCATTTGTCAGGGTGATTACGGAAAATGTCCACAACTTCCCAAATTTGGATTCCATCTGCTCATATTCTAAAGCTGCTCATATGAGAAACCATTTGGTTAGAAGGCACTACTTCTACCAGCTTACCCTTCAGCAGGCACTGCCGGACATGTTCTGCTTCATATCGCAACCCGATGTCGTGTTCAAAGAAAAGGGGTTCAGGGGAAGGTGGAAGAGGCCATTCCCACCGGCTCCCTTTCAGAAACATCACTGTGGGGCTGTTCATATGGTTGGGAATCTGTAGAAAGAAAACCAATTACAGTATCCAGGGAAGTCATGCTACCCAGGCTTTATTCTGCCTTGGTTAGATCACACCTGGAATATTGTGTCCAATTCTGGGCACCACAATTGAAGAGAGAGATTGACAAGCTGGAATGTGTCCAGAGGAAGGTGACTAAAATGATCAAGGGTATGGAGAGCAAGCCCTATGAGGAGTGGCTTAAAGAGCTGGGCATGTTTAGCCTGAAGAAGAGAAGGCCAAGAGGAGACATGACGGCCATGTATAAATATGGCCTAGAAGGCATGATCATCAAGTTTGCAGACGACACCAAATTGGGAGGGATAGCCAATACTCCAGAGGACACGATCCTGACAGATTAGAGAGATGGGCGAAAACTAACAAAATGAAGTTCAACAGTGACAAATGCACGATACTCCACTTTGGCAGGAAAAACGAAATGCAAAGATACAAAATGGGGGACAGTGCCTGGCTCGAGAGCAGTACGTGTGAAAAAGATCTTGGAGTCCTCGTGGACAACAAGTTAAATATGAGCCAACAATGTGATGTGGCGGCAAAAAAGCCAATGGGATTTTAGCCTGCATCAATAGGAGCATAGTCTCTAGATCTAGGGAAGTAATGCTACCCCTCTATTCTGCTCTGGTTAGACCACACCTGGAATATTGTGTCCAATTCTGGGCACCACAATTCAAGAGAGATATGACAAGCTGGAATGTGTCCAGAGGAGGGCGACTAAAATGATCAAGGGTCTGGAGAACAACCCCTATGAGGAGCGGCTTAAGGAGCTGGGCATGTTTAGCCTGAAGAAGAGAAGGCTGAGAGGAGATATGATAGCCATGTATAAATATGTGAGAGGAAGCCACAGGGAGGAGGGAGCAAGCTTGTTTTCTGCTTCCTTGGAGACTAGGGCGCGGAACAATGGCTACAAGAAAGGAGATTCCATCTGAACATTAGGAAGAACTTCCTGACTGGGAGAGCCGTTCAGCAGTGGAACTCTCTACCCCAGAGTGTGGTGTAGGCTCCTTCTTTGGAAGCTTTTAAACAGGGGCTGGATGGCCATCTGTCCGGGGTGCTTTGAATGCAATTTTCTTGCTTCTTGGCAGGGGGTTGGACTGGATGGCTCATGAGTTCTCTTCCAACTCTATGATTCTATGTAATAGCCAGAGGAGACATCATGGCATTGCAATACCCGGCAGCCAGGTATGGTGCCATTCTGGGATCCTGCCTTCCAGGTGTGTTACAACATAGCTTTCAACATCACAGTCCAGCTAGAATCATAGAGGTGGAAGAGATCTCATGGGCCATCCAGTCCAACCCCCTGCATTCGTCAAGCCCCGCACATCGCATGATGTGTTCGGCATACAAGTTGAATAGGTTGGACCTTTCCCAGTCTTGAACCAGTCTGTTCTTCCCTGGTCAGTTCTGACTGTTGCTACTTGGTCCTTATACAGATTCCTCAGGAGAGAGACAAGGTGGCTTGGTATGCCCAAACCACCAAGAACTTGCCACAATTTATTATGATTCACACAGTCAAAGGCTTTAGAATAGGCAATGAAACAGAAATAGATGTTTTTCTGAAACTCCCTGCCCTTGTCCATTATCCAGCGGATATTGGCAATCTGGTCTCTTGTTCCTCTGCCTTTTGTAAACCCAGCTTGTACATCTGGCAACTCTCTCTCCATGTATTGCAGGATCTTGACCATTACTTTACTGGCATGAGAAATAG